GGACTGGCCGAACCGCGCGCACCGCCGATATGTGGCCCCTGATTGGTCGCGTCCTTTCCAGGCCGATGTCCTTATTGGTCCGGACGGACTAGACGGCCCTCACTCGATGTAGCCGACATTTACGGTCTCAAAAAATACTTCCAATATTTTTGTACCCGTCCGAAATTATAACACATTTTCGGGGCGATTATGTAAAGCTACCTTCCATGGGAATTTTTAAATTTTGTGGTTTTTGCCTCGGTGGAATTCCACGACCGCCCTCTTCTAAAATTTGCAGTGCTTGGCAGTGCTTTGCAGTGCTTGGCAGTGCTTTGCAGTGTGCTCTGCGGCCCTCATCTCTGGATCTCCCAGAGGACACAATGGGCCCGCTCCGCCCCGCCCCGCCACGCCCCGCCTAGGGAAGTCGCGCCGCCGCGCGTAGATCACGGAGCCATATCGGGCGTTTTGGCGCCGGTTCAGAAAGTAAACACCTATTCGAGCAGGCCGGACACGTCCCCGGTCGCCGCGCTCGCCGCGCCCAGTTCTTTGACATGGACACCAGAAAGCAGGCCCCTCTCTGCCCTGGACCATTTGTTGCCGCGCACTGGTTTTCTCGGCGCGTTATGCCGGATACTAATTGTAACCGCACTGGTGCAGCCTGGTGCAGCGGCTCCTCGGGGCGTCGCGGCCACGGCACGCAGGCTGGCGTGCGGACGGACTGACAGACCGACAGCGGCGGACGGACGGACGGACGCCAACAGATGGGGAGAAGTTACGGCCCAGCCCGTTGCTTGCCTGTTCGCCACTTCCATACATGGCCGCAGAACTGCCATTGGGTCACACACGGGTACGCCCGCCTGGGCCACGGCGGCCACGGCCTGGCCACGGCCTGCCTGCCTGCCTGCCCGAAGGGCCGGAGGACCCAAGGACAGCCTGCAGGCTCATTTCGAACAGTGCCCCGTCGCTCTGTCTCTCTCTGCGAGTGCGAGAGGGACAGCGCGACGAAAGCGTCATTCGGCATTCGCAGCGGCAGCGCACTCAGAAACAGAAATAAAGCAAAGGCAAGCCCTTCATCTGCATCATCGCACGAGTCTATCTAAAGCGACGACACCGCCGCGCCGCCCAGCTTTTTTTGGAGGGTCGGGGAAGGGGAGCAGGGCGAGCACTCCCAGCGCCTATGGCCACGACGACAGCCTCGCGGGGCACGAAGGGGTGGCGGACGGACGGACAGACAGACAGACAGACAGACAGACAGACAGACAGACAGACAGACAGACAGACAGACAGACAGACAGATAGACCAAAAGACAGAAAGCGATTCAATCACGTCTGTCAGGGCGCCATACTTCATCACGGCTTTTGAGGGGCGGCCGGCGCGTGGCCAGGAACGCCGCGACGGTGCCGTGGAGGTCAAGGGCAGCAGGAGGGACGCCGCGGTCGGAACGAATGAAGCAGACGACGTGGGAAGGGCGAGGGCCCCGGGTGCCCCACGCTGTCCGTCCCAGCACGTCTCCGTCTCGCTGCTCGCGGGGCTGTCGCCGCACCGCGCTGGAACTAGAGCCGCTCCAGCAGATTCAAGCGTCGTTCAATCGCGCTGTCTCTCTCGCACTCGTGGGGCGTTCCGCATGAGTGCGAGAGAGACACAACTACTTTTCGGAACCATTCTGCAGCCGGGTGGCGCTCTCATTAGAGCGGCTGGGCGCCATTCGCCGGGCTGCAGCCTCCAGCGCCTCGTCGCTCTGCCTCCCTCACATTCTTACGGAACGCCCCACGAGTGCGAGAGAGACAGCGCGACGAAAGCACCGTCCGGAATGAGCCGGCAGGAGCGGACAGCCGTGTGGTCTAGCCCTTAATGGTAATGGGACAGCCTGGCAGGTAGGCACTCCCGCCGCGCAGCCGCGCACGCTTGACTGGCGTTGCCTAACCCGCATTACCATTACCATTACGGGCTAGACCACTCATGATCGTATGCCGTTTCGGGCCCGACACATATGCTCGCCTGCACTGCAGGCTGGCTCGCCGCGCAGAGATCGCAGGCTGGACGGAAATTCATAAAGTCGACACGCAAAGTGAGGTTGAAATGCCGCATTCCGGTGCTTCGGAAATTCAAACCTGTCGAACACGAGCCCCAGTACGCTGTGCCGCGTCGCCAAGATCTCTGTGGACTACCAAATGCCACTTCCGCGAGAGGGCTTGCGGGGCGTGGTCCGTTCGAGTCGGCCAGACCGGCTAGACACCCAACGCCCATCTCTGTCTTTCTCTGTCTCTCGCTCGCGCCGTGTGGTTTACGGCGGCGTCCTTCTGCGAGTGTGATGACGACGTCGTGACGGCGGAACGGAGCGGAGCAGAGCGTCCGCCTCCACAGGTGTGACTCACGTGGGGCGGCCGAGGCGTCTGGCGCGTCCACGTGGACCCCGAAATAAAAGCGCCGGCCGGCGCAGCCTTGCTGACTCGAACCGCTAAAGGTCTGCATAGGCCTAACAGCGCTGATGATGATGATGGCGTGTGCCGTGCGTGCGAGCAGTGCAGTGGCCGAGGCAGTGGCGGTGTGGCGGTGGCCGACGAGGTGGCCGACGAGGTGGCCGACGAGCCGCCCCGCTCGCGTCATGGTCATTGTGGCTGGGCCAGGCTACGCCAGGCTCGGCCAGGCTCGGCAAACATCCTGGGGAAACGGCGAAGCGCTATCCCAGCCAGCCCTAGTCGCGAGCGAGCGGCAAGCAGCACGCCAGCCAATGGCAGCGCGGCGCCAGAGACGCGAGCCAAGCGGCCGGCCGGCCGGCAATCCTTGTTGTTGTTCGCACTGATGATTTCGCCCCGATTCTGCTCGCACTTCTGAGCGCGCCTCGAGGCGCCTCTAGGGCGTTGCCCGCCCGTGTGGGTGCGAGAGAGACAGACCAGCTTTAGTTCCACAATCCACCTGCAGGGCAAGGTCGCGAGGTGACGTCTGCCTCCCCACCCCCTTCCCGGTCCCAAGAGACGCGACGCGAATCCCCTCCCGTCATCGTCGCCGTTGTCACAGCGGTGCGGGGTCTTCCTGGGTCTTCCGCGGCGCGCGAACGCGAATCGAGTCGCAGTCGAAGCTCGACGCGGCGCGAGGCAGTCGGTGCGGCTGTCAGAACGAATCGCCTCGTCCCGCTGAGTTATTTCTGCCCCGGCAACGCCGGCACCGCCACGCCACGCCCGCGGCACCCCCGATGCGTGTCAGGTTCAGGGGCGTGGAGGGGAGGAGGGGACACTGCAGACATATCCCGCGACCGATGAATGGAGCCGTTTCAATGAATCGCGGGAACCCACCGAACACCGGTCTCTCTCGCGCACCACGGCGCGCTCCATCAGTGCGAGAGAGACAGCGACGACGGAATCGCGGGGCCTAACGGGCGTCCGGGCGAGGAGCAGGGAAATATTCGGCGACCCACGCCACGCCGCGGCCGAAGACGCACCCACTCGAGCACGCACTAACACACTGACACACCGAGTGGCGGCGCACGCGGCGGCGCACCAAACACGCCCCCGCCGAGCCGAGCCCAGGCGGGCACGGCAGAAGGCAACATGGTGGACCTGTGTGGTGACAAAGTGTGCGGCGGCAGGGGGCCGTGTGTGTGTGTGTCCTCGGCGAGGTACTCATACTCGTCCACGGCGCCCATCTCGGCGTCTCGCGGCCCGGTGCTGCGCCACGCCTGGCCACGCCTGCCCGCCCACATCCACGCTTCCGGTCCGGCCGAGTGTGTGAGTGTGTGTGTGTGTAGCGAGCTTCCAAATGGGGCCGTGTCCATCTCTCCATTGGCAGTGTTCTAAAAGATTCCGTTGTCTTGCGCGCGCGCTGCTGCCACTCGGACGTCCAGGAACTGGACACAACCCCCTCTCTCCTCCTCCCCTTCCCACTCACTCGCTCCCGCTGGCCGGAAAGCGCGCAGAAAGTCTTTTGTTTGCTTTTCTCTTTTCGTTTTTTCCCCTTACCTTTTACAGCGTATCCGCCGAACGTTATTTGCCAGGTTGGGCTCGTTGACAGGCCTGGCGCGAGCGGTGCCTTCCTCGCCTGTTTACCTCCGCCGTTTGAGATTTGACGAAAGCCTTTCGAACAGGGAACGTTCAGTTGAAACTTTGAACAGCGCCAGCCGAGGCCTGCCCGGCAGTGTTCGGACTTTTTGGCCAAACCGACTGGGTCGCCAGTCGGCAGCGCGCGGCAGCGACTGACAGAGCCGTGCGGCTGCGGCAGCAGTGGTCGGTCCACTGGCAGCGCTGCTACTGCTGCCGCCGAGACGCGCCGCCTGGGCGTCAGTCGGCACCCGTCGCCTGCCTGCCGACTGGCGGCCCAGTCGCGCTTCAGCCAGTCGATTTGGCCGAAAAGTCCGAACACTGCTGCCCGGATTATAGCAGCAGAGGTCGAGAAGTCGAGGCTCGCAGGGCGAAGCAGGGGGAGTGACGGATCGGACCCGTTCGGCTTCGGGATGAATTGAGGCGTGCCTTTGGACACGGCCGTCCGTGATGTGAGCCGAGCCGACTCGCTGGTATGGCGCTCGGCTCGGCCGGGCTCGGCCCTCGCTAGCCTGCGATAGCCCCGTCGTCCTTTTACTGCGCCCGCTGCTGGCGTGGGTTCAAATCCCCGCGTCGCCGCCGGCCACACGCTTTTTACTGCTTCGGCGTTGCGCGTTATTTGAGCGAGGCGGCATTGCGCGGGGCGGGGCGGGGTGGACACGCCGCGCTGTGCCGCCGTGCCGAGGCATACGGGGCGATGTGCGTGCCGAGGGGTCGTCCGTAAGCACTGGGGAGCACCGCTCCGTCCTTCTCGCTCTCTTGGCCCGTAAGGATGAGAGAAAGACACCGACGGAAGCACCTGTTCGGAATCAGTGCCGCTGTCACCGTGGTGCAGTCACGGTGCCGAAATGGGCCGAGCCGAGTGTGTGAAGCCGGGCAAGCACGCCGTGCGGGGTGCTTGACGACAGTCTTGACGGCGGGGTTAGGTTAGCTTAGGTTGACGACAGTCTTGACGGCGAGGTTTAGCGCTGCTCTCCGTGTTCCAGAGCCGCGAGTGGCTGCAGCTGCGGGTCCTGGAATGCACGCCCGAGCTGACCCGCCTCGGCGCCACCCTGGAGCAGGCGGTCCAGCTGCAGCGGACCCACCACGACGTCCTGGTCAAGCTGCAGGTAAGGCCCAGGTCGCTTCCACTTACTCAATATTTCTACAGTGTAGGCGAACCGATAGGTAAGTCAACGGGCAAAAATAGGATTTTCCAGGAGAAAGTTCAACCATTCCTTTCAATATCTCAACCTTGGAAATATGTTTCGGTGAACTGACCCACCCCGGTGACGGTCCCCCGTTGCACGGCAGCCAGGCTGCCTCGCGCGCGCGTTGGGCTGCCTGCCTCGCCGGCGGCGTCCCCACGGTCCCCACGCCCCGCCAGTGACCGCGCTCCGCTTTCTTCCCCCTGCAGAACAAGCAGAGCCCCGTGGAGGAGCTACTGCGGCAGGCCGACCAGCTCATCTCGACGCAGGGCGCGCGCGCCGAGGTGTACGCGGCCATGGCGGAGTCCCTGGGCGCCGCGTGGCGCGACGTCAACCACCACCTGGACACGCGCAAGCGGGTGCTCGACCTCAACGTCAACTACCACAGGTGAGGCGCGCGGACAGCGAGGGTAAAACTAAGTGCTCAGGTGGAGTGAGGTCGTGCTCAACTGAGGGGAAGGGATACAAAAGCACGTAGAGTAACAAAAATATTTAATTCCGCCCGCGTTAAAAAAATGTCACACAAGAAGATAAAAATCCTTGCGTTCAGTACAATGGCACGGCACAAAACAAAAACCTAATAACAGTGACAGGAGGAATCACATTATCTATTTATCTAGTATCTATTTAGAAAATTATGACAAAAATAACAAAACTAGCATTATGCTTCTTAAAGCATTCTACGAAAGACTAAGTATACACTTCTACACACCCATACACCTACTCCACGTCTTGACATTCTGTCAAAGGACAAAATAAAGTACTACAAGTAACAAAAGAAAGTACAAGTAACAAAATAAAACATTACACCTGTAAAGAAATTTTATTAATGCCACGCGCACGGATGCGGTCTCCCGCCCCTCGCAGTTCAAACAGAGACAAGGTCAGCCCTGCCACGCCCTCATGTTGGGCGGGCCTCGCGGCCACGGCGCGCAGCACTCGGGGCACTTGCCGGCCGCCAGGGTGGCGGACAGGCGCCACGGGGGCACCTTCAGCCCGCACCGCGCGCACCAGTCCGAGCCATGGCCGTTGTCGCGGTGGCCCGCGCCGCCCGCGCCGCGCTCCCCGTCAAACCCACCCCAATCCGGACCGTCCCAACCAACCCCTTGGCCGCCGTCGTCAAACCGACTGAACCCGTCGCCGCCATCGCGACACTCGACGTCTTGGTGACGCCAGGCATGGTCTCCAGGAGGACCTGCCCGCATCGGCGCCCCGTTGCCCTCCCACTCTCGCGGAGTGGGCTGCCCCATGGGCTGCCCCATGCTTTGCTGCATCGTACCCACCCTACCCCATTGATCTCCCATGGGTTGCGCCATGCGGTGGTCTCCCATAGGATTCCTCATGGGTTGCTCCATGGGATGTCTCATGTTTTCTGTCCCATATTCTCGCTCAGGATTTCTCACGTTTCCCTCCACAAAGTCAGGATTTCTCCTGTTTTCCCTCACATAGTCTCCCATAGGATTTCCCATGTTCTCGCTAACATAGTCTCCCACATGATTTCTCAAATTTTCACTCTCATAGTCTCCCATATGATTTCTCAAATTTTCACTCTCATAGTCTCCCATATGATTTCTCAAATTTTCACTCTCATAGTCTCCCATATGATTTCTCAAATTTTCACTCTCATAGTCTCCCATATTATTTCTCATATTTTCGCTCACATAGTCTTCCACAGGATTTCTCACATTTTCGCTCACATAGTCTGACATAGGATTTCTCATGTTCTCGCTCACATAGTTTCCCATAGGATTTCTCCCATTTTCACAAACATAGTCTCCCATTTGGTTTTCCATTGGCCTAGCCACTTGATTAAAATTACCATTTCCCATAGAGTTGAAATTTCCACTTCCCATAGAGTTCGGCATAGGGTTGAAATTACAATTTCGCATAGTCTCTCCCATGTGGTTGCCATTCCCCCTGGGGCCCGAGGGACCCCACACCTGGTTCTGCCTGCCGATGGCCAGTGGTATCGGCTCTTCGGGGTTGCCCGTCTCCTCCATCCGCAGCGCGAAGTCCCGCAGCTCGGCGTACGAGGCGCCGCCCGGCCGGTCCAGCATAAGGACGAGTCGGCGCCGCATCGGGTCCGAGGCCAGGCCGATGATGAGGCGGTCCTTGGCCACGGCCTCGGCGATGTCCTCGTCGTAGCCGCACCGCGCCACCAGCTGGTCCAGCTGCAGCGCGTAGTCCGCCACGCTGCAGCTCTCCGCCTGCTGCAGCTTCTGCAGCTGGATGCGCGGCTTGGCGTTGGGCATGAAGGTCTTGGGGGGCTTGGGGGCCGCGCCGAGGGCCGCGCCGAGGGCCGCGCCGCCGGGCTGCAGGGCGGCCTTGGCGGCCTTGGTGGCGTCGGCGAGGATCTGGAGGCGCACGATGCGCAGCGCGCCCAGCAGCGTGGGCACGGCCACCAGGGCGAGGTCGCGCGGCTTGAGGGTGGCCTGCAGGCTCTTCCGCACGGCCGGCGCCAGCAGCTGCAGCAGCAGGGCGCGGTGCCGCTTGTCCGCCACCGCCGCGTTGCCCATGCCCCCCTTGGCCGGGTGCTGCGTCAGGTGCTGCTGGATGCGCTGCTCCAAGTCGTCCACCGTCTCGAGCCGCGGGTTGAACTGGGGGAGGACGGCGACAGCCGCGCCGGAGACGGGCCTCTTCTTGGGGCCAGTGATCAGGGTCCGCGGCGCAGCCATCTGTTAAACAGGCAACAACAGCCGCCACCCTTTGTCGGTCAGAAAACAGCTTTTCTACGGATCGCTCAGCTCATGGAATTCGTCTTAAGAAATCATTATTAAAATCACTTATTCCATAAGCACTTTAAAAATCAAAGAATTCTCTGTTCTGCAGATGGGTACCCTCTTTCTATTGTTGTTCAGTACAAAATATTATGACACTAAGAAAGCATTGTGCCGTTTACCACTTTGAACTCGATTCAATGAACAATGCACCTGTTTCACCACTCGTTCAGGTCAATTCATCATTATAGAAAGAGAGGAAGCGAGAGGAAATGAATATCATTCAAGATCAAAAACTGTCACATACAGTAAACTTATTCACTTGATTGTTAAGCTAGGTTTGAAGACAAAACATGAACCTTGCCAATCATAGACTATTCCGTTCTCCGTTCAAGGCGTGATATTTGGTACAAAGAGATTCCATGCTTAATAACTCTTCTTTATAACTATCATTCCTAATATTATCCTTTCATAAAATTGCCTCGTGGCTTGTCACGTAAAAATAGAATTGCAAAGCAAATTATATGGTGAGTTACATTGCATCCACTACATGTCCTAACAACTTCACCTGTTGAATCAAAATCAAATAATTAACAGTCCAAAGGAACTTACTCTGGAGTGATGTGAAACTGAACGTTAGGACAAGAACAATACACCGAGGTCCGATTGCAGTTCAAAGTTGAATAATTGGCGAAACAAAAACACAAAGTTGCAAGGGTTAGAACAGAACCGGTGGTGCTCGGGCGCTGGAAAATAGTCAAGGGTGGGAGGGAAGGGTGGGGGAAGAAGGGAAGGGGGTGAGGTGAGGGGGTGAGGGAGGAGGAAGGAAAGACAAAAGCGAAGCGGAAGCCAGCGGAAGCGCGGAAGCGCGGAAGCGAAGGAGACGGGGGTGGGGGTGGGAGCGGGAGTCGTGGGGTAGGTCGAGGTGGGAGGGGAGGAAATACAACAACAACAACAACCTGTTGAAACCTGTAAGCTGTGGCGACTTTTTTCTCTTTGGAGAATTTTGTCTTCCGGTTCGTTGAGTTGGGTCTGACACGGCCACACGCTAAAAGAGTAAAAACGAACTATGTCGACCACGGCGAAACTGCTCGGTCTGACCAAAGCCACCTGGGTAGCTAGGTTATGTATTGTTGTTCATTGTAAAGTCATTTTGAACTTGATCAGAATGTCACTGAAGTGCGACCCCATGGTGAGTTTGTTGAAGTCAGGTTTCAGTCCTTGTCACTCTGTTATTTAGTTAGTCACTTCATCCCAACCCCACGACCCTACCACCCTTACCACCCCTACGACTCTAAACCACCCCTCATGTTCGTTGGCTGCTTATTAACTTTTCCTATCTTTTTCAGCCGGGCGGAGGAGTGCACAGAAAAAATGCTAGCTCTGCAGTTGGCCTGCTCTGCTCTAACTGCCCCCATGCTTACCGTTAAGCTCAACACAGTTGCTGACTGTGAATCGGAAAGTGAGTCTCTCAAGGATCAATTGGGCAAAATTCATGACTTGCGTCGAGCCATGCTGGAGACGCTCATGCTTGCCCTGACAGAAGGAAAAACACTCCTTGAACTTTTGCGGGGAATTGCTGCAGAGGGCTCCATTGATTCTCGACCTGATACTATGAGAGTTTCTACTGAATATGGTAAGCAACTGTGGAAATATATATTATACTGTAAGTGCAATTTGTTTGTTGTGAGTGACTTACCTTACCTTAATTTCTCTTTGATAGCTATATCACAGGTTGAGCATTGGTTGGAGAGTCTCCATGATCGTCGGAAAGCTCTAGATCTTACTTTTAATGAGACACGTTCAGAGCTGGAGCAGAGATTAGCTCTAGCTATGCTAGGTGCAGAGAGAGCCAAGATTGAAGAATTTATCTTATCCCAGAAGAAAAATCTCCTTTCTAGTCAAAGTCAACTGGGAGATTCAGAAACAAGCAGCCAACTTCTTCTGTATGAACATCACAAAGTGTTCTCCGAAGCAAAGGTAATTTGCGCATTTGGTTCATGTACCATCATTGTAATCCGTTTTTATAAATTAAATGTTAATTTACTGTGATACTGTGTTTTCCAGGAAATTCAGGAGCGGGCTTTGAAGATGACTCACGCAACCGAGCAGCTAGCAGCATCTGGTGTCAGTGCAGCAGAGGTGGCAGTCACAAAGTCATATACAGTGCTTAATAGTGCAGCTGAATACTTAGAAAAGTGTGACACTCTTGAATCAATGCTAGAGCGCGCTGTGGCTTTCTATCAAGCGGCACATACTGTAAGTTTTGGAAATCTTCATGTGCTAACAGTGTTATTTTTTATATTTCCTATTTTATGAGGGTTCTGTCTTTGCTGCAGGCTCTGACGAAACTGGATCAGCTGGAAGTCCAGCTAACGACCACTACTCTTGCTCCAACATCTCAAGAGCTTTCAGTACTTCATGCTCAAATTGCTGCTGCTGCATTTGATGTTTCTGAGAATGCTATTGAACAAGGCTTAGGCCTTCTAGATGCAGCTAGCAATAATAATGCTGGAGCAGAGGTAAATGAGTGATGAGAATAGAACCACTTTTACTTCTTTCTTCCAAAATTGATTTTAATGAATTGTTTTCTTATGGGTATAGGGTGTGAAACGAACAGTTGAAGAAATTCAAAACAGGAGGGATCATGTTGAAAGCTTGTGTACTGCTCACAAAGAAGAGAATATTTTATTGCATCAAGCCATTAATAATTTTTTGGAGAAGCATAACAATGTCAGTAGCAGTTTTGTTGTTTATTAGAATTAACTCATCCTGGTTTAGCTGTTTATTTTATTAATTTACTTACTTCTTTGTTGCAGCTGTACTCTTGGCTAGTCAGTAGAGGGGAGGCATTTTTGCAAGGGCACCAAGACATGGGTAGTGTTTTAGCAATGGCGCAAGACTTCTGTGAGGTTCACCAGAAACTTATTGCTGAACTTCAGGTCTGTTCATAGTGTGGTGTATTAATCAATGGTATAGCCTGTGAAGCCCAGCTAATATGTTCTAATTTTTACATTTATTAGTTGAAAGGGACTGAGATAAACAATCTCCTTTTGACCCTGCCTCCTATACTGGAACAGGTAGAAGAAAAACAAAGAATTGAAATTGATCAAAAGGTTTGTCTAAAAATTAAATTTTACTTGGTCTTTGTGATTGTTACATTTCATTGATAATATGTTTCTATTTTTTTTCTGTTCTACTATTTAGGTTGACGCACTGCACAATTTATGGTTGCATTTAAAGCAAGCACTCGAAGAACGCATTGACTTGTCTGCTCAGTTCCTCGAGTTTCATGAAAAGGCAGTCCAATTGGCTGAACAGCTGGATTCCCTTGAAGACAATTTGCGGAGACCAGGGATTCCTGATGATCACCATCAGAAATTAGATGACCATTGGAGTAGTATGCAACAATTGTACAAAGATTTAAAAAGTCTGGGTCAAAGTTTTATCACTGAAGCACAAAAGGTAATTTTGTGAAAATTTCAACCGTTTTGTTTTAGGTCTTATTTTCAGAGTTTTACTATTTGAATAGTATTTGGGCCACCTTAAAGCAGTTAAGGGTTTTTCCTGAGCATTTGAACATGGCACACTCCCAGCTGGCACTTGAGTCATTTGGCCACGCAGCTGTTACTCCCCTATTTCCTGGATTCCCCCTATATTCTTCAACTGTGACACTGGCTGTCGTTTTTCTTGCTGTCCTTATTCCTGTTCAGTTGCTAGAATCCCTATAAATTTTTCCAGCAACATCTGACCATTTAAAGCCATTATTCCTCTTGGAATATTTTTTTCTCAATAACTGTGCTTGTTAGTAATTGTCACATTCAGGTAGGTTTTCAACAGAAACATTATTAATTCACAATATTTTTTTATTTTTGAATATAAGAAATTGCCTTGAAATTGATTAATTAGCTTAGGCCTGATCAGCTCTAGGTTTTAAAGGTTGACCTCTGAACCATCTGGCTGTATTTTATTTGTTTGTGGGAGCAGGCTTGCTCTACGGAAGTGATTTCTGGAGTTGGGATATTGTGGCCCTCCCTCCTCGTCGACGCCCCTCTCCCCTTCCCTCCCCGCCCGTCCCGCTCGGTGCTCACCCCATCCCCCAGCTTCCCTCTCCCTTGCCCCCTTGGCCCTGTGCCAACAGACAGTCTGCCCCCTCCTCCCTTATGGCCCCCTCCCCCCTCCACACCCACAGTTTGCTCCCTCGCTCACAAAATAGGGACAGATGCTATTCCTGATGCGACATGCGTGAGGCAGGCGTTGGTGGAGGAGCTCCATAATATATATGCAAAGAAAAAAAAAGTACATGCTCCACAGGTAGTGATTGTCAGGAGTGTGCAAGTGATCAAGTGTTGGTTCTCATCTGTGTGCAGGCGACAGATCCTTACCTAGACACCAAGAGGGCTGTTCTGTGTGTAGAGACTCTTCTTGAACACTTTGCTGGCCGCCAGATCACTGTTTCTGATTCAAGAGAGTTATGGCAGAAGTCTGCCACGATTGAAAAGGAGAAATTAGTGCAGTGGGAATACAACCTAATGGAGAGTTCAAAGGTGAGTGATACTAATACCCTTGGTGGAAGTACCAACATGCATTTTGGATGCTTTTCGACTATGTCAAGCACTCCCCTAATTGTAGTTAAGATCTCTTAGCCCTATTCCAGTACCATCTTGCCACATCATCCCATTTCCTTTATTAGTTGGGCTTTCATTTGATATGAGGAGCAACTTTTTTTTGGACACTTTTAGATATTCAGGACCATGAACTCTGTTTACCTTGTCAGTGGCAATGGTTCAATATCCCTGACCCATTACTTAGCAGGCTGTTGGGCCCCCTTCCCCTGGTATGTCTGAGTAGTATGTGCACTGCCAGGCCTGCCTGCTTCAAGTCCTCTCTTTCTTGTTTATTTTTAGTTCGATTCGCTATTGGGTCTTTGGTCTTTGAATCAGGAGCCTCTGAGTTGCTTTCTCCCAATTTCAACCGTGTTTTCTGTGGATCAAATCAAAATGCTTGCTGCTTTGTGGTTTTGCTCAGAAATCATTGAGTTTTTAAGAAAAAAGAAAAAGGTAAACTGTTAATTTTCAAGAGAGCAGTCACTTCAAGTGATCTATTGGCTATGTAGTTTTATTTGTAAATTCACTTTGTATCGATTTTTTATTTTATTTAAGCTGTTTTCTGCTGGTTCAATGACCATTAGTCCTATTTAGCATGGCAGTGTACTCTCTAGGCTTGAGAGCTCTTTCATTGCTCTGTGCTTGATGTGAGAAGCTCTTGGGTGGGATTCATTGAGCTGGTGCCAGAGTGCCAGCTTGGCAGGGCTCTGGGCCTTCACAGCTCATGTTTCCAACCATAACACCAGTCAGCGTGTTGCCACATGGTTAAACTGTTACACTTGAAGAGATTTCTGCTTTTCAATAGTGATAAGGCATTACCTACTTTTATGGATTTAGTGGGTTTATTGTTTTTATTCAATTAATTTGTGCTACTTGTATTTACTTCCCCCCTGTGTTAATTTTTTAAAACTTTTAATCTTTTTACTTTTTTGTTCCATTTCTTTTTATAATTCTCTAGACTTAGGTTTTGGTAAAATTTGATTTCTTTTGGTTTTAGACAGTGGATTGGGTATCCAAACTGGATGCACAGTTGTACCCCATTCTTACATCAGGATCTTCATCGGCAACAGTTATCCGACAGGACTTGGAAAAGAGACTTGAAACTGTTTTGCCAGAAGTACGGAAAGCGCAAAATGAAATTGACGATCGAATTAAAAATGTTAAGTCATTATCCGAAAAGTGTGAGTATTCTTGAACTTGTGTTCAACAGCTACTATGTAGTGCCCCATATTTACTAAGGCCTTCTTTTATTCTTTTGCTGGTGTAGTAGCTTCAGAAGAGGGCCAAAATGAAGATGGAAAAGATGTGTTGGAGAAACTTACTGATCTTCAAGGAAAGTTGCAGACAGTTTTGAGTGACTATCAAGTGCTGGTTCAATTACTTTTATCTTTCTTCAAAAATGTCAGTGAGGTGAGTTCAGTATTAAGTTTAGTACCTGGAGATGTTTATTCCATTTGAGTTAAGTTTTCTAACGTATCTGTATTCTTCGATATTAAGCTGGAAAAAACAATTGAGAACTCCCAATCTGTAGAGCATAGTGGTGATGGTAACGTAGAGACGCTTTTGCGAGGTCTTGATGCTTCAAAGCAGGCAATATCTGAATTATTCAAATTCACTGAAAATGAAAGTCAGCAAATTATTGAGAAAATTAGACAGCAGGTCTGTTGTTAAAAATCTGCATAGTCTTCTCATTTTCTTAAATAGTACAGTAGTACAGAGCCATTCATTGTTCTTTGGTGTGTTTATTTCAGGAACCTGAAGAAGCAGCAAAAGTTGATGAAGCTTGCCTAAGGAAACTGTTAGCTGATAAATTCAAAAACTGGGATGAATCCTCAACCGCTCAAAGAGCAAGACTTGAAAAAAATCAACAGCAAGGAGCCTTTGATAGAGATCTTGCTCAAATTAACTATGCTATTGCTGACCTTGGCCGACAGCTTGAAGCAATAAGAGGCCAATATGGAGAATCACTTAGTTCTGCCAAGGCTACTTCTGCTGCCTTTGATTACTTTGAAAAAACAATTGAGGTACATATTATCATGAAAGTTCTTTGATTTAAGGCAGCGGGTTAAAACTAAGTAAAAATTTTATAACTTTTTTTTTTGCAGCTTCTTGAACAGCGAATTCAGACTTTTGTGTTAACAACAAAACAAGTCCAGTCAAGTGAGAAATCTGGAGATTCTGATTCAGCACATGTTGATAGGGAGTTAAAGGAATTGCAAAACCGATGGAGTGATTTTCGCAGTAAGGTTGCTGAGAGTAGGAAACTCATTGAACTGAGTATTCAATACTTTCAACTTGTTGAAGAGGTATTTATTGTTTGTTACTACTCTCTATTGATTTTTATTCAGTTATCACTCTTAAGATTATTTTTACTCTCTATTCGTTTTTATTTAGCTATTGGATTCTGTTGTATAACTGTGAAAATGTATTTACAGGCTGGGGAATGGTTCAAAGAGGGAAGTCGCCTACTTGTTAGTATTGCACGCCGCTCCGCAGCAGTAAGATTTCCTGAATCTGCCAACGAATTATTAGCTGAGATGGAAACTTTTTTGAAACCAGGCGAAGCTATGCAAGATGAACGAATTCAAAAGATATTAGAACTTGCCAAGATTTTATATGGTGGGGCTAATATTGTTTTGAATCTAAGTACATGGTCTGATTCTTGTTTTATTTTATCTTACCTTAAGTTTTTATTTATTACAGGAGAGGAAAAATCACAGCAGGTGACAGAAGTTCTCAAAGAAAATCGAGAAATGTTAGATTCCTTTTCTACCATTAGCCGAGAGTTGAACAGTTTGGCATCCTCTTTGTCCCATGCAGAAAAACATGAACCTCAGCCTGAACAAGAAATCAAGGTAATGGAATCATGGACCATTAAAAAAAAATATATTTATTACATCCCTTTCATATTGTATTTAACAATGAACGATGTTGTAGGATGGACAAGAAGTTATAGGTGAAAACATTATCTCTAAGGTCACAACCAATGTAGAGACTGTCATTATTGAACAACTTGACTCAGACTCATCGCCACCAAAAGAAGCCGTAAGTTTTATCTCTTCATTTCCTGCTTTACTAGTAATGAAAGTTGAAATAGATGTTCTAGCATTTCATCCTTCCTTTTATAGGTCGAAACTTCTTTGAATGGTGATGTTGAGCCCATGGTTGAAGAGCCAACCAAAGAGGAATCAGAAACTGTGCCATCATTGCAATCAGAACATATTGATAGAGGAGTTGTAATTGAAAGTCTTTCCTCAGATGAGGTCGCTGAAGACACTGAACCCAAGGAACTATATACCTCCCCATCGTTTGTTGAATTTTTGAAAGATGCTTCCATTCAGGAAGGTGGAAAATTCACCTTCCAGTGTCGGTAAGATGTTTCATCCAAATTGTATTGTGATAGAGATGGTAACTTAGGAGTAACCTATTATCCTGTTTCTACTTTTAAGGGTAACTGGCACTCCAGCTCCAGATATAGTTTGGGAAAAAGATGGAATATCTATCAGTAACAATCCCGATTACATGACTAGTCAGGATGGAGATCTTTGTTCTCTAACCATTGAAGAGACTTTCACTGAAGATTCTGCCCGTTTCACCTGCCGTGCTTCCAACCCAGCAGGGTCATCAGAAACAAGCGCTACCCTCAATGTTATTGGTAAAGATCATCTTAGAAAGTCCCCTTAAAAGGTCATTTGGCACCATTTATGTATCATACAATTTGTTCATATTTTTCAGAGTCTGAGCCTGAAGAGCAGTTACTTCCCCCAGTATTCTCTGTGCCTCTGTCGGACCAAACAACAAAAGAGGGGTCAGCTCATACATTAGAATGTGTAGTCGAGGGTCTGCCATTGCCTACAGTTCAGTGGTACAAGGAAGATAACTGCATTGATGACTCTGCAGATCTTGCCATAACTTATAACAATGGGCAAGCCAAACTGAGGCTGGAACAAGTTTCACTCTCTGATCAGGCTCAGTACACGTGCAAGGCTAACAACACTCTTGGCAGTGCTAGTACCACAGGACATCTTTCTGTAGAACGTAAGTAATAATATTATTGAACTATTTAGTGACACAAATTTTCCTTGCTCACTTGAAGGTTGACATTTTTGTTTCCAGCTCTGAAGCCAATTGAGGGACCAACTTTCACAACACCCTTATCAAATGTGATGGCAAGGGCAGGTCAAAAACTGAAACTGGAATGTTGTATTGCGGGTTCGCCTCCTCCTTCTCTTGTGTGGACTCATGACGGAAAGCCGTTGAAAGAAACAAGAGATTTGAAGGTTTGTTCAGCTGGCACATTTTCCTATATTCTCAAAACATGCATAAGTTGAGTTTGAATTATAATAAATTCACTTTGATTTCAGACATCATTTGAGGATGGAAAGGCAACACTAGTTATATCAGAAGCATTCCCAAAAGATGCAGGAACATATGTTTTAACAGCAAGGAATGACACAGCTGAGACTGTTTCCTCCTGCTCTGTCATTGTGAAGGGCCGCTTACCCACAGAAACCTCTGATTCAGAGTTGGCGAGTGACTTGGAACCCATCAAACCCTCCATTCAGATGGCTCTGAAAGATGCGGAAGCCAAGGAAGGAGATAATGTGCGTCTAGATTGCATTATTGTCGGACAACCGGAGCCAGAGGTAACTACAACCATGTTAACCCTTTCTTATGGGTTGAAATTTTTCAGAAAGTATTTTCAAATTTTGTTCTTTTTAATTTGTAGGTGATTTGGTACCACAATAATCGCCCAGTGAAAGAGTCGGCTGATTTCCAGCTTCTGTTCCATGGAGATCGGTGTTCTCTGGTACTCCGTGAAGCCTTGCCAGAGGATGCAGGTCTATATAGAGTGGTAGCGATTAACTCAGCTGGTGAGGCCTCTAGTCAGTGTCAATTAAATATAACAGGTAACTTTGATTGATTTTTAATTTGGATTGTCTCCAACTCTGATTTTTCTTTCATCTCATGTCCAATGGTTTACATTCATTATTGTTGCTTCAGCTGGTGAAGAAATGAAAGAAGCTACAAAACCTGAAGCCAACACAGACAAACAAGAAGAAATAATGACTGTAGCACCCAAATTTACTCGCCTACTTGCCGACGTATTGGCTGCTGATGGAGACACTGTGAGATTTGAATGTGCTGTTGAAGGGAAACCAAAACCAAGTATTCGTTGGTGCCAGAACAATAAGGACATTGTCGAGTCCGATCGTATTAAAGTGAGTGACTCTACTTCCTCTTTACTTACTGTACCCTCTCTCAAGATTAAACTAACAATGCTTTTCTCTTTTCTTTTTAATTGAGTAGACCATAGAACAAGAAGATGGAACCATAATTCTAGTCATTGAATCAGTCACTGCTGATGACCGTGGTGTCTACACTGCACGAGCAAGCAATAGCCTAGGAGAAGCCAAATGTTTCTCAAATTTGATTGTCAAGTCTGCTCTCTCAGAAAGTAAGACTGTCGAACTGGCAGACAAACAAGTCCCTCCAGATTTCAAAGAGAAATTTGCCGACCAATTTGTGGCTCCAGGGGTATCTGTCAAATTTGAATGCATAGTCACTGGAAGGCCAGCACCCAAAGTATGGATATTGTTTTTTTTTTTTTTTTTTTTTTTTTAAACTATGTAAAACTATTTATGAACTCAAAATCTTTGGTATTAATTTGTTATTTTCTCTAAACAGGTGCGCTGGCTTTTTAACGATGAACCAGTGTCTGGGAAGAACTTCCTTGTATCAAAGAGTGGTGACAGGGATGTTCTGTCCATTCAAGAGGCAGAGGCCAGTGGGTGCATTTCTTGCCTTGCTGAAAATGAAGGTGGACAAGCTGTGTGCTCGGCTAAGCTGGCTGTTCAAGGCAAGTAATCCATTATTCTAAATTAAAAAAATAAAAAATGGCTAAATCCCTAAAAATTACCAGCATAAAAATAGTATTCAAAACTGTCAATTGTCCATTTCCTTGGATGACCCATAAATTGTTGGGCTTGGGGGGGCGAGGCAGACATGAAATTTGTTTGGGAACAGAAGTGAGTGGGAGCGTCTGAGTCTCCTTCGGTCAAATTGGGGTGACCCAAGCCACCCAAACTGAATCCCATTCCCTCCACTTTGAGCGGTGCGTCGGCCGAGGCGGCGGGGCTGGCCAGCACCCCGTCGGCTCTGGGCGGCTTCCCGGCGGCTCCCCTGCCCACTCACTTGGCACCTTGCCACTCCCTGACACTCAGTTCTAAAAGAGAGTGTGTGTGTATGGAGGGGGAGTTTGGGTGATGGCTTGGGGGCCGGGCCGCCGCCGCCGCCGCCAGCCGGGCAGGGCAGGGCCGGGGCAGGCCGCTAGCCGGGTGCTAGTGTCAGTAGTAGGCTCTGAGGCGCACAATACCAAGCTCCACAATGTGGTTGGTTGCTTTATTACCCATATTTGTTGTCCTGTTTTGTAGTAGATCTGTTTAGACGTGCTAAGACTGTTGATGCCATTTGTTTTTGTTTTGTTGAAACTGAAGGGGTGTTAGTTTTCTCTTATTTAACTCGCACTTATCATTAATAACTTTATTTTATTTTTCAGAGGGCAGTATCTTTGCCATGTCAGGGCCAGATGGGGGTGGGGTCTCCTCTTCGGAGGAGACTTCTCAATCATTTTCGATGAAGAGGGCTGTTTTCATGCAGTCTTCTTCAACTACGACATCATCATCTGGATCAGGACCTGTTCAGACGCAAGCTCACAGTGTTAGCACAATGTCAGAACAGGTGTCCAAGAAAGCAGACAACGAACCTGCTTTGAATGTAAGCTTTCCCTCATTGAAGATCGAACACTTGCAGCTTGAAGCAGCTTGTCTAATCTTTTGTTTGCTAACCAGATTCAATCGGAACACAAACAAGAAATTCACAGGGTAAATGATGAATCATCAGTGAAGACAGAAAGCTCCGTGTCAGTTTCACAAGGAGGGGAGGAAAGGAAAGAGACTATCAAGTCAGCCAGTGGCACCAACTTAGCTCTAGCTCAAGCACCTTTAGGCGGGCCGTCCAAACCGACTCGGAAGTCGACAGCTCCCCGCTTCGTCACGCCGTTGAACGGCAGGATAGTGGACCAAGGGGCGGACATTCTGCTGGAGGGAATCCTAGATGGTCTGTATTCTGTATCGTATTTGTTATTTATTTGTGTCTGTGGTGACGCTGCGTCTCCTTGTGTCCTTCATTGCTTTACCTGCGTTATTTCGTGTAGGCTTCCCCAGCCCTACGATTTCGTGGACCAAGAACGGGGTGGACCTGGCCTCCCTGCCCGAGGCCGCGTCCATCAGCACCTCGTGGGAGCTGAACCGCGTCCGGCTGGAGATGAAGGGCGTGTCGGTGAAGGACGCCGGCCGGTACACCTGCCGCGCCGTCAACCCCGTCGGCTCCGCCACCAGCACCGCCGACATCATTGTCAAAAGTAAGCCGGCTATTTTCGCGCGCGCCACTGCTTCGGGAAAAAGAAATAGAATGAACACGAATCAAAGTAGGAAAGAGGAGTCTGGGTCGTAAACGCGGTTGTCTGCGAACACAGCGTGCTGACCAATTGTGGGCCGTAACTTAGAAATTCGGTGCATCCCCAGCTAAACGAAGCTAAACGCCGCCACTTGCCGTCTAATAATAGCGCGTTGTCGCAGAGACGGTGTTCCCACCTGTCATGGGGAAGCGGCTGCAGGTGCAGCAGGCGCGCGTGGGCGAGCGCGTGGCCATGGAGGTGGAGGTGACGGGCCTGCCCGAGCCCACCATCACGTGGTCCAAGGACGGCATGCCGCTCAGCGCCTTCCCGCACCTGGAGATCCGCACCAAGACCCAGGGCAACTGCCACACGCTCATCATCGACAAAGGTACGTCGTGTCGACGGGTGTGCCTTGGCCCTGCTTTGCCACTGTGCGCGTTTGGCGCGTGGTTTGAACTGGTCTCGTTTCCCTGACAGCGACCCAGGCCCACGCCGGCAACTACGCCGTCAAGGCGACCAACGCTGGCGGGGAGTCCAACTGCTCCGCCGACGTGGCGGTCTGGGACGCGCTGCCCGACGAGCTGATGGACCAGCAGCAGCGAGACGTCATCTTCAGGGAGCTCATGGACTTCCCCGCTGTGGTGAGTTGGCGAGCAAACGGCGGTGGCGGGACTTTTGGTACACGGGCAATGCCATTTCTTGGGTTGTTGGGACTCAACTAAGCACTCGGGGTACTGTGTGAGGGAGTACTTGTTTCCTTCTGCACTGTCCTATTTATTGGAGTCACTTATTCTAGTTCTTTCACTCTGAAAAACTGGTTGAACTTTTCATTTTTCTTTAACAATTTGTATTTCACCCCTTTAGTTCTGTCCTTTAAAAAGATGCCATGGTAGTGGTGATGGTGGTGTAGATTAAAATGCCTATCTGTGTCTTCTTCTCGGAACAGCAAAAGCACGAAAGTTTCCAGACGTCAAAGCAAAGCTTCCTCCAGACCGGAGGCTCCTCGTCGTCCTTGGTGTTCAAGGACGTGCCCGTGCCTCACGTTTCCTCCGCCGCCCCCACCACCCCCGCCGCGCCCGCCCCCGCCCCCGTCGCCGTCGCCGCCCCCACTGGCCCGGCGGCCGCGGACTCACTGCATGTCACTGAAACGACCAAAACAGAGAAGCACTTCTCCGTGAAGGTGGAGCGCACCGCCTCGCCGCTGCTGGTGAGGCCCGTGACTGAAACGCAGGCCAAAGTGACGACGAGCACGTTCTCGCTGGGCCCCGACCACAAGGAGACCAACATCCCGATCGCGAGGGAGGCGTCCACCACCGTGGTGCACTCGAGGGCGGAGCTGGACTCGCTCAACTTGCTGCCCAAGACGAGCAACTTGACGTACGAGACGGAGCCGCAGCGCAGCGCGGCTGAGGAGGACGGCTCCATCGACAGCTCGTCCATCCCCACGCAGACGGCCCTGCAGTTCTTCATGTCCAAGATCAAGGAGAGCGAGGACGGCGCGGCCAGCAAGCCCCTGGAGGGCAGGGAGCCCGTCGCCATCCCCGTGCAGCAGAAGCTCACGGACAAGATCAGCCTGTTCGAGCGGCCGCTGGACGAGCCGGCCCAGTGCAAGTCTCCGGAGCTCAAGGAGGCCATCCCCGTCACCAAGCTGTCGGACAAGATCAGCCTGTTCGAGAAGTACGAAGGCAAGTCCGAAGCCAGGGAAGAGACGAAGAAGTTCGACGACCAAATTTGGAAGTCGTACAAACACGAAGCCCTGCCACAGCAGCAGTCGCAAGCAGCGGCGCCCGCGCTGCCCGAGTTCGTGGAGCCGTACATGCCCGGCAAGCAGGTCAAGACGGACGAGCGGCACACCCGGGTGGTGCAGCAGGAGACAAAGACGTGGTCCGGCGCCATCCAGGTGCCGGGCAAGCTGGTCCCCAGCTCGTACACGCAGCCCATCACCTTCCGCGAGGAGTCCAAGACGTACCACAAGCACGTCGCCGGCCCAGAGGTGCTGCCGCCCACCACGCTGGACGAGTTCGGCCTGCAGCCCGAGCCGCCGCCAGAGATGTGCTACACCCCCAAGCCGGAGCGGTCCACCAAAGTGCGGCCCCGGGAGGACATGGCGGAGCGCGTCAAGAAGCTGCAGGACTCGCAGAAGTCCCTGGACCCCTTCCAGGTGCCGACGGGGGCCGTCAGGATCTTCCCGGCGCCCGCGCCGTCCTCGCAGCCCACCACGCCTCAGACGCCGCGGGCCCAGCCCAGGCCGCAGCCAGCCCAGCAGCCAGCCCAGCAGCCAGCCCAGCAGCAGGCCCAGCAGCAGGCCCAGGCCACACCCGTGCACACGCCCTCGTTCCTGTGGCCCAAAACACCTGCGGCCGCGGCGCCTGAGCGCAGGGACGAGCCCAAGGAGGAGGCCAAGGAGGAACCCATGGTGCGGCAGCAAGTGCCGATAGACGACACCCGGAAAAAAAACGCGGAGACGGTAGGAGGCGGCGTCTGGACAACTCCAACTGCTGCTGCAGCTGAAGGGCCGCCCCTACCGTTAAACAACATGTCCAGTTTTACAACCGTCAGCTCCTCGACGTCGTCCACGTTCGAGCAGAAGAGTTTCGAGACCAGCTCGTCGGGCCCCCTACTGGGCCCCATTCTGAGGCCGGCGGCGGCCGACGTGCCCCTGAGAGCGACCTCGCCGCGCCCGGCTGCGGAAGCCATCAGCATGGAAAGACTGTGGACGAGTCATCGAACTTCGGAGTCGGAGAAGACCGCGTTCACGCCCGTGTCGCCCCAGCCGGCCGCGAGGCCGGTCTCGGACGGCTACGCGGTGAGCAGGGCCTTGACCACCTCCGAAGCGAGCATGTACTCGTCCGCGGAGCAGAGGCGTGGGCCCTCTCCCAGGCCTTCTTCCGAAGGCCTTGCCATGGAGAAACTGTGGGCGCCACACAAGGCAGCAGAGCCGGGCGCGGCGCCGCCCTTCGTGGCCCCGGAGCGCCCCGTGTCGCCGCGGCCGTCCGCCGAGGCCGTGGCCATGGACAAGACCTGGCCGCACAAGGCCGCCGCCAAGCGGAGCTGGCCGCCGCCCAGGGTGGCCGAGGCGGAGAAGGTGGCCATCCCCTGGGCGCCGCAGAGCGAGCCCGAGAAAGTGTGGAGCCCGGAGGTGGACGCGCGCCCCGACGTGCGCGCCGACAAGTTCGAGTTCGAGCGCAGGGAGCAGAGGGAAGTGGTGCAGGGCTTCAGGCCCGTGGCAGCGCCCACCCCCGCGCCTGCGCCCGCCCCTGTGGCGAGGCAGCCACGGCCGGTGTCGCAGGATGTCTCCAGCACTTTCGTGCCCATGCCACAGGCAGCGCCTCTGACGACCAGCTTGATATCGCAGTCGTTCGAGAGCAAGGAGAACTTCGCGTCGTCCTGGAGCAAGAGTTCGAGCGAGCAGCAGTCATGCATCGTAGAGGAAAAGCACATCACGCCCGCCGAGGCCAAGCGCATCTGGCCCCCCAACAAGCCTGATTACGAGCTGCAGGCGCCGTTGATGGTGAAGAAGGTCCAGAAGACCAAGCCCGCCGCGCCCGCGCCACCGCCAGCAGAGCCGCCCATCTACCTGGAGCCCGGGCCGCCGCCGGAGATGGGCTTCGCCGCGCCCCCCACGGACCGCCGCAGGTCCATGGTGGAGTCCATCGAGGAGGACCTGGAGAAGAGCCTGGAGAAGGAGCCGAGCCGCGTGGTGGCCGGCGGCGTCAGGGTCATCCCACCTCCCCTGTCCAAGGCCGCGCCAGCCGCGCCAGCCGTCAGCGAGGAGTCCTACTCCTGGAAGCAGGAGAAGTCGAGCTTCCTGGAGAAGAAGTCGACGACGACGAGGAAGGAGGAGTTCAAGTCGCTGTCGTCCAAGTCGGTGGAGACCAAGTCGGCGGAGGCGTTCCCCTTTCAGCCCGAGCGGCCCGTCGTCGCCGCGCCCGCCAAGTTCGTCAAGAGCGAGCTCGCCGGCAGCGACTACGAAAGCGACCTGGAGGCCAGCCGGATCTCTAGCAAGTGGCGGCCCTGTGGCAGTGACACCGAGGAGCCGTCATACCGCCGCGTGCGCCCGCCGTCCGCCCCCGCGGTGTCTGCGGTGTTCCAACCCTCGCAGTCCTTCGACAAGGCGGCGACCAGCCAGACGGAGTCGAGGCGGGAGTTCAAGTCGTCCCGCATCTCGTCCAGCATCGCCTCCACGCAGTCCAGGTTCACGCAGCGCTCCGCCCCCGCCCCCGCGCCGACGTTCGCCCCGCTCGACCTGAAGCCCGGGTCGCCGCCCACGTTCGTGCAGCCGGCCCCGGTGGACATAAAGCCGGCCCTGAAGACGACCCCCGACTCGCCCAAGAGCAAGCACAAGACGGTGCGCGTGGTGGCGCCGCCGGAGAGCGGCTACATGGCCGACACGGACGAGCCCCGGGCGCACACGCTGCAGCGCGCCTCCGCCACCTCGGCCTGCTCGGCCTCCACGGCCTGGGCCGCCAACGGCACGGTGCAAGGCAGGCCGAGGTCGCCGCCCCCGCCGGAGCAGAAGTACGAGCAGAAGTACGAACGGAGTGTGTCGCACCGCATGAGCAGCACGTCGAGCACGTCCAGCAGCACGGTCCAGGGCATGTCGCGCCGACATGAGAGCAAGGCCTGCGGTGTGTCTGCATTCAAGGTGTGCACCGTGCCGCGTCGTCGCGACAGTAGTAGACAGACTTGCTTGGTGAGCAAGGGTCCGCACTCCGCGTGCTTGTCGCCTTGCTTTCGAACGGCACCGGCCTGGCCTGACTGGAGGCCCGGGCCCCTGCAGGCAGACTGTGCCGCCCCGAGCGCGCGCTCTACGGGCGGGCCTATCCTCCCGGCGTTCAGACCTTCTGACGTGAGCGGTAGTTGATTTCGTTTATTTTTACTTGTCTGAAAATGCGGACCCTTGTCTCACTTCTTTTGTGGTCTGTGTTCGTTTGTTCTCTTCCTTCTAACTCTACTTCTGCATGTGACTTTTTCTTGTGGCTCGTTTTCTTTTTGAGTTTTGTAAGTGTTGCAACCACTGTCCTCCTCCATTTGGTTCGGGCAGGATGACAAAAGGTTTTTGGTGATGTGGCGTTAAAACTAATGTTTGGTAGATTGGCCGTCTAATCTCGAGTATTTTTTAAAGGTCTGTTTTCAGTTGTGCGTGTGGTTTGTGTGTAATACGACGTTCACTGAGTGGCTGCGTAGTTACAGGATTGACTGCGGCATCGAAAGTGCTCTCGCTGCCTCGGGCGTTGAAGTCCCGCGCGTTCCGTGTTTTAGGCAGGGGGCAGCCCTTGAGCCGTGATCTTTCCGTTAGCCTCTTTGGCCTGAAACATGTCGATCGTGGCTTGAGGACGGCCCCCTGCAAGGCCCCCTGAGCCACCCTTGGCTTCCAGAGTGCCGGAGCGGCCTCTGACCGAGGTGTTGTTGGTGCCCGCAGGAGGTGGTCCCGCCGCCTGTCGCAGCCGTCTTCGCCCCCATCTGCGTTCCCCAGCTGCAGCCTGCCCAGCCGCAGCCTCCGCAGCCACAGCAGCAGCCTGTTGTGGAGCTCTCCGCCGGCCCGCCCTGCTTCGCCGCCGCTGCGCCCGCCGCCGCCCCGTGCGTCGCTGCTCGGGCCAAGCGAAGTGCGGGCCCACTACCGCGCAGCCCTTCCAAGTTCGTTAAGGGAGAGTTCCGTGAGAGCGACTACGAGAGCGACTATGACGGCAGCCTTGGCCGCATCCCAGCGGTCTGGCGGCCCCACGACCACGACGTGGACGGCGCGGACGGCGCCGCGTACCGACCCGTTCGCCCCCTGCTCACACCCACGCACCATGCCGGTGCCCATGGACCTGTCGGCCGAACTCCCACTCCACCGTCTGAGTTTGACAACCCTCCGCACTTTGGTGGACCTCCGCGACCCAAGTTTGAGCCTATCGACAAGCAGCCCGTGGCAGCCGTAAGGCCCCGCGGCGCGCCCCTCGTCTCCAAGGGCCGGCCGCTGCACCCCCAGCAGCCCCAGCCCCACCAGCCCCACCCCCAGCCCGTGTTGAAACCCAAGGCCATCCAGGCCAGGCCCCCGGAGCGCGTCGAGACCCTGGTGGCGGCCCCCGTGCCCCGCGCCGTGCCCCGCGCTGGGCCGCCGCCGCAGATCCTGTTCGCGGCCGCGGCCCCCAGCAGCCACGCCCCCACGATGCATGAGACGTCCCAGTCGATGAGTTTTGCCGAAGCCACCGAGACGAGTCGCCGCGTGGTCAGCATGCAGCAGACGACGCGCGTCATCAAGTTCAACGAGAAGCAGCAACAGCAGCAGCTGGAGCCCTTCCCCTTCCGCGCCGAGCCGGAGCACTCGGACCGGCGCAGGACCGGCACCACGCCGCCGCCGCCCAGGCCGACCAAGTTCGTGCCCGGCGAGGTCCGCGAGAGCGACTACGAGAGCGAGCTGGAGGCCGTGCGCTTCCGCGCCAAGTGGGCTCCCAACGACAGTGACGGCGACGAGCCCCACTACCGGAAGGTGCGGCCGCCCCCAGTGCAGCAACCGCCGCGGTGCGCCAGCGTGCCCGTGCCCGTCGAGATGCCCGCCTTCGTGCCGCCCGCCCTGCCCGCCCTGCCCGCGCCCCCGCAGCCCTCCTACTCGGCCACGGCCTCGACCTCGCAGTCCGTGGACTACTCGGCCGAGCAGAAGAGGCTGCAGAGGGTCGAAGAAATGCGCAGGCGGTTCGAGGAGAGGAAGTCCACCACGAGTTCGGAGGTAATTTTTGGTTCTTTGGCAACGCGTTGTTTAGGTCTGAAATGGGCATCTGAAACGATTGACATTTTCAGTTCCAGACCTCCCAGAGCGTGAAGAGCATTCGACGCTTGTCGGCTCCTTTGGGATATGATGTACAATTGGTTCCTGGCCCCCCTGCTGAGCTGGCTTATGCTGGTCCCAAAGTGCCACCTCAGGCAGAATGTAAGTTGGTTTCTTTTTTTCACCTTTGTCCATAAAGATTCTGTGAAAAAACAATAATTTGCATTAAAAATGTATTTTTTTTTTTTAGATATTGCTTCAAGGCACATGAATGAAATGACACAGACATTCAAGTCGAAGGCTCAGAGGTTTGTTAATGACATTATGACAGATTCAAAGACCAAGCCAGAGAAACCAATTTTGAAGAAACAGACCTCAACTGATACCAAAGCACTTGTTCAAAATGGAGATGAGTCTCAAACCTACAGGGAAGAGTCAAGAGTTGCTGAGTACGGTAAGAAATTTGTTTCTGGATTAAATTTTTCTTAATATTGGATTGCGGTTATTCTTACTGTAATGGGCTTGGATTTAAATGGGATTCGGGAATGGTGTACCTGCATTTGTTTGCTTGGAGTGGTTTGGGCGTTTGCTGCGGTGTTGGTTTGGTAATCTGCAATTGTTCCCTGTTCCTTAATGCAGGAACAAAGCACATCGACCCTGAAACTGGTCTCATCTACTTCAAGTATGACTTTGGCTATGAGTTCGGCATCATATTACCGGGAGAAGGAAAAGCGGGGAGTAAAGCTTCTTCGACTGTGAAGAGGGCTAGAATTGAACGCTCACTGTCCAAAGACGATGGAGGAGTGGATTTTCCAGTATTGCATGAGAAGAGTGGCAACGCGATCAAGGGCTTCAGTAAGACAACTGAAGACATCAAGAATGTACCTCAGTTCCGCCCCAAAAAGTTCACTCATTTTAAAAGCGTCAAATGGGAACCAACCTCAGAGAGTGAAATGTCTGAAAATGAATCAGATGCAAATCGTTGGAAGCGCTACAGCTTACCCCAGCCACTGTCTGCCATTGATATTCCCAGGGCTGATTTGAACACCCCAAGTCCGGTTTCACTGTCACCCAGTGTCCCCAGTCTGTCTCCACACACATCAGCCACACCAGGGCCTGACTCTTCAGGTAGAGACTAGTTAAATTAGCGTCCCTATGGTGTGATACATTTTGCTCCTAATAGATCTGCTTTGCATGGAAGTAAATGCAAATAGTTATAACAAGCTTATTCTTGTCATGCAAAAGGATGCAGCTTCTTTTCTTTGAAACATTTAAAAGAATTCATCTGGCAATTTCAATAGTTTTTTTGTGAATTCGTATTTTTAAAGCGCTGAGCATGCTGTAAATTTTTTTTACCTTGTTTACCCCTGCTTTTGTTAGATGTGAAATAATGCTGAAAAAAAAATTTAAAAAAATTAACCCAACATATATGCAACTTGATATATGCAGTTGATTTTGTCTGCTGCTGCCAACTTTGGCTGAAGGTCATGTTGTTGCTCTTTGTTTTCAGCTTCGCTTGGCAGTGCCCCATGGACTGCTGCTGGAGGAAAGCTATTCCATCATGTTTCAAACACAGCACCAGGACACGCTGCCGACGATGCAGCACTGCAAAAGGCACCAGTTTTTATCACTGTGAGGCACCTACTATTTTAAAAACAAATTCTGTTTTATATTTTAAATTATGTCACTAATGTCAATTTTCTCTCCAGCCACTTAGAGATATTGCTGTTGTTAATGGCCAGAGTGCTCGGTTTGAGTGTATTGTGCAAGCAGAACCCCTTCCAAATATATTATGGTCCAAAGATGGCAGAATCCTTGAAAATTCCGAAAACGTCCAGATTCAGTTCCGAAATGGTGTTTGTCGACTCGCTGTGTCCAATGCTACATCAGGTATCATTATTGATAAACCTGTCCAATTATGTTTTTATGCACCAAATGTGGACTCAGTTTTCACCGCATTGTTTTGCCTTTCTTGGTTTTTCGTTTTAGTTGACGCGGGGACCTACATTTGTACGGCAACCAATCGGGCGGGCACATCTGCTTCAACAGCAACCCTCTTAGTGCCAGGTGAGAAGAGAACTTCTCTCAGTAATAGGAATTGAGGTACCTCCACTGTTTTGTTAACGTGTGGGAAATGTCAGGTCTTGAAAAGGCAAACAGTTCAGTTTTGTTTCAGTGAATTGGATGAGTTCTTAAAAATTCCAATTTGTTTTGCTAGTTGTCCCCTTGCATGTCCCAGATATTCCTTTTTCTTGTTTTATTAGATTACATTTTATTTTTCACTAATGTGTTGTTCTAGTCATTGATCAAGAACTTTATGGGTTTGGATTACTACTTCCTGTACATTTCATGTTTCCATTTGGTGTAACTTTTATAGTCTGTGTTATTCTTGCCATTGTTAATGCATGTTGGAGAAATTGATGGGTATATTTTTCAATGAGATTTTGATGGTGATGTCCACATTGTCTTGTTGGATTATCAGACTTTTGGGGTATTTTCTTTTACTTCAGGGTCAAACCTCCTCTTTTCTGTTCCTAGGGTTCACTGGACTTAAAAACAAGTCTATTAGAATGTTGTTTTCCTCAAAGCGATATAGTTGAAATGTCAGTCACTTCAGTATAATTGTTAAAAATTGAATTGGACTCAACATTGATGCGTTTAACCAATAGATCACTCTTTATATAGTTTTCTTTGCATGTTACATCTGACCTTTATCTAGTCTTTGGTACTCTGTTTTAGCATGTGAAATCTGGGTCACTTCTATTTTCTTACCTGGATAAGGTTTTTGGAGCAACTATGCTTTCTTTTCTAAGCTTTGGAACTTATTCTTATTTTATCTCTTTTGTATTGGTACAAATATCAAATGCTAAACTTTCTTTGACACAGTTTACGCTTGGTGCTCAGTACTGCAAGATTAAACATGTGACACAGGAAGTTTACCATAAGAGTATCCTTCGGTTTCTTCTTGGTATACTTTTCTATCAGGCTGGCTGTTTGTACTGGTGGATTATCGGGTATGCTTTTTATTAAATGGTGATTTTGGAGCAGCTTGGTGGTGGTTTCTTTTCTCAAATCCTTGCATGAGGTGTACCTGTCAACCAAACAATTTATGATTGTACTGTACATATCTGTTCTCTGATCTTAAGTTCCATAAACTGTGTATATTTTATTGCAAAATACTTCTCATTCATCAAAATTTAACTATTTTTAAAATTTTTGTCGAAATTATCAATGTGTTTGGTTGTTCAGTGTATAACTCTCATCTCGACATAATTTTAGAAATCTACAAGCACACTAATAAACTTGTGAAACACAACAAATGAACTTTAGAGACATCAACACTTTTGCCGCCCACTTCTCTTTTCATCTAGGATTCAAGCTGCACAAGTTTGACTTCGCCTCTTCACAACTGCAGAACTTTCATCTTATATATCTGCTGCATGTCCGCATGACATCTTTCTTTTAACAATTATGACACAAACCTTTGAAGAAAAGAAAAAAATAAGAATGGTGCACATTTTTTAAAAGTTACATGTTAGTCCTTTTGGTTTATTTCTTTAAAATGGGTCAAAACATTCTTCGTTCGTCATGAAAATTCAATTTCTTTGGAAAACCGTGCACAATGGTTCCAAAATAGCACTGGGCATTAGAGGAGGCATGACGTTTACCGAGAGCCTGCCCCTGGCCTCTGGGTCGCCGGAGGTCGGCGTATATTGACGGATGAAACCGGCCTCGAACCTCGAACCAGGGCCGCGGTACGTTGAATGGACGGTCCCATTGACTCGCCACCTGCACTGCACGCTGATTCCGAACAGAGCTGTGCCGATTCGTCTCTCTCGCAGCACAGGGGCGTCCCGTAGAGGTGGGAGGGGGGGGGGGCAGAGTGACAGGGCACTGTTCAATCGGTCCGCCGGGAGATGCTTCCCGGACGGCCCCCCGAGGGGGCGGGGCGGCGCGGTGCGTCTTGGGGACGCGTTACGTCTCGCGGACCCCTGCGGACCTCAGCGGCCCCCCGCGGGACGGTGCGGGCCGGTGCGGCTCGGCGCCGCTGCTATTTGCGATGTTGTTGGGTGGCGGCCAGGGCGCTGGGCGGCGCTGGGCGATAGCCGCGCCCGCCACTACTGCCGCCACAGCCTCCCCTGCCGCACCGCGCAGTGCTTCCTCCCCGCCCGACGTCCCGACGTGACGAAGCCTGCAAGAATGCGGTGACCAATGGGACGCCACGCTCCCCCTCCCCTCCCCCGCGCGCTGTTTTTGAGACGTTGTTGTCATCGCCCTGCTGTAGGCCCCGCAGGCCCTGCCCCTGGTGCACCGAGGCGTCGCCGCCGCCTGTCTTCCTGCCCCTGAAACCCTGAAAGCGGCGAAGGGCGTCGTTACCACGGCGGCCGCGCGCAGGGCGCAGGGCTCTGGACGCGGCCGGGCAGGGGGAGGGCGGGGAAGGGCTGGCGGGGGTGAACAGCCGCCCAGCCCGCCTAGCAGTGGCGGCACCGCTGGCAGCGCTGCCGGCCCGTGAAAAATGGAGCAAAGACACTCGAGTACACCGGCAGGAGGCAGGAGGCCAGAAGTAGGGCACGGCCCGGCGAGACCCATGGCGCGCCCATGGCCCTGTGGCTGTGGGAGTTAAGGCCCGCCGGCCAAAGCAAATACCAGGAATAGCGGGGAGGGAGGCAAGGGCATCGAGTGCCTATCCGTACCTGCCCCGCCGCTGTTAATTTATCCTTTCTTCCAACCCCCCTTCTCTGTCGCTAACCCCGCGTGCGTCGTGATGTAATCACGGGCAGCCGTGTGTGTGTGTGTGTGTGTGTGCGTGTGTGAGAGAGCGGTCCGCTCGCTCGGCCGTCGCCCACATTTACCGCGGATTTGATGTGTGTGGCGAATTGCAGGTTGGGGGGGAGGGTCACCTTGCGCGCCCATCCGACGCCTGGCGCGCTTGAGGGGAGTCGCAGGCAACCCAGCAGATTAAGGAGCGTTGTGGGTTGGCCGCCTTACGAACCCCGGGTAGGCAACCCGCTCGACGGGTCAGTGTAGCGGGCTGGTCTACCCAGCGCCTGAGCGCCTTACGAACTCTGGGTAGGCAACCCGCTGGACTGGTCAGTGTAGCGGGCTGGCCTTCCCAGCGCCTGAGCGCCTTATGAACTCGGGGCAGGCAACCCGCTGGACAGGTCTGCGTTGCGGGCTGGCCTGCGCGGTCGGGCGGTCCGAAAGAGCAGTCAAGGCGGCGTGGCCGGGCGTGGCGCGTGGCGGTGGTGGGGGCGGCTCCGGAAGTCGTTGGGCAATTGCACGTCGCGTCCCGTCGGCCTGTCGGCCGTAAAAGTATTCTCGTTTGGCGAGGCGTCAGGGAGATGATCGCGACCACCCTGTCGCTTGTTGCAACTGGGTTTTGCTTGCCGTCGTCCCGTCGCCGGCCGGCCGGCCGTTGAGCGACTGGGCCGCGGCGCCTTGGCCTGCCTTGGCATTGCAGGTGTGGCGAGGGCGGTATTGTTCCCGGGGTGTGATGCTCGCGGGTGTCTCGCCCAACGACGCATTGTCGCTCTGTCTCTCTCGCGCTTGAGGGACGCCCGGTGGGTGTGCGAGCGAGACGGAGCGACGATGGTCGTGCGCGGAATCGCTCTGCTGAGCAGATTGGATCAAGCCGTACGCCTCGCGGTGGCGGCCGGCCGAGCGGCTGGCGCTGGCACGCCGTCAGGGGCCGTCCGGGAGCCGCGCGGCCACGCGCCACGCAACGCCGCCCCAAGCCTCAAGCAGCCTGCGGTACTTGGGGGCCTTCAGACGGACGCCGCGCGGCCCGCCAGCCAGCAGCACCGGGGAAATGAGATGTGACAAGCTGGGGTAGTTTTACCGCGACGGCGGGGGGCTTTGGCCAGATGGATGGCCCCCCGCGGTACTTTGGAGAGCTGGCTGGTGCACTGTCTGGATGCGTCCCTTCGCGTGTATCGCCCCGCCCTGAGTCAGTGAGGCGCCCAAGGGATGACGCACGAGTCACCCGCGGGGATGAATCAAGGGTGGATCAGTCGGTCACTTTTACCGAGAGGCGTCGTGTGCGTTTTTGCGCAGTGTCAATGTGTGGGTGAAGCGTTTCGGTTTGTGCGGCTGGCGTGGACTGCGGTTACTGGTCACCGCGCTCGAGCCGCTCGTTGTGCCACGAATTTCGAGGCAGGGTATCGCGTAATTATCTTCCCTTCCTCTTCACTCACCGTTCGAAAGGAACATTTTTTGGGGGGTTTTAAAAATAAATGGCGACTTGGTTGCTTGGTGCGCGGTGCCGCGGCGCACGCAGACCGGCGTAGCGGCTCAATGTGGGCCATCCCCCTCCCCTCCCCCTCCCCCTGGCCCGCGATACAGGCCGCTGTTGTGCAACTCGCCCCCCCCTCCCCTCCCCTCCCCAATCCCGCGGTGCCGCTCCCCGGCCCGCCCCTTGGCCCGCTCTCAAAGGTCCTGAAACTTGAGAACAAAGTCGAGTGGCCGTTTATCCTCGCGAGTGCGCCGCGCGTTGAACTTTAACTCGTTTTGGAAAGCTTCGCCCGCTCCGCCTTGCGGACGGGGAGGGGTGGGGGCAGTCGAACGAGGAAGCCGACAAACTTTGGCAGGGAGGGCTCACACTTGCCGCGTGGCAAAAAGCGGAACCGCGCTGTCAGTCAGTCTAAAAAGCGAGCGGCCTCTGTCGCACCCATGGCGCGTCCCGCGTGGGCGCGAGAGAGACAGCGTGACGCGACTTCTCCTCGCTCGGAACGAGCCTGCAGCTGTCACGGCGGTGAAATGACTCATGTCGTCGGACGGCGGGTTGGGCCCTGGCGGGCCCTCTCCCTCCGCGGCCGGCCGGCAAGGCGGCAGGTGCAGCAAGGCCTTCTCGGCGAGGCCCTCAAGGTCACTCCGCCGCTCAGGGCACGCCCTGATTTGTTTTGTCACTAATGTCCTGCGTAGGCCAAACGCCATGGCGGTGTGCGGCTGGTGGAACGCTGGGCGACGACCCTGCGTTGAGCTCGGATTGCAACGACCGCCCGTGTTTCTTGCTTTGCTGTGGCGATATTTAAAGTGAGCTTGTTTTCCATACACGCTGCGCCTTTCTCCCCGCTTCGCCCCGCCAGGCGGTGCTTGCGGTGCCGGTGGTGTTGGAGGCGCTGGCGGTGGCACGGCGGCAGGACAATGCCTCCACCCGCCCCGCGGCCAGCGATGCCCTCGCAGCCGCCATTTTGCGCATTTCGGGGTAGATTAGCGGCGCGCTAGCCGCAGGCTCATCCGTCTCTGTCGCACCGCTTCGCGACGCGCCCCGAGTGCGAGAGAGAGAACGACTGCGCTGGTTTATGCGTGTTTGCCTCGCGTGATGCTTGCTGCGGCGGTCCAGCCCGGCTCCTTGATGTGGCTGGTGGTCGCGCTGGGGCCGTTGCCCCGCGTTGCCCCGACTCTAACCCCGGCCCTTGTTGCCCAGACTTCCTGTCCGAGCTGCCGGAGCTGCTCCGCGGCCGCGACCCCCGCAGCCCCGTGCCGCTCACCAGCGCGCCGCCGCCCGGAGCGCGCCGCCTCCGCACCGTGGGGCCCGCGCCGCCGTCGCCGCTCACCGCGCACCCCCCGGGTGAGTACTGTGAGCCTCTGAATGTGACTGGAAAGTTGCAAAGCGATGTCAGTTGTGTCAGAACCTTGTTTTACCAACGAACTGCGATTCTGTATATTCAGTGCTCTGTCTCTGTCGCGCTCACGGTGCGCCCTGTCGGGGCGCGATTGAGACGTCGCTTCGCAGCACGACTGTGTGAGCACACTGGGCACTGGCCACGCCACTGCGAGGAAGCTCTTTGTCCATTGTGTGGCTCTTCAGCGCCCTTCCGCCCTTCCGTCCCGCTCCGTCGCTCTGTCTCCCTCGCACTCGCGGGGCCTTCCGAAGGGGCGCGAGAAAGACAGCGACAGAGCGGATCGTGGTGGAGGCGATTTCTCACGGCGACGCCGGGCCGCCTTGCCGCCACCCGACTACGCCGCAGTGCTTTTGAAGTGCTGGCCTGTATTGTGGGCTGGCGAATAACTTGGCCGCCGCGCGGTCGTTATGGTGTGCGGGCCGATTCGCTCTGTCTCTCTCGCACGCCGACGGAAGGCCCCATGAGTGCGAGCAGGCTCGGACTGGCCAGGGCAGACAGGCAGAAAAATCTGCCGGGGCCATTCGGCTTTGGGACAAGTAACGTCAGAAAGTTGGTCAAAGAGTCCTAGTATATATAGGACGAAAGTAGCCGTTTTCGCTGATTTTGGGCGGCCACTACGTCCGATCTACTTGCGGTCAACGGCCTTCCTCGACGCCCTAGTATTCTTAAGACCCTACTCTTTCATGCCCTGTGTCGGGAAGACGTTGACCACAACGATTTTGGCTTTGACCGCAACGATTTTCCGACCAAGTTCGTCAAAAAGTGGCCGAATCTCGGAAATTTGCTGATTTTGCTGACTTTGGGTGGCCACTGTGTCCAATCTAGTCGCCGCAAAAGGCCTCCCTAGACGCCCTAGTATTCTTAAGACCCTACTCTTTCATGCCCTGTGTCGGGAAGACGTTGACCACAACGATTTTGGCTTTGACCGCAACGATTTTCCGACCAAGTTGGTCAAAAAGTGGTCGAATCTCGGAAATTTGCTGATTTTGCTGACTTTGGGTGGCCACTGTGTCCAATCTAGCCGCCGTAAAAGGCCTCCCTCGACGCCCTAGTATTCTTAAGACCCTACTCTTTCATGCCCTGTGTCGGGAAGACGTTGACCACAACGATTTTGGCTTTGACCGCAACGATTTTCCGACCAAGTTGGTCAAAAAGTGGTCGAATCTCGGAAATTTGCTGATTTTGCTGACTTTGGGTGGCCACTGTGTCCAATCTAGTCGCCGTAAAAGGCCTCCCTCCAGAATGGAGGCGCCCACCAGAATGAGGATCTCGGAGTGCCACCGACTCCGTGCTCTCCGTGTTGCGACGCGGTTCACCTCGGGGTCCTGGGTGGGTCCGCCGCCGCTCGGGCTGCCTCGCGCCTCGCGCTGCCTTGCACCGTGGGCAGAGCGTCTACTTGACGGCTCGATCCCACGCGTTGGTCCCAACAGGTCCCCAAGGTGCGGCACGCAGTACATCGCGCACCCTCATCCAAACAGACTTGCAATAGTGTCTCACAAACGGATTTATCCCCCGCGCCACCCCGCACCGCGGAGGCGTCCCCCCCCCCCGCCCACTCCACGGCGTACCCCTTCCCTCCCCCCCCCCTCGCCGCGCCGTTTAAATATAGCGGCCGTTAGGTGCGGCAGGCCGGCCTGGCCGGCTTGGTGGCCACTGGTCGGAGCTCGGCGCGGGGATGCTGCGGATTTCTGCCCGTTTCTTGCATTCCGACGCTGCTTATATAACGCGGGCCTGCCGCCGCGCGCCGCCGCCGCCCGGCCGTGTCGGCGGGGAGGCCTCCGCTGCTGGGCGCCGCCGCGGAGCCGCGGAGCGCTGCCCGCCGTTAAAAGGCGCAGAGGACGCGGACATGGCGCGGGCGCCTGCCAGCCTGCAGGTGGGCCAGCCCGCCGAGCCTCCGCGTCGAGCACGCTGCCTACCGCGCACGGCGGCCTGGCCTGCCCCCGCCCCTCCCCGCGCTCGCTCCACGCAGACCACGCACCGGCTGGCGCGCTGGTCCGCGCTGGTCGACCCTGGCCGCGGCGGGCTGCCCTGGCCCCTGGCTGCACCGCTAAGGCCTTATAAGGGCGCCGATTAATGATGGACAGATGGGTGGCCTGGCAGCGCCTGGCAGGCAGCCCGTGGGCTTGTTCCGAATGGCGCCGGTCTTGTCGCTCTGTCTCTCTCGCACTCGTGGGGCGTCCCGTACGGGTGTGAGAGAGAGAGAGAGACGGGGACGCCCAGGTTGGCGGGCGTGCCGCTGCTAAGGGCCTCGAGGAGCCGAGAACGGCCGAGACGCGGCGGGCTGGTCCGCGGAAGCGGCGGCAGCGGCGGCAGCGCAGCGCGGTCGAAGCACTCCGTCGCCACCCGGTCGGTGTGTCGGCGTGTGTGTTTGTTGAGCCCGATTCGCGCGGACGGCCTTCCGCGTCTCGCGGATTCGCACTCCACACTCCGCCACGGGGCCCTGGGCGGCCCCGGGCCTCGGCTCCCCGAAAATGGAACGACCCCAAGGAACAAGGAAAGCGCGACGAACGCGTGACAAATAAAGCCGAGTTTGCTCTGAAACGCTTTGAACGACAAACTGCGCTTTGAAAAGGAAATGGAGGGGGAAGCACATGTGGGTCAGTGGCTCGGACACTGGTACACTGGTAAGGCACACTCTGCTGCCTCCAGGCTCGGCGCCGCCCTGGAGCGGCCTTGCCCCCTCCTCGCGACTCGAGCGGCAGTCCGGGCAGGGCGATGCGGCGCGCAGCTGGACAGGGCGGCGTCGCAGCGACAGGACCCGGCGAGACGACGCGGCGACCCGTGACCAGGAGTAGAGTGTCGGCCAGTCGCGCGTGCGTGTGTGTGTGCATGTGTGTATGTTCGCTGGAGGCCAGCACGGCCGAGTGTCGCGCGCCGGCCGCCAGTCGTCGTCCGTCTTCCACGTCCGCGAGTGTGGCGTGCGTTCGGAGGAGCCGCTGTCATTCGCCGTGCCGTCCGTCGCCGCGCGCGGCATGGCGCACCTGTTCGTCAAGAACCCCGCGACGGCCGCGGGCGTCTTCAAGGGCGGCCACGTCGACGGCGCGGTCAGCGCGTTCGGCGGCCGCGTGGGCCCTTCGCGCCCCTCGAGCGCCGAGGGCCCCGTCGGGAACAATGGCCCGGCGGGGCTGGGCCCGCACCGAGGCCGCGGCCTCGGGGATGGCGTCGACGGCGCGCTCGGGGCGCGGACGACGTCCCGGAGCTTCGACGCGTCCGGCTGGGGGCAGCCGACGAGGGTCTACTTCGTGCCCGGGGCCGCCGAGCCCTTCTCCAGAGACCTGCACGCTGGGGCCGCCCCTTCCCTCTCCAGGGACTCGCAAGGCCTGCCCGGCAGCCTCCAGCACCGCTCGCAGGCCGGGGCGCCGCGTGCCCGGACGCGCACCGTGCAGCGCCTCAAGACCACCACCACCATCATCACCAGGGAGGTGACCCTCCCCAGCGAGTCCCGCCGCAAGCGCGAGGGTTAGTGCTGGACCCCAGGGAATGGTGCCGAACCCGACCTGGGCAGCCAGGGCACGCCGGCGTGCCTGCTAAGTGACGGGACGGTCCATGCCGCCGTGTTTGTATTGACTTGGCTCGCGTCGGCCGCTTCGGCGCGCCCGCTGATGGTTTTAGAGTGATGTGTCCTGTCGAGGCGGCGCAGTGATTCGTATTTGTTGCGACCCGTCGCGACGGGGGCGCTGCGCTGCGTTGGGCTGCGCTGCCTTCCCGTCGGCCCGCCGGCCTGGCCATCGCCCATGTCCGGGGCGCCGCTGGGAAGGGCGCCAAGCTCGCGGGAGTGTCGTCTGTTGTCGACCGCGCCACAGAATATCGGAAAAAGCCATCTTGCCCAAACCTCGCGATCTGCGCTTTGCTTTTCGCTTCTCGAAGTTGGTACTGCGCGCTGCTGGGCTGCTGGCCGGCCGCCGCGCAGAGAGACGAATGCCCGCAAGTGGGTGGACGTGCCGCCTCGCCTCGTCTCGCCTCGCAGTGCAGCAGCACTGTACATGCACACTGTACATGGCACCATTTGGGCGCCACAGGCAGGCCGATTCCGCTCTGCCCATGACTCTGCCTCTCTGCCTGTAGGGGCGGGAGAGAGAGAGAGAGGTGCTGTTGGGAGTCAGCCGGCCCCTCCGTAAATAAATGGATAAATCAGCGCATTGTAGTGTCCGGCTGTCCGACACTGTCCGCGACGCGGCCGTGTCATCCGCGCGTTCGCGGTGAGCAATAGGTTATTTGCGCGCGGTCACCAAGTCCTTGCCGAGGGTGGCGCGAGAGAGACAGCGCCACTCTCCTGCGTCGGCTGCTATTATCGCTGAATGCGCTCTGGCGGGTCGGGTCAACGCACGCAGCACGCACCACCAGGCCACGCCGGGCTACGCCGGGCGGGCAAATCGGCCTGTCCGAGGTCCACCTGCGGCCTTCAGTCATGCCCCCCTCCACCGCGAGGCCCGTAAGACGCGTCGCGGGCAGCGCGTGCTGCTGCGTGCGGCGAGTGACCCCAGGACTTGGGCCGGACTGGGCGGGGGAGTGGGGGGCGCTCAGGCCGCCGGCCGGTCGCCGCAGCCCCTCCCCCTTCCCCTCTCCCGGAGAGCGGGTCGCTGGAGAGTTCCTGTCCTGCCCCATGGCGAGGCGGACTGCCCCGCCCAGCGCTCCGCCAGAGAGCCCCACCCCGCCGCGCCCCGCCCCGCCCCGCCCCGCCCTGGTCTAAAAACAAGCGGCCACTGCTTGCGCCTTGGCGCGCTCGGCTGTCGGATATTTTTGGGCTGTTGGGCGATGCGTCCCGCGGGCCCCACGGCCCCCACCCCTTCCCCCTCCACTCGCGCTTTCCCCCACTTTTCCCCCCACCACCCCCACCACCGGGCCGCGGGCGCGGGGCGTGTATTCTGTCGCCTTTCCCGAGTTTCTTCCTCACATTTCGTACTCGACCGAAGTCTTTACAAGACCTACCCGTTTTTTAATCCGAATTATGGCTCGTGGGCAACTCGAAGTGACCTGACTTCTGAACGTGACCGTCTTTCGCGCTGTTCCTTACGGTGCCGCGCCGCGCCCGCTTCATTGATATTGGAGTGATTGCGTGCGATCGAACGCCTCACTCAGCGCGGAGTGCCGCGCCGCGCGTGTCCTGTGCAACGACGTGTGCTGTGCTCTGCAAGTGGATTACCGAGCGGATTGGATTACCCGCTCAACGACTCGGCGCCAGACCTCTGGCGCGTCTCTCGCTGGATTAGTTGTTCCATGAACGACGCCGAAAATGAATCGCCAGCAGCAGCAGCAGATGCAGCAATCGCAGCAGTCGCAGCAGCAGGTGGTGCAGCAAACGTCCTACCAGACGCAGCAGCAGACACAGCAAGTGGTGCAGCAGCAGCAGAGGATTAGCCGTGTAGAGCAACATGTGACCCGCCAAGTGACCAGCCAGCAGCAAGGTGATGATGCAGTGCGAGTGGACTGGGGCAGGGCGACCCCAGTGCGAGTGGGATGCGGTGCCGAACGCAGTGCGAGTGCAAGTGGGCAGGGTGGTCGTGGTCCAGTGCCTGGGTGGACCCAGTGAACCGGACAGGGTGGCAGTGTGTGTGTGTGTGTCTGGAGCCGCGAAGCGGTTCGCCGCCGCGTCGGTCGGTCGCTCTACGGAGGACGGCACGCGAAACCGCCTGGCGGCAGGCTGGTGCCCCTCCCCGCGGCACGGCGCCGCGCCGTCCGTGCCTTTTAAGCCAAGCGCCTCGCCTGGCTCGCACTGCGCCGCGGTCGGCGTCGGTCGCCTTGCGTGGCTCAAAGAGTGGAGAATGCTTCTGCCTCCGCCCGGCGTGCATCTGAGGCGCCTTTTGCTCTTTATTCTGCGTCGGCCGTCGCCATGGTGTCCGCCAGGGCCTCGGTGACCACCGCGGTGACCGGGGCGTCCTGCTGCTCGCGAACCTCGCGGCCGTCTGAGTGGACGGCCGGCCAGGATAGTGTTACGGCGGGGCGGGGCGGGGCGGGGCGGCCGCACCGAAATAGCGGCAGCTGACAGCACTGGGACACGAAGAGGCACGGCGTGGCGGTGGACGGCGAGGCGCGCGCCGAGGCGGCCAGTGTGTTTGGGAGGATTCCCCCGAGTCAAAACGCGCGCCCTGGGCGCCCTGGGCCTGGTCATGGCCTGGTCCGGGGAAGTGTGCGCGGACGGCTGCCGGCCGCGCCAGCGCCGGAAATGCCAGGCGTCGTTTCGGAACGTTTTGTTGTCCTTTTCTCCTCCCTGACGTCACAGTCCCTGCTTTGTTTCAAAATAATCACCGGAGGGGACGTCCCCCCCCCTTCCACTATTTGTCCCGCGGCGCATACCGGCGCAAGTGATTTTTCTGGGGTAGGACGGCCGCGGGGACGCGGGCATGCCGTCGTGGTGATGAACGACCGGCATTATTCTAAATGTTTTTTTTTGTGCCCCTAGTAAGGTGGCCGGAATGTAGCGTGTGTGGGTGAGCCGGTGACAGGTCCCTGCTTGCTTGCCGCCGCGCCCCGCCCCAGCCGCCCCAGCCAAACACCTACCGCGCCGCGCCCCGCGTCGCCACGCCACCGCGCCCCGTCTAGCTGTTCGTCTGGCGGTGCGGCGGTGCGGCGTGGCGCAGCTATTCCCGGGGTATGATGCACCGCGGCCCTGCCGGCCCTGCTAGGGCTGCGGAGCGCTGCGGAGCGCGGACACCGGAAGGCGAAGGTGTTGTCGGCGAGCGCTGCCAAATCGCCAAACCCGAACGGCCCACTCGCCCCCAAACTCGCTGCACACCCTGCGAAAAAGATTTAAATCGGACGCCCTGTGTGGGGGCCCGGTGTGTGGGGGGCCGCGAGGGGCGTCGTTGTGTCGGGGCGGTGTGGGTGCGGCCGTGGGACGCGCCGGCCAAACGTCACTCGCACTATTTCGAGGTTCCCAAACAGTGACTGCGACGCCGCGATGCCACCGGCGTGGTGCTCGCCGAGCGCCACAGAGACCTCACGGCGTATGTCTTCCTCGGGAGCGCGTTCTGCCCATCCGCCGGGGAAGGGCTGTTTGTAATGTCAGTGAAAACAGTGGTCTCTATAAGTAGATACAAGTGTTTCTCACTTGCGCAGCCACCGCCGCTGACGTTTCCCAGGGAGCTGTGTCCGTGTGTGTGCTTGTGTGTGTGTGTGTGTCGCAAATCACTCGACCGGCGCCCCTCCTCCTCCCTCGGCTGAAAATGATGCCGTTTTCCGGTGGCGCAATGAATGCTTCGTCGCTGGCTGTGATGGGGCCCTCGATGACGTCGGCGGCGGTGCGCGTCGCTCCCCGAGGAAGCGCCGGGAAGCGGCGTCACCGAGCCCTCGCCTCCCCCTCAGCAGTAGCGTGGCGCCGCGTGGCGCCGCGTGGCGCGGTACGCGGGCGTCCTCTTTGTGTGGCGGCGTGCGGTAGGCGGGCGGCAGGCTGATGATTTGTGTCGCCTTGCCTCGCTCGCACTCGTGGCGCGTGCCGCAGGGGTGTGAGAGAGACAGGCGCCTGGGCGGCGACCAGCCCGCACGGCCGTGCCGTGGGTTGCCTCGGCCGCCGCGGCAGGCGCTCTTGCCCGCCGTTACTCTGAGTGCGAGTGACTCCCTCTTCCGACGCTGGCCAGTCCTCGCGCGCCGATGCTCGCGCCAGTCACTGCCTCTCCGTCTGACACCCAAATTTTCTTTCTGTCTTACAGTGCAAGGCATGGTCATGCAGTCCCCAGGCATGCAGATGTAAGTTGCTTTTTCCTTTTTCCTTGCTCTCGCTGCAGTTCCTTGTTGTTGTTGGTGTCTCTCTAAACGGGATGCGCGTGTGCGTGCAGGATCGGTGGTGGCCGGCCTGGGGATGCTTCGCCACCAGTGTTCGAACAGATCTTCAAGAACGCCCGCTTCGCGCAGGGCGGCAACGCTCTGTTCGAGGGTCGCGTGCGGGGCAACCCGAAACCCGTCGTCTCCTGGACCAGAAAGGGTGCACCCCTTTTCGGTGCGTTTGCTGTGCTTTTGTTTGCTGGTTTTTGTGTTGTTGTTTTGGTGTCTGACGACGGTTTTTGTCCCTGCCAGAGTCCAACAAGTATAAGATGCAGTACGAGGAACAAACAGGGAATGTTTCTCTACTCATCAACCAAATCGGTCCGGGAGATGAAGGGGAGTACACGTGCTCCGCGCGCAACCAGTACGGCGAAGCGATTTGCTCAGTGTACATCCAGCCTGAAGGTACTCGTCTTTTGCTTTCATGGTTTTCCCTTTTTCCTTGAACCGCTCTTAATGTTGTGCGGTGTGATTGTGTTTAGGGCAACCTCAGCTGGGTGGATACCAACGTCACATCGAACAGTCTTACGAATCCTCAGAACAGCGCACCTCTGGTGGCCAGACAGTACAGAGCTACCAGCAGCAGCGAACAGAAAAGACGTCATACTCAAACGGGCACACCTTAGTTCAAGAAGTAAGCTATTTTATTTTTCCGTTTTCTGTCGGAGTGTTTTGTGGCGGTAGATGCATGATGTTGTTGTTTTCTTGCCAGGATTTCAAGGTGGACACATTCGAATACCGGCTGCTGAGGGAGGTGGAGTACCGCGAGTCCGTGACCAGAAGGTACTCCCACGAGACCGACGCCCGACTGTCCACTGTCGTGGATCGGTCGCTCGGCCCTGCAGCAGCCCCTCAAATTTCGCAGAAGCCAAGGAACTCCAAGTTGTCCGAGGGATCTGATGCCGTCTTCTCGGCTAAAGTTCCTGCCAACCCTAAGCCAAGGGTAGGTCTTGATGCCTTCAAAAATTTAATTAAGAATAATTTATTCAAGTAATTTAGGATAATTAATGTTGGATTTAACTTCTGCTTTGCAGTTGACGTGGTTCAAAAATGGAGTTAGAATCGTTCCGTCCCAGAAATTCCAATCAAATTACTCCAACCAACAAGCAACACTTAAAGTTACAAACGCACAGACTGAAGACTCCGGCCACTACACGCTCCTCGCAGAAAACCCACAAGGTAAGGCTGCCTCTCCGTGAGCTTCCCGAGGTGTCTGTCGGACGTGGCGCTAACTCGTCCCCGTCTGCCCGCAGGCTGTGTGGTGTCATCCGCCTACCTGGCCATCGAGCCCCAGGCGCAGGAGTCCATCTACCAGCAACAGCGGGAGATCAGCACCAGATCGACCCAGCAGGAGACGCAGGTGGTCGAGTCGAGCGAGGTGGACGCGAGCAAGATGCTGGCGCCCAACTTCGTGCGCGTGTGCAGTGACCGCGACGTGACGGAGGGCAAGATGACGCGCTTCGACTGCCGCGTCACGGGGCGCCCGTACCCGGAGGTGGCGTGGTACATCAACGGGCGCCAGGTGAGCGACGACGCGACTCACAAGATCCTGGTCAACGAGTCGGGCAACCACGCGCTCATGATCACCAACGTGAGCCGCGCCGACGGCGGCGTCGTCACCTGCGTGGCCCGCAACAAGGCCGGCGAGACGTCCTTCCAGTGCAACCTCAGCGTCATCGAGAAGGAGCTCGTCGTGGCGCCCAAGTTTGTGGAACGATTCACTACAGTGACCGTCAACGAGGGCGAGCCGGTGGTGCTGAACGCACGCGCCGTCGGCACGCCCTGCCCAAGGATTACATGGCAGAAGGTGCGTGCCTTGGGGCTTGGCTCTTTGAAAGCCCTTTTGTGCCTGAATGCTTTCTGAACCCTGATTGTTTCCCCAGGATGGTATCCCCATATCGTCCAGCCCCGACGTGCAGATAAGTGTTGATGGCGGTGCCTCAACACTGGACATCCCACGAGCCAAGACCTCTGACGCGGCCTGGTACCAGTGCACGGCGCAGAACGTGGCGGGCTCCACGGCCACCCGCGCGCGCCTCTACGTCATCGGGCCGGACCGCAGCCAGCAGACGGAGGCCCGGCGCCTGCACCTGCCGCGTCCCACCAGAGTCATTGAACCAGAGTGAGTGCCCCGCCGCGCCCTGCCGCCGCGGTCCCTCTGAACATTGCCTAACCGCGGCGCTTTGCTGCGCTTTGCTTGCAGACCCGAGCCGGGCCCCGAAGTGATCTACCTCCGGCACGTGGAGCGCGCCAAGCCCCACCTGCCGGCGGCCGAGCCGGACCGCCAGTACCCGCCGCCTCAGTTCATCGTGCCGCTGCGCGACGTGTCGCAGATGGAGGGCGGCCGCATCCACTTCGAGGCCCGCATCGAGCCCGTCGGCGACCCCACCATGCAGGTGGAGTGGTTCCTCAACGGACGGCTGTTGGCAGCCAGTGAGTGTCGGGGTCGGGGGGAGTGCCGCACGCTGCGCGCCGTTGACGCCGTGCTCACCGTCTGTCTGCGCAGGTTCGCGAGCCACCACCACCTTCCGCTTCGGCTTCATTGCCCTCGATCTCCTCAGCATCATCGTCCAGGACGGAGGCGAGTACGTATGTCGGGCAACGAGCAGCACCGGGGTGGCCGAGTCGCGGGCTCGGCTCACAGTCACTGCCCGCACGGGCATCGAACAGACGAGCCAGCACCCGGACAGCCTCCAGCAGATCCAGCAGCTGGAGGACTACTCCCGCTACCAGCGCACCGAGAGCGTCGAGGACGCCGCGGCCCAGCGGCCGGAATTCATCCGCCCACTCCATGACCTGGGCGAGCTGCACGAGGGCCGCAACGCCCACTTCGAGGCGCAGCTCACCCCCGTCAGCGACCCCACCATGAAGGTGGAGTGGTACAAGGATGGTCGACCAATCACAGCAAGTAAGCGACTCGCTGCCGGCCCGGCCAGGCCTTGCTTCGTGGGAGAGAGCCGTTTGTGATTGGGCTTCGCTGTTGCAGGTTCACGCATCACCTCTATCTTCAACTTCGGCTACGTCTCTCTCAACATTTTGCACCTACGGGCTGAGGATAGTGGTGTTTACACAGTGCGTGCGCTCAACCGCTGGGGCGAGGCTATTAGCTCCTCGACCGTCCGGGTCATCGGTGAGTGCTCCTCGAAATGTCCTCGAAAATTCAATCAAAAGTAAAATGTGATGCACTGCAATATTTGTTTGATTGCAGCTCGTACGACTGTGACGGGTGACCTGGGAATTCCCGAGCAACAGAGGTACATTGAAAAAACGGAAGAATTAGAGGCCCACCACCTGGCCCAGCAGTACAGGAATTACCAACCCGAGCAGCAGGAGAGCTACGCTCCTCCTGAGTTCAAGACGCCCATCAAGGACCAGCTCGGCATTCGCGAGAACGCGTTCGCCCACTTCGAGGCCCGCCTGGAGCCCGTCGGCGACCCCACTCTGCGAGTCGAGTGGTTCAAGGATGGCCGCCCAGTTGAAGCGAGTACGTTGCAGCCAGCTGCAGCCAGTGCCCTCCCTGAAAGCACTGCTGTTTTCAAAACGATTTTGTTTGTCTGCTCCAGGCTCCAGGATCACCAGCTTCTTCAACTTTGGTTACGTGGCCCTGACAATCAAGAATGTGACAACGTTTGACCAAGGCACCTACACATGCCGGGCTGTCAATCAGCTGGGCGAGGCTGTCACCTCGGCTCAGCTGACAGTGCAAGGCAGGAATGACATTCTCATGGAGAGCCAGCACCCTGGGGGGCTGGAAAAGATCCAATACTTAGAGGACAACAGGTAATTTTCATTTGTGGTAGGACTTACTAAAAATTTCAATGGATTTGTTTTTTAACCACCCTTTTATTTATTACAGCCGCTATGCACGCATGCAGCAAGAGGAAAGCCAGGTTACCCAGAAGCCCAGATTTTTGGGTCCTCTGAAGGGTACGACCAAGATTGTTGAGGGCCAGCGTGCTCATTTCGAGGCTCGCGTTGAGCCCATGAGTGACGCTACATTGAAGATTGAATGGTACCACAATGGTAAAGCTATCCAACATGCAAACAGAATTCAGCTGTACCATGATTTCGGGTATGTAGCCCTCGACATTCTGAGCGTGCGTGCTGATGACAGCGGCACTTACACCGTCGTGGCCAGGAATGCCCTGGGCGAGGCCCAACAGTCTGCCAGCATGGTGGTCGAAACTCGCTCGGGCATTGACACATCCAGCATGCACAGAGGCACCTTCGAGAAGACTCGTCAAATGGAGGATTCCAAGTTTGTCGAACCTCATTACGATATCGAAGAAATTTCCAAGTCGAAGCCCATTTTTGTTCAGCCTCTTTCTGATCCCAAGCCAGTCAGTGAAGGCAAAAACATTCATCTTGAATGCCGCCTTGAGCCCATGGGAGACCCTACGATGCGAGTTGAATGGTTCCAAAACGGTCGACCTGTGACAGTTGGATCCAGGTTCCGCACCTACTATGACTTTGGGTACGTGGCTTTGGACATCGTCAAGACCACCGCCATGGACTCTGGTGAGTACACCTGCAGGGCCACCAACCACCTCGGCTCTGCCCACACCTCTGCCTGCGTCAGGATTATCAGCCGTGCCGACATCGTGACCGACACGATGAATGAGTCCTCCCTGGAGCAGATTCAAATGCTGGAATCGCGCCACCAGCGCCAGGCTCAAGAAGAAATCATTGTGGCACAGCCTCCTCAATTCACGAGGCCGTTGCATAATTTGGAGACAATTGAGGGCACAAATGTCCACCTGGAATGTCGTCTCCAGCCAGTTGGTGATCCAACCATGCGCGTTGACTGGTTTGTCAATGGGCGCCCAGTCCGTACTGGACACCGCTTCCGTCCTGCCTATGACTTTGATTACGTAGCCCTTGATCTGCTGAGTGTATACCCTGAAGATTCTGGTGTTTACACTTGCCAAGCGCGCAACCAACTTGGTGAAGCAGTGACCTCCTGCTCAGTCCGTGTGATTGCCAAGAGGGACCTGCTTCTGGAGACTCAGCACCCAGGTGGTCTGGAGAAAATTCAGTACCTGGAGGACACCTCGCGTTACAAAAAGTCAGAAATGGCTGAGGAAATTGTCAATGTTCGACCAAGATTCATCACCAGGCCAAAGAATGTGGAGGGTCTTCGTGAGGGATCACACGCTCACTTTGAGTGCAAGTTAGAGCCAGTGACTGACCCCAATCTCAAGGTTGAGTGGTTCAAAAATGGACGTCCTATCACCGTTGGACACCGCTTCAGACCAATCCATGACTTTGGATATGTCGCCCTTGACATCATTGACCTAATTGCTGAAGATTCTGCCACTTACACATGCAGAGCTGTGAATCTGGTTGGAAGTGATGAGACAACATGCACACTGAGCTGCCGAGGTGGTGCTCAGATCGTAACAACTACTGAAAATGAGCAAGGCCTGCAGCAAATTCAGTACCTTGAAGACCGATCCAGATTCCAACGCCATGAGCAGGTGGATGAATCAACAACTCAGGCCCCTGTTTTCACAACTTCATTGAAGCCAGTCAACATCAAGGAGGGTCAGCGTGCTCACTTTGAATGTCGCCTGATTCCTGTCAGTGACGCGACGATGAAAGTGGAATGGTTCCACAACAATCAGCCCCTGAAATCAGGTTCACGCTTCACTGAAACCAACAACTTTGGCTTTGTTGCGCTTGATATTTTGTACTGCTATCCTGAAGATGCCGGCACGTACACTTGCCGTGCTCGCAACATTTTGGGAGAGGCTGTCACCTCAACCACACTGGCTGTACAGTCAAGGCAATCCATTCAGAGAGACACCCAGCATGAGTCAGCCCTCGGCAGAATCAACCAGCTGGAGAGCACTCGCTACCAGCGATCTGATGTGCCAGACGATGCCATCACTCAGCCTCCCGTCTTCACTCAGCCCATGCGTGATGTAAGAGTTGCTGAAAATCAGGCCGCTCACTTTGAGGCACGGCTCATTCCTGTTGGAGATCCCAAACTCCGAGTGGAATGGTTGAGAAACGGTGTTCCTATTCAGGCCTCGAATCGTGTCACCACGATGCATGACTTTGGCTATGTAGCCCTAAATATGAAGTATGTGAACCCCGAAGACTCCGGCACTTACACTTGCCGTGCCATAAATGAGCTCGGCCAAGCATTTACATCTGCGGCCCTTGATGTTGCGTCCAAGGCTTCATTGCTGTTGGAAACGCAGCATCACGGAGCTGTCGAAAAGATTCAGCAACTCGAAGATCATACTCGTTATGGGCGTAGAGAGGAGCAGGATGTTGTAGTGACCCAGGCCCCACACTTCACAACTCAGCTGAATGGACCAACGCAGCTTGTGGAAGGCCAGAGTGCCCATTATGAGTGTCGCATTGAGCCATACCCCGATCCCAACTTGAAGGTCGAGTGGTTCCACAATGGAAAGCCCCTGTCCACTGGACACCGCTACCGTACCACTTACGACTTTGGATTTGCATCCCTGGATGTGCTCACTGTGTACGCTGAAGATGCTGGAGAGTACACTTGCCGTGCCACCAACAACTTGGGCCAGGCTACTTCTTCCATTAAACTGGGAGTCACCTCGCGCGCCGGCATCATCCGCGAGACTCAGCACGAGGGCGCCTTGCAGAAGATCCAGCATCTGGAGGATGACTCTCGCTACCGCAGGAAGGTGGACGAGGATGCAGTTGTCATGGAGAAGCCTCAGTTCGGCCGCTCCCTCCGCAACATCGAAAATCTCCCCGAGGGCCAGAGTGCCCACCTGGAAGCCACCCTCACACCCGTTAACGACCCCACAATGGTTGTTGAATGGTTCTGCAACGGCAGGCCCATCAAGCAGGGCCACCGATTCAAGACCACCTACGACTTTGGCTTTGTCGCTCTGGATGTTTTATACGCCTACCCAGAGGACTCTGGCACTTACATGTGCCGTGCGCGCAACGCCGTGGGCGAGGCCGTCACCACGTGCTCCGTCAAGGTCCTCGGCAAGGAGGGCCTTTGCCTCGACACTCTGGACGAGCAACGCCTGCAAAAGATCCGAGAACTGGAAAATTATGCCCGGCCACAGCGTGAAGAAATTGAGGCCGCCGTCCAGAAGCCAGTGTTCGTCACTCCACTGGCAAGTCTCCCCAATCTGAAAGAGGGTGAACATGCCCACCTTGAGTGCCGCGTTGAACCCATTAATGATCCTAATTTACGCATTGAGTGGTTTGTCAATGGAAAGCCCCTGAAGGCTGGTCACAGGTTCCGCACCACTCATGACTTCGGGTATGTTGCCCTCGACATTTTGTACGCATATGCCGAGGACTCCGGAACATACATGTGCAAAGCAACTAATCTGCAAGGAGAGGCAGTAAACACCTGTGAGATCGGGTGTGCTTCTCGCCGCAGCATTTACCTCGAGTCCCAGCACCCCGATGGTCTGGAGAAGATCCAGATGCTCGAGGCTGCTGGCCATCCTGCTCGTTTGGAGGTGGAGGAGCCTACCGTTACTGCTCCCCGATTGGTCACAGAGCTTCGGGGCACAACAGAAATCTGTGAGGGCCAAACTGCCCACTTTGAGTGCCAGGTTGAGCCCATGCACGATCCCAATCTGCGCATCGATTTCTACCACAATGGAAAGCCACTTCCATCAGGCAATCGCTTCCATATCACATTTGACTTCGGCTATGTGGCTCTGGACATTACTCACGCAGTCGCCGAGGACGCAGGCGAGTACTCTGTGCGAGTCACCAACGCACTCGGGGAATGCCAATCGTCCATCAAGTTGAAAGTCGTTTCCAAGGGCAGCATCATTTTGGAGTCACAGAGGCCGGAGGCTCTGGAGAAAATCAGCAAATTGGAGGCTGGAGCCCCCAAGAGAGCAGAGGCAGAAGAGCCTCAGACAAGACAGCGGCCTGTTTTCACCCAGCCCCTGCAAAATATTGACAACATTGCTGAGGGTCAAACTGCTCACTTCGAGTGCCGCTTGATTCCAGTTGGTGACCCCACCCTCAAAGTTGAATGGTTCCGTAATGAGAAGCCACTTGAAACCAGCTCTCGCATTGCCAAGACTCACGACTTTGGCTTTGTTTCTCTGGACATGTCTCACGTACGTGAGGAGGATGAAGGCGTCTACATGTGCCGCGCAACCAACGCTCTTGGTGAGGCAGTGACAACAGCCTCAATGAAAATCCGCAGCAAGGCCTCCATTCAGTTGGACACGCTGCACCCAGAGGGCATGAAGCGAGTCCAGCAGCTGGAGGAGGGTAAGGGTCCCCAGAGGCCCGATGAGCCAGAACGGGTGTTCGAGAAGCCCATCTTCACGCAGATGCTTACTGGGCCCTCCGAACTGTGGGAAGGTCAGCATGCTCACTTTGAGTGCCGTGTCGTGCCTGTGGGAGATCCAAACCTGAGGTTTGAGTGGTTTGTGAACGGAGTTGAGCTGAAGATGGGTTCTCGATTCCGTGTCACGCATGACTTTGGATTTGTGACCTTGGACATAAGCAAAACTATCCCTGAAGACTCTGGGGTCTACATGTGCAAAGCTATCAATCTTGCTGGAGAAGCCGTCTCCTCCACATCCCTTAAAGTCAAATCGAAGTCTAGCATCGCCCGCGATGCATTGCAGCCTGATGCTTGGCAGAAGATTCAGCTCAAGGAAGCAGAGATGAACAAAGTGCCAGAAATGTTTGTGGACACCACTCCTCAGCAGGCACCAGTTTTCACCACTCATCTCAACAGCCAGGACAAGCTGATCGAAGGCCAGCATGTGTACCTCGAGGCTCAAGTAGAACCCCGCGCAGACCCCAATCTGCGAGTGGAATGGTTCAAGAATGGAGAGTCACTTACCACAGGTGAGAACTTTTTTTATATACCAGAGTAAAATTATTTTTTTAAAAAAATGGTTATTGGTTTGGTGGGTGTTAATAATTTTCTCCTTGCTTTCCAGGTTCTCGAATCCGTAGCACATTTGATTTTGGCCTGGTGACCCTTTCTATTAATGGATTGCGAGCTGACGACTCAGCTATTTACACCTGCAAAGCCACTAATCTGTTAGGTGAAGCTGTTTCGACCGCAACCTTGAAAATTGATGGTAAGTTGCACTGAGTTCTCCATAACTTTTTTTTAGTCGTTATATTTTTAAGAGAGCGATTCTAAAAGAAATGAATTTTTCTATCCAGATCAACACTGGCTTATTAACCAGCCTTTGCACCCTGAGGCAATTCCTCGCATTGAGCAGCTTGAAGCTCCTAAGGAAGCCCGCCCAGACGCACCTGAGCCAACCTATGAGTTGCCAGTATTCATCACTCACTTGAACAATGTGGAATGCAAGGAGGGTGACACTGTGCACTTTGAATGCCATGTTGAACCTGCAAAGGATCCAACCCTTGGCATTGGTAAAAAAAAACAAAAACTTTTTTTATAATGTTCCCAAACAATTATGTTTATTATTGCTACAGTTTAGTTTAACCAACAAAAATTAATCGTTTTCAGAATGGTTTGTCAACGGCAAGCCACTCACCCATGGTGCACGCTTTAAGTCTACTTATGACTTTGGTTACGTCTCACTTGACATCTCTGGAGCCTATCCTGAGGATTCAGGAATTTACACCTGCAAAGCAACAAACTCCAAGGGCAGTGCTACTACCTCTGGATCTCTTCGGTGCACAGGTACTGTCTGATTGCCTTGTTGCTGAGACCTTTATTGTAATTTGATCCAAAATTTACTAAATCTAGCTCCTCTATTGTTTCAAATATGTGTTTTTTAATTTTAGGTAAATCTAGTATTTACCTGGACACTCAGCATCCCCAAGGAAAGCAGGGTCTTGATGCTGTTGATGAGGTTGAAGCTGCTGTTCAAGGCAAGGCTACTCGTCAACCAGATAAACCAGAGCCTCAATTCCCCAAGCCTATTTGGACTGTGCCATTAAACCCAGAATTCCGTCTGGGTGAAAATGACAAATTACATCTTGAGGGAACCGTTGAGCCCAAGAATGATCCCAATCTTAAGATTGAATGGTACTTCAATGGCAAGGCTTTGGAGCATGGTAAGTGTGAAATTTTAGGAGTTCTCATCCCTTTATATCAATAATCTAATTTTTGAAAGATTCCTGGTTTAATCTTTTTCTGTCTTTGCATTTGTAGGATCTCGTTTTAAGATGACCCAGGACTTCGGATTTGTGACATTGGATCTGGCTGACGTTTATGAAAGGGACCAGGGTGTTTACACTTGCAAAGCTTTCAATCAGGCTGGTGAGGCTTTCACTTCTACGACCATATATTGTACTAGCAAAGAGAACCTCATTGAAGGTACCCAGCACCCTAAGGGTGAGAAGGGTCTAGAGCAAATTCAGAATCTTGAAGATGCTCTCACTCGCCAGCCTGGATCTGTTCCTGATGCTGATGGTGGTCAACCACCTGTTTTCACATCTCAGGTATTTCTTGATTGCTTCTTTGAAATAACAAAAGGAAACCAAATTGTGGCATGTGTGGCAATTAAATTATCTTGCTTCATTTTTTCTATCTAAGAAAATTATAAGCAAATAAATTTTCCTTTAATAAGAATTTTAAAAATATACTATGCAAGAGTGTGTTTCTTCAAAAAATAACATATGTACATTTAATATATCTTAATCTAGCTAAATTTTCTTAATGTTTTTTTGTGTTAGTAATATAGCATATTTTGTGTAAGTGCTTTATTATTAGCCTCTTATCTGCTTTCAGCTGGAAGTATCCCCAAAATTGACTGTTGAGGTATGCTAATGCTTTTTGCTCCTTTGCATAAATTGAGTTTTGCTTAATTATTAATCAGTAACTTGTATTTTTTTGTGTGTGTCTTGGATTTATGAAAAATGTTGTATTGTTTGTAATGCAATTTTGTCTTCTGTAATACAGTTCCAGAATTTGAGCAATCTAAGTGAAGGTGATATTGCTCACTTTGAGGCTTCCCTCACCCCTGTTGGGGACCAAACAATGGTTGTGGAATGGTTCTATAACGGAAAACAACTTGAAGCTAGTGAGTAAATTTTCTGATGCATAGCTTGAGTTTCCTTTTGTTTGCAGTTTTGTCATTTAATTTTTTAAATATTTCATCCCCTAGGCCACAGAACTAGGACTGTACATGCATTTGGTATGGTGGTTCTTGAAATTTTGGGTACCAAAATTGAAGATTCTGGCACCTACACTTGCCGTGCAACAAACAAATGGGGACAGGCAGAGATTAGTGTGAACTTGGAATGTGTTGACAAATCCAAGGGACAGAAACCACAGTTCACTACCCAAATTCAGGTCTGATTTTCAGATCTTAAGCAAACATAATTTCTTACTTTTCTTTCTAATTTAAAATTTATGTTCTGGGTGTTGTTTATTTTTCTTTTAGAGCTTGGATGGCTTGAAGGAGGGAGACTCTGCTCACTTTGAGTGCACATTGATTCCTGTCAATGATCCTAATCTCAAAGTGGAATGGTTCCACAATGGTCAGCCTTTGCGTCATTCTTCACGCATCAAGTCGGTGTCAGACTTTGGCTTTGTTGTAATGGACATTGCCTATGTGCAGAGCCATGACACTGGCGAATATATTTGTAAGGCCAGTAACAGGTTAGTATTTTAAATGAGAATTTTGGAGGATAATGCACCAGAATCATTTCTGACAATTATTTTCTTTAAAAATTAATAATCTTACTCAGATATGGAGAGGACACTACTCGAGCCACCATCAAGTGCACAGGCAAGGGCGGCGTCTACTTGGACAGTCTGCAGCCTGATGCACTCGCTCGCATCAGGGAGTTGGAGAGCTCACAGTCCCAGCAGCCAAGCCAGTCTGCTACCCCTGCTGACCAGCCACCTAAGTTCATAACTCAAATCAGTGATGTCGTGAACTTGAAGGAAGGGCAGAGTGCTCACTTTGAAGCCAGGCTCACTCCTGTCAATGACCCCAATCTTGTCGTAAGTTTTAGGAGTCCTCTTTAGAATTGGCAAATTATTTCTTATAATTTCAATCTTGTTTATTTCCCAATTTTAATGGTCTCATTGAGTTTATTTTCATTTTTATCAGGTGGAATGGTACTACAATGGTAAGAAGTTACCCCATGGACATCGTTACCGTACTTTCCATGATTTTGGCATTGTGATCCTGGACATTCTCTACTGCTATGAGGAAAACTCTGGTCTCTATGAATGCCGAGCATATAACAAAGTTGGTGAGGACAGCACTAAGGCCAATCTAAAATGTGTATCTAAGGCCAACCTTATTCTGGAATCACAACTGCCACAGGTAACCATTCTGCTGATCAATTTCATGAAAAAATAGTAATGAGCTTCAATTTATTAAACATGGTTTTTAATTCTAGGGAATGGAGGGAGGTTTGGAGAAGATTCAAACCCTTGAAGATTCATTGGTGCGCACTAGAGATGAGCAGGCATCAGAGCTGAAGGGTGTTGCACCTGTCTTCACAGTTCCTCTTGCAAACATTGACAACTTGCGTGAAGGAGAGAGTTGTCACTTCGAAGCCAGGTTGACACCTACAAATGATCCAAAACTGAAGGTTGAATGGTTCTGGAATGGCAAACCTTTGAAAACAGGTTCAAGGTTCCGTACCTTCTGTGACTTTGGTTTTGTCATTCTTGAAATTTCACCCGTGTATCCTGAAGATTCTGGAGAGTACTCTTGTCGTGCTTCCAATGACTATGGTGAAGCTGTTACAACAGCAACAATGAAGATTCAAGGTGAGTTGAGTTGATTCTCAAAGTTTCCATGTCCTTAATTTTCTACAAAATTTTATTGGACCTTTAATAACTGAATGTTTTACAGGAAAGCGAAGCATCATCATGGAATCTCAACTGCCTCAAGGTATGGAGGGCACCATTGACAAGATTGCTGAGCTGGAGGGTCTTGGCCAGCCTCGAGGACCGACTGAGGCTGAAGATGACACTGGCAAACCTCCTGAGTTTGTTACAAGTCCCACTGACCAGTCATTGCCTGAGAATTCCCTCGCCCACTTTGAGTGTCGCCTCATTCCTGTTAATGATCCTTCAATGCGAGTTGAATGGTTCCACAACGGCAAGGCTTTGTGGGCAGGTTCTCGCATCAAAACTATCAACGATTTTGGCTTTGTCATTTTAGAAGTGGCTGGTATTTATGTTAGAGATGCAGGTCTCTACACATGCAAGGTAAAAATATTTTGTGTTTGCCTGACATTGGAAGCTTTAAAGTTTAAATTCATTTTTATAATAATTTTTTTTTTGGTACCTTTAGGCAACAAATAAACATGGAGAGGCTACTGTGTCATGCAAACTGCAAGTCCGTGGCCGACAAGGCATCGTTTTGGAGCCCCAGCTGCCAGCACACTTTAAGACAGGAACTGAGAGTATCCAGAAGCTGGAGGAACAACTGTACAAGAAGGATGAAATCATGGCTGATGATGAGAAGCCTAATCCACCCCGCTTCATTGTTGAACTTAAGGTTAATATCTGTACCACTTATTTATCATTTTGCCAATTTATTCCTTCTCTGAATCATAACAACAAGGTTTACTTGATGTGCAGGATCAATCAGACCTTGAAGAAGGCCAGCCTGCTCACTTTGACTGTCGTGTGGAGCCAGCTAGTGATCCTACTATGCGTATCGACTGGTTCTGGAATGGCCGTCCTTTTGCTACTGGCTCTCGAGTTCATCAACTCAACGACTTTGGATTTATTGTTCTTGATCTGACTCACACATATGCTCGTGATTCTGGAGAATTCATGTGCCGTGCTACCAACAAGTGGGGAACAGCTACCACCAAAGCAACTCTCCAATGCAGACCCAGGAAGATGATTGACTTCGATTCACAGCTTCCCCAGGGCATGAGTGGAGAAAAGCTGAAGGCCCTTGAGAGAGGACCTCTCCCCACTGCTGCTGCTCCAGAAGAGCCAGAAGCCCAGCCACCCAAGTTCATCACTCAGGTAAAACTCTTTAGTTTTAGCTGAGGCCATACACAAGCTGTTCTATTTCACAACTAAAGCCCTGTCTTTTTATCTGGTACAGATTGAATCAGCTATCGTGGAAGAAAGTGAATCTGTCCACTTTGAGTGCCGTGTTGAACCAAAGAATGATCCAAAACTGCGAATTGAGTGGTACCGCAAAGGAAAACCACTGCCATCTGGTCACCGTTACCGCAGCACATATGACATGGGCTTTGTTTCTCTTGACATCCTGAATGTTTACAATGAGGATGAAGGAGAGTATGTCTGCCGTGCAGTAAATGATGTTGGTGAAGATTTCACCAAGGCCACTATTTCTTGCAAGAGTAAGTTTTGCATGATCATAAAAATAATTATTACTCTTGTTCTTATCTTATTTAAATTCTAAATTGTTGCACTGTATTTTCCTTGTAGAGCTCCCCACCATTGTCCTCCACAACCAAGTACCTAAGGGAATGTTGAAATCAGAACAACTAATGCAAATGGAGGCTGCTATTAAGAAGTATACATCTGAAATCCATCTTACTGAGGATGATCTTTTCGACCCAGAGCGCAAGCAGCCACCACGGTAAGCCGTATAAACCCAGAGCTTTCTCTGTTCTAACACTTGTTGTGCTTTGAATTACATTAATATTTACGATTTTTGTCCTTAGCTTTGTCACACAAATTCAGACCCAATTGGACTTGGTTGAAATGCAGAACACCAAGTTTGAATGTCAACTTGCACCTGTTGGTGATCCTCACATGAAAGTGGAATGGTTCTTTAATGGAAAACCATTGCCATACAGTACGTTTTCTAAATAAATCTACATTTATTTTTTAAAAAATATCCGAACATGTTGGATATATGGTAATGAACCCACTTGTTGCATTTTTACAGAAAATCGCTTCACACCTATCTATGATTTTGGCTATGTGGCTATGAACTTCGGGTGGGTCTACCCTGAGGACAGTGGTGAATATCTTTGCCGTGCCACCAATCTTTATGGCATGGATGAAACTCGTGCTGTAATCAAAACAGCTGGCAAGCCAGGTATTATTTATGAATCTCAACTTCCTAAGGGAATGAAGAGTATTGAACGTATCCGAGAAATGGAAGCAGCTTGGCAAGTGTGAGTATTCATTCTTGTGATCCAAAAGTATCCGTTTTTGGGGAGAGCATACAGTGTTTAATTTATTATTTGGCTCCCTTCCTCTTTCCTCAGTGTGCCTGAGTCACTGGAAGAGGAAGACAAAGCTCGTGCGGCTCCCATCTTCGTGACCAAGCCAGACCCCTTCACTGTTGAGGAGGGTGAATGCGCGCGATTCTGCTGCCGCGTCACGGGCCATCCAAGGCCCAGAGTAATGTGGCTGGTCAATGGCCACACTGTTGTCAATGTGAGTGTTTCTAAAAAAAAAGAAAAAAAATTGCTTGACATGCCGTTTAAAATGTTATCAAACACGCCTTTCTTGTGCCAGGGCTCACGCTACAAGCTCACCTACGACGGCATGTGGCACCTGGACATCCCCAAGACCCGGCAGTACGACAACGGCACCGTGGAGGTCATCGCGAGGAACTCTGTCGGTGAGGCGCGGGTGTCGACCGAGCTGGTGGTGAAGCCCCGTGGTGACGATTACCGCAGTGTGCTCAAGAACTCACCTCGCCGTAAGTCGCTGGCATCAATGTGTGTCTTGTGTGTACCTATGTGGAACGTTGAAGGAAAAAAATGGGTTTGTCACCTAAGGTCAATTTTAATTGTCTGCTGAGATTGGCCAAGTTCCACATAAGTTCACACCTAATGTGTTCTGGTTAATCAGTTTTCGTTTCAGGAGGTGCTGACTGACTGGTGAAGGAAGCAGATTCATTAATAAATTTTTCTTTCAGCAAGTGAAGTTGTAGATTTGATTTTGTTTTTGTTGATTTGAGTTCACATATTAACAGCAAGTACAAATTGCACCGCCGTTAATGACATGCACACAAATACTCAAATTATGCTATTACTGCTACAATATTGCATTCCATCAGTGAAAATAAATAAGCCAATAAATATCAAGCATTCTTAAACTGCTGTTGTTTTTGTCTTGACTGTAGCTTACACTGTTGGTATTGACATTTATGGATTGCAAGCTGCTCACTCTGCTCTCAATACTAACACATAGCATAACAGAAACAGAATCCTGCCGATACATTTGCATCCCTCACTCCACTCTATCGGACACTATCCAAGATCCACTTTCCACACATTCCTTTTCCTTCTTCTTTCCCTCCAACCCCCTGAAGCAATGGCTCTATCATCGTGGGCTCTGCTGCCTTTATCCCAGGTATTCTAAAATGACTCCAAGCTTCTGTTGCTTTCAGCGGAAGCCTGCAGGTATGGTTCATTCATTTTATATTATGTGTGGAAATGTCTGTCTGTTTCATTTCCTGCATGAATAATGTCCCTTACTTTGAGAAATAAGTTCAATCTTAAATCATCTCGGAACGATTTTTGTTTAGTTTGCTGATTAGATATAAATATTGAAAGTTATCCTCGTTATATGCCAATAATGACCATAGCAGACAAAAATAATTTTGCTGCATATGTTTTTGTTGAAAAGATTGAAGAAGATGATAAAGTAATGTCTTGAGCTTAGCATGGACTTTCTTGCCTACTACAGGTGTGTTTTCTTTTGCATGTCCTAATAATTGTTGCAAAGAAATTTTAATTTCTTTCTGTCTTAAATGCTGCAAATGTTTTTGTAACCAGCTTGATTAATATCACATGAAAAATGAACTGTATAAATTTTCAGCATGTAACCAGTGTTCTCCATTGTGCATGTTTCATAAATCACTTTTTTATTCCCATTTCAAGAGACCAGTTCAGAATACAATTATGATGCTCTTAGTCCTCCATTCAACTGTTTGTTCATAATTGTCAATTTTTGCATCGTTTTTGAGATCAGACCTTGTCTCTTGGAAGACTCATAACACAGCAAACCGGAACATGGAGTTTGAACCAGAACACTGCAGATACCAACAGTTATGCATCGTGACCATGTTTGTGATTTTATTTTTCATACCTGTTGTAGGTGTTGAACCCTTCATGAGTGGTTGCATTTTACAGTTTTCAAAAAATGATTCTGTTATTTTAAACATTGTATAAAAAAGGCTCTTGGTCTTAAAGGTAGACTCTATAAATCACAACTTAAACTTAACAAATATTCAATATTAACATCACATATTATTGTTAATATAATACTTACAAGTTTTCTAGTACTTCATGACAGTCCTTCTTGAAACAGAGTTGACCAGTCATTAACTTTCCTTGCTACAGAATTCTTATCATTTTTCTTATCACAATAAGCATGCTATTCTTGAAATTAAGGATTTGCTCTTTTAGTAATTTAAAACTTTTAAGCTCCATATATGTAATTTGAAACTGCCCCATCCTTGTTTTTATCTCTGCTGAGGCTTGTCTTCCAGCGCAAATGGTTCTTTCTCACTAGAGAAAGTCATAATGCCCGCGTGCTTCTGTGGTTTGTGATCCGTTCTAGTTGGCATGATTGTATGTGGAATCCCATTTATCCTCATCTTTGCTTCTACCGACCATTAATGTAATTACACAAATTGGTCGAGAAGCAAAAACTTTAGCCCTGGCTCATCTATTTATGGTGCTTCAAATGATAAATATAATTCTCATGTGTCACTTAAATTAAATGATACAGTGTCAACAGAATTCTCTGACGTGGTAAAATAATATCAAATGTTTTTGCCTCTACAAAATAAACTATATTTCAAGGGGCACTCTTGGTCTTGTCCACAATGGAACATTCACTGGCATTTTTCTAACTTGTTTTTCTCATCACTGCAGCCTGGTATGATGCCGACCTTGAGCAGTACCAGAAGGAGCGCCAGGACACAGAGCTGGAGTCTTTCTTCCAGGAGAGACAGGCACAGAAAGCTCAACAGGGTGACATTCACTTTGAGCCTAGACACAAACAGGCGAGCAAGGAGCCTGAGCTTGAGTGGCAGCGCACAGCCAAAGAAAAACGTGGTGATGATTACTACAGCAAACTTCAAAAGGTAATATAATTTTTTCAATAATTTTTTTTTTCATTTGTATGTTTGTTGCAGCAATTAAGTGCAGATTAATTATTGTTTCTGTTTAACCTTATAGCTTGAAGAAGAACAAATGCTGAAGGAATCTCACCTCCGTGAAAAATCCCACCAGTTTGCTATTCCTGGAGAAAAAGTGGTCTCCAAATCTCTGTCCAAGGGCATGGCCCAGAGCTATGAAACCAATTTGTGAGTTCAGATTGAACCCAAATAATATGTCCCTTAAGGTCTGCAATCCACATTACTAAGATTTCTCTTTTTCTGTTTGATCAGGGCGGAGAAGCCAAAGGAAGAAAAACCTGATTGGGTGAAGCAAGCCAAATTAAAGCAGAAGTCTTCTGCTCAAACAATAGAAGATCGACAGCTGGAACAGAATGCAACCAAGCCTGTGCTGCCGTCTTGGGTTCAACAAGCCAAGGCCAAGCACAAGGCCACTATGCAACAGCTTGAGCAGCAACAACAGCAGCAACAACAGCAGCAACAGCAGCAGAAGACTGAACAGCAGACTGAACAGCAGACTGTTCAGCAGACTCAAGAGCAAACTCAGAAGCAAACGCAACAGCAGAAAGTAGTTCAGAAGAAGGGTGTGCCCGCTGAAGGAGAATCTAGTGTACATGGACGAGAAGTTCATGTCGCAAAACAGAAGCAGACCCAGAAAGAGGCAAGTATAGTTGTCATAATTATTTTTCTAGTGCTTTGGACCACTATCTTGATGGAGGATTTTCTGCAGGTTGTCGGAGACACTGAAATCACCAGGAAAATAACTGCTACTGAGACCACAGAGGTGGAGCACAAGGGCAAGACACATGAGCGAGTCGTCCAAGGCCAAGTGGTACGATCCTGTTCGACAAATTTAATTTTCTGTTATGTTTAAATATTTTAAAATTAATTTAAATTTTTTTTGTAGAAACCAGCCAAGCCTCCAGTTTTTACCAAGAAAATCCAGCCTTGCAGAGCGTTCGAGCAAGAGCAGGCTCGGTTCGAGGTGGAGTTTGACGGGGACCCGATTCCCACCGTTCAGTGGTTCCGCGAGAACTACCCTATCCAGAGCTCTCCCGACTTCCAGATCAACACCTTCGGGACGAAGTCCATCCTCACTGTCAGACAGGTCACTACAGTCGCAAGTCGGATTCTGCTCTGCCATCGCTGCCCTTGTGTACGAATGCACCTAATCGGCTGTCGCTCGTCTGCCTGCAGGTGTTCATGGAGGACTCCGGCGTGTTCGCCGTGGTCGCGGAGAACCGCGGTGGCAAGGCCAAGTGCAGCGCCAACCTGGTGGTGGAGGAGCGTCGTCGGCCGGGCCGTGGAGGCGTCGTGCCGCCCAGCTTCCTGTCGACCGTGCAGGACGTGACCGTCAAGGCCGGCAGCCTGGCCCGCTTCGACGCGCGCATCGCCGGCACCAAGCCGCTCGACGTGCACTGGCTCAAGGTGCGTCCGCCGTGCCTTCGAGCGTGGACCTAGAGAAGCAGGCGACCTAGTGGCGAGTGCGCTGACCCGGGGTCTCTTTCTTTCTTTCCGCAGAACGGCTCCAAGGTCGTTCCCGACATCCGCTTCAAGACCGTGGAGGAGGACAACCAGCACACGCTGCTGATCCTCGAGGCCACCCCGCAGGACAGCGGCCGCTACGAGTGCGTGGCCATCAACAGCGGCGGCGAGGCGCGGTGCGACGCCGAGTGCTTGGTGCAGCCGCCTGGCAAGGCCCCCGGCAAGGCCCCCACCAAGCCGGGCAAGGCCCCCGAGCAGAGCGGCAAGCCCACCCTGGCCGAGCCCCTGTCTGACCAGACGGTGCGAGAAGGCCAGCCCGTTGAGTTCCGCTGCAAGATCACGGGACTGTCCGCTGGAGAAGGTAATTGTTTTCTGCTTTACTTTTCACTCTGAGCCTTTTGATTGGGGTGCCATTTTCCTATCAATAATTTTTGGGGTTCTTTCTTTTCCAGTCCCTGATCACAATTGGTTCAAGGGAAATAAAATCATCAAGCCGTCCAGGTACTTCCAAATGAGTCTAAACAGCGCTGGAGTTTACACATTGAAAATATCGGAAGCCTTCCCCGAAGACGAGGGCGAGTACAAATGTGAAGTGAAGACACCGGCCGGATCGGTGTCGACTTCAGCGAAGCTGCGCGTGCAAGGTGAGTAATACTCAACGTTTCTGTCTCACTGTTCTCTTTCCCGCGTGCAGAGTTGCTTGTTGGATTGCCTACCCAGCAGGCGCCATCGCCTGAAGGCTGGTGTCCATGAAATCAAGGGCCAATCAACAATCTTATTGTTCTTATTTTTGCAGCGCCTGAAACTCAAGAGGTCGCTCCTAAACTCACTCCAATGAAGGATGTCATTGTGCCAGAGGGAAGTCCAGCTCAATTCAAAACTCAAGTGACAGGAAAACCTCAGCCAACGGTTCAATGGTATCGTGAAGGAGCCCTGATTCCACAGTCTGCTGACTTCCAGGTAATTGGAAACGTACATTCGTCACCGGACATCACGCTTTATTCATTGAAATTCTCATCAAAATTTTTGGAATAGTCCATGGGTTTGATCCACTAAATTCAGGAAGAATTGCCTTACTTTTCAGATGATTCACGAAGGCAACTATGCTGTGCTCCTAATATCAACAACTTATGAGGAAGACTCGGGCAAATTTACTTGTCGCGCTACTAATGCTGCGGGGCAGACGGAGACATCAGCTAAGCTGCTCGTCAAAAGTAAGGACTAAAGAACACCGAACTGTCTTTCTTCTACTTCTGTCTGCCCTAAGTGGGTCCTACTGTCTATTATCCTCTCAAAGTAGTGTATATTTTTTATATTGTTACTCCTTGAAAGTGGAAATCTTTGCTGTCAGCAATCTGACTATGCCAGATTGCCCAGTGCATTTTTTATTGGTGGTTCTGTTACCAGTAGTGACAGCAATAAAAGTATCTCTTTCAAGGTGTTTTATATTTTAATTTAATTGACGTTTGAGCTTATATGATTGGGGTTCTTAGCTTCAGATCATATCGAGGTAGCATTAATCTTAATAATTGAGCTTTTGTATTTACATTTCAAAGCTTTCGATAGTATTTACTGACTTGCTTCAGGTTAATTTGTTTAGAAATATAATAAAATATTTTGCACATATTTAACCCCCAATTGTCTAAGTTCTTAAAGATCAAGGGAAGGGGCATATCACTTGCATGTTGAAATATCTAACCAATTCGGTTTCTTGAGAATCATTATTTGAGTGCAGACATGCATTTCCTTTTATCCCTGAAAAGTGAAAGCTATAGTCTGTTTTTTGGAATCATGTATGGTGTGGTGAGTGCCTCTTCGCTTGTCCTTTGCTTGTGTGATTTGTTGCAAAACTCACTCAGACTGCCATTTTGAGGGACCATAAGTAGAAAAAACTTGAAACTTGCTGTGTAGATGATATAAACAATATCAGTTATGCATAGACTGTGCATATCGATTCTTGTGCACTGAAGTTTGTTGTAATTTGAGTGAGTTTTGCTTTCTTAAACGTTTTAGAAGTTTGCTTATCAGATCCATATGACAAGCAACCATCTTTTTATGTGAGTGATTTTTTAAAGATCTCTGCCTGCCATTGATTCTTTTGCATTCGTCTCTCTTTTATGCCTCATTCATTATTATTGAATTTTTGATGCAAAATCATGAAAAGAATCTAGTCAAAGATTGAAAGTTGTTGTTTTTCCTTGGAGAGAATCTCTATTGTCTCCTGGGAAGGTTGTATGTTTTAGCTGAATGTGATTTATGCTCTTATTTTAAGGAGTGGTCTTGTTTGCAAAGTTGAAACCAAAGCCTTTTTTATTGGTGCTTTGCTGTTCAATATTCCAGAGTTCATTCTAAAATCAAAATATCACGAACAATATTATTGTTTTTGATCTTAAAAATTTATTTTGTGGACATTTATTCTATTCATATTAAGATATCTGTGAATTTTTTTCAAGTCAAAAACAGTAATATTGGTGCATGTTTCACAACCCAAGAGTTCTATTTATTCCATGTGCTCGTTTCTTGGATCGTCTTATTTTCTCATTTCCCTCCCTATCATTTTTATTTATTTTTTTGTTCAAACGTAGAACTATTATAATGCAAGTGGCATTATAAAAAATACATTGGCAGATTGAAACATGCAATAATATACCACAAGTAGTCTGCTTTCTCATACTTTCTATATTGTGTAGATGCAATTTGTTTTATGTTCCAAGTCAAATGTTCGTAGAAAGTAATACCATTATTTACACAAATATCAAGCAAGCACTATCCTATTTGAAAACTGTTGTTTATCTCTTAAAACAATCTGGTCTCTGCATTGCCAAAGCTAGAAAAAAGTAAGAAAAGTCTTAAAAAGTACGCTTTTCAACTAACTTCTGTTATGTATCAATTGAAAGTCTGCAATAAAATAAACTGCATTATTTCAACCGTTGCGTTTTGTCAAACCTTTGAACACGATTTACAAGGCACCAAGGTATGCTTTTGAATGTAGAAAAAATCTCTTTTAGTGTAATGAGCCGCTATGGAAAAGAGTTTTAGTCTCATTTCGACCGAAATAAAATCAGAAGGTGTGCGTGAATTCTTTGTCAAGATTTGTTTTCTGGCGGAGGCAGAGCTTTGCTTGGTAGGGAGGGTGGGGGCAGTGGGAGCCGGCCGTGGGACCGTGTGCACACATCTCAGGCTTTGAGGGGCTTGTAGGGGGAGGGGTTGGCGGGCGATGCAAAGGGAGTCGTGGGTCTATTTTTGTGTGCCCCACCCAGCTCACTCCGACCGTCTGTATTATATTACCGGACTAAATTTGGAGATCTGTTTTCCAGTCACACGATCTTTTAGAATTTCGGCTGGTTTGCCTGTGTTTTCTCTCTGGAACACACCTTTCGATTTATTAATTTTTTGCCAGTGTACATTTTGGACTTAAATCCATTGCAGCTCTTTCCATGGCTTGACTAGGCGGGGGTACATCTCAGATTTTTAGAACCATATTTTTACAAGAGAAATATACCAGAAATTTCAGGGAAACGGGATTCACGTTGACTTGCTGGTGTAAATTTTTGCTCAAACTGGCTGGCTTCCACCCAACTTCTACCATTCTGCTCCCATCTACCTCACGGGAGGAATTCTCACAATTTTAGAACGCTTGAGTCAAAGAGTGTTGATTCAGTCCTGTGACTCAGAAAGTTCGTGGCTCGTGTTTATTTGTCAAGTGTCGCGCGCTTCGCCAGCAAGGTGGCCAGTAAGCGCGGCGTCGGCAGACTTATTCCCCAATTTCTCTGTGAGCTGGCGTGGCGGCCAGCTAAGTTGGCCAACCGTTGGAGCCAACTAGCAATTACATATCTCACGAAGCTCCGCGCGCGGAGTCATGTGTGGCCCCTCTCCAATTAATCTATTGTTAGAAGCCCCCTTTGATTGTAGCGGTGTACTGACTCAAGGCATGCAGAGACGGACTTGTTTTGCCGCGAAGGCGCAATCACGATGCCCTGCTTGTTTTCTTTCGTGAATGGTGGTGGTTGGGGGTAGGGTTGACAGTAACGACAGCACACTTGGAGAAGAAAAAGGCTCTTTATTAGCAAGTTAGGGTACACGTTCGTTACTCACAAGGCCGCCCGCTTCTCCAGCGCTCAAGTGGGTCGCAGCCGGTCGCAGCCATACACGGCGCGCGGCGTCGCCGAGGCGGGCAGTGGCGGCAGGGAAGTCCAGGGAAGGGGCTCCGCTCCACACAAGGCCTGGCGGGCAACGCCTGCGGCACACAAACAAAACACACGCCCGGGAAACACACGCCCGGGAAACACACGCCCGGGTGAAGTAAGAGCGCAACCGCCACAGCGCTTGGAAGGCTTGCAAATTACCAACAAAACACCGTGTCAAGCGCAGTCAGGAGCAATGGAAGTTACATTTGAGAACGGACTTGGAACATGGAACAATGGAAACGCTCTTTTCAAACTGCCAATTTTGAAGTGCCAGCAATTTTAAATCAAAGAGACTGGAAATAGAGACTGCCAGGCGGCAAGCTTACTTACAGCGAGACCGCTCCTGTTGAGTCTGAAGGGTCCGAAACACCGCCGGGCGTGCTCGCCTTGGCGTCGCGGCGTCAGCACTGCACCTCGGCGTGGCTACGCCGCACCGGCAGCTCCGTGTCACGCACGCGCGGTCGTGCGGTCGGGTTGAGGGCTGCTCCGCGCCGCTCCGCGCCGCACCGCTCCTCGAGTACCACTGACACCGCCGCGACGCCGCCCCGCCGCCCCGCCGCGACGCCCTCTCCACTCCCACAGGGCTCTGAGTGGCGCGGAGGGCCCTGCTCCCACCCAAAGCAACAGCAGCCAGGAGGCGTGGCGTCATGCGCCCTTGAGTGGGCCGCGGCGGGGGAAGGGGCGCCGTGCCGCCGTGCCGTGCCGCGCCGCCGTGCCGTGCCTTCAGGCACCGGGCCGATCCGTCATTTTGTTTGCCGTGCTTGTGTTTTTCACACCCCGCCGCGCCCGCCGCGCCACCCTTTCCGCCCGGCCGGTCAGTGAGCTGTCCTGGCGATGAGGGATTTAAATAAATAACCCGTTTGACCCTGGGCACTGGGAGGCGCTGGTCACCGCGGCCAAGTCGCTCGCCATCCGCGACTAATCAGTAAGCGGGGCCAGGGCCGGCCAGGGCCCCCGAGTGACACGGCGCTGAGTCACTGCGCCCTCCGTCCCTGCCGTGTCCCTGCCGTGTCCCTATCGGGAACCTGACTCACCGGGGCGACGTGCTTCCGCACTGCGCACCGTGCGTATTTCTGGCCGTGACGAATATCAACGAGTTCGAGCCACCGCGGTTTACACTTGCGACCGCTCCTTTCTACAAATGGCACGATGGACGTCGGGGTTTCCCCCGGTCTCCGCGGCCAGTTCCTGCGGAAGGTGGCCTGCCTGCCGGCATGGCTGCCTGGCTGCGTTGCGAGGGCCCTCTTGGGCCCCTGGCGGCACAAAGCCGCAAAGCGATGTGTGACTAAGATACGACCGCTGCAGAAATATCCGAAGCACCGCGTCGTCGTCCGTCGCGCTACCTGGCGCTGCTTTGGTTTCCCTCTCGTCCACGTGGTCATCCCGCAAAGAGAGAGAGAGAGAGGGGGGGGGGGAAGCGTGCGTCCCCGCTCACACACGTCTGTTGGCAGCGTGCGAGATGAATGCGCGCCAAGTTGGGCCGCGCGCCGCCACGAGGCGACACACCTGTCCACCGCGCCCCCCGCGCTGGCGGTATTTCTGAAGCGCCACACCGCGTCCTGGGCTGGGGTCCTGGGCCGGGGTCCTGGGCCGGGAAACGCAGCAGCCCTGCACTTGGAGTGGGGATGCGCCAGAGAAGCGGATGCGCCCCGCGGAAATGGGCTCGCAGCTTTACGAGCCGCTTACGGTCTTCCTGACGCGCTGTCCTGGGCCGCGGCAGGCCCCGCTCTGTGGGCCCCGCCAGGCGCGCTCAGAACGGAAAGGCAGGGCCGGCAGGGCCGCTGTAGAAGCGTGAGCGAGCGGCTGTTGCTGCTCCGGTCACTCCGTTCCCAAGAAAGAAAGAGCTTGCCGCCTATGGCATACTATCATGTGTGGTCTAGCCCTTAATTGTAATGGCAATGCCGCACGCCAGCCCGCTCGCCAGCGGTGCCCACGCGTTGCCTACCCTTGGGTTCGCAGGCGCTCTCGCCGCGCCAACGGCCTGCGTGCTTGGCGGCGGGAATCAGACGTGCGCACACACTAAGTTACTACGTACTTTTTGCGCATAACCTTTGCACAGAATTATTGACCTTGCGCGTAAAACGCATACTTTCGTGCTTAGTTACACACAAATTCGTGGATTTTAAAACTCACGTACGGTTTTGTGCGAAGCTTATGCTAAAAAACTACATAGTAATTTACTATCTGTAGAAAATTTTCTATTTCAACAGAGAGACGAATGCAAATTAGATTGAATGGCATATCAGCAAAAGTTGGCTAAAATAGCGCAAACGTAATAAGTTAACCATATTTCTCAAACATTTTAAAGATTTTAGATAATTGTGGTTTTGCCTGTTGGAATCTGTTTTTGTTTCACTCTGTCTCTTGTGTCATTGTGGTGATGGTCTGGTGGTGGGTTTTCTTTCAGAGCGGCTGGGTGCTGTTCACGGGGTTCCCGTCCAAGACCAGCAAGGTTCTGGGGCCCCATTCACCAAGGGGGCCCCGGGGAGCTCTCAGCAGGGCTTTGGGGTGCCCGGAGCTACTGACGGCGTGGGTGGCTGGCAGGCACCGTCGCAGACACCACAGCAGGGACCGGGGCAGGGCGTACAACAGGCTGCCTACCCAGGCTGGATGCAACAGCCGTTCATGATTTCTCAACAGGGCTTCCCTGTCAGGATGCCTCAGCAAGGCTTCGTTGCACCGCAGCAGCGCTTCATGATTCCTCAGCAGTTTGGCACTCAGCCCTTCGCATCGCCACTTCACCAGACCGATGGCGTGGACTTGCAGGGTCCTCAGGTGGCCTACGCGAGAACGTTTGTTCCGCACAAGAACTTGCCTCGACCTGGATTTGCAACCCCTCAGCAGAGACCTGGCTTCTTCGGCCTGCAGGCGATGCCTCAAGCCGGTTTCTTGGGTCCAGCTGAGAACCTGCAGCAAGGCCAGATCCCTCAGCCTGGATTCATGCAGCCCCACCCTGGCACTCAGCCAGGATTGGCACCTCAGTCTGGGTTCGTGCAGCCCCATTCCCCTCAGCAGGCGGCAATCTTTCAGCCTGGTTTGACACGGCCCAGTGAGTTCCATCCTAAATCTGGGGCTCCTGTGCCGTACCAAGCGGAGCTGCAGCCAGTGGCCCAGCAGTCTCTGGCACCTGTGCATCCCTCGGATACGGATAAAAGTCTTTTGTCTCCTGGCCCAGAAGCACTGCCCTGGCGTAGGCCCCGTTCGTCCAGCGTCCAGGCCCCCCGAAAGCCTCCGTCTCCCTGGGCCCCTGCTAGCCGGGACAGGTCCTTGGACAGCCAGAACAAGGCAGAGGAGGAAGCGCAGCCGTGGACCAAGCAGAACGTCAAGCTGAAGAAAGCTCCCCGCCCCAAGAAAACGTTTGAGAAGGAACAGCCGCAACAGGTAGAGCTTAAACCATCTAAGATCGAAAAGAGGCCGATTCCGAGAGAGAAACTGGAAGAGGTGGAGCTCAAGCCGGGCCAGCGCATTCCTAAGGACGTTGTTGAGCAAGAGGGCGCAGCTCTTAAACCACTCAAGCACTTCCCCAAGGATGTTCCTGAACAGGGCGGAGTTACTCTAAAACCAGTCCAACGGACACCAAAGGATGTGCCTGAAAGCAACGGGGTAGCTCTGAAGCCCGTTCCGAGGCGTGAACAGGAAGTCCCGGAATCAGAAGAAATTAAGCATAAACCCACCAAGCGGCAGTCTCGACCACGAACCCGCCCGGGCGAGGGTCCTAAATCACCTCAGCCAGCTCAATCGATTGAAGAGCGTCCATCTTACAAGCCCGCAGATGATGACGATATTTCGTTAGACCGATCGCTAGACAGGTCTCTTGACGGTTCATTGGATAGGTCGATTGATGAATCACTTGACGAAGACTTTTGGAAACCAAAGGTTTGCCCGTGGAGTAACGAACCAGTTGTTTTAAAGAAGACCCAGCGGAAACGTAAGGTATATAAGAAAGAGTCTTTAGAAGAAGTCCACCTAAAACCTGCAAAAATTGAGGTCAGGCGGCTGTCTAAGTCAGAACTAGAACACGTTGACTTAAAGCCTGTTCCTCAAGAACAAATGGGCATTCTATCTTGGACTGAAGAGGAGGAGGCTTCCATGCTTAAGATTGACCGTGAAGAAATTGAGCAGTACAAGCAAAGGCCGCGTTCGCGATCAAGGGACGTGTTATCGGAGACTTCTGAAGCGTCGGATCTGAGATCTCTTAGTGAGGCAGTACCGTGGTCTCATGACTCTCTGCAGCTAAAGAAGGCGCCGAGAGAGCGTAAGAAAGAATTTCCAAAGGAGACATTGGAAGAGGTTTACCTAAAACCAGCAGTTATTGAGAAGAAAGAAATTCCTCACTCTGAGTTAGAGCATGTTGATTTGCACCACGTCGAGAAAGAGGGAATAGTTTCATGGGCGGAAGAAGACGACTCTTCAATGCTTAAGCTTGACCGGGAAGAACTGGAGATGTACAAACGAAGGCCACGTTCCCGGTCACGAGATTTGTTGGACGAGTCTGAAGCAGATGACACAAGCATGTCTATTGATTTATCTTTGGAAGATATCTTGGACAACAGAAGAGGCCCAGTACCTTGGACCGAGGAACCAATACAATTAAAAAAGACGCCTAGAGAAACAAAAGACGTTCCGAAAGAGACTCTTGAACAAGTGCAACTGAAGCCGGCCAAAATTGAAAGGAAGTTGATCCCAAAGGAGGAATTGGAACACATTGACCTCAAGCCCGGTCAGAAGCTTGTAAAGGAAGTACCAAAGCCCGAGCAAATTCAACTTAAGCCGATTCCTAGGAAAAAGAGAGACGACGACAAACCCGAAACTGGAGTTGAGAAATTCGCTGAAACAGACGATACATCTCTCTTAAAATTGGATCGCCAAGTTGAAACCGCTGAAACAAGGAAAGACCGACCAGATTTTTTGCAGATGCTTGCAGAAGACTCCGACAAGGCTGATGTTCCATTCTTCTGGAAAAGAGGCGGGCCTGCTCCGGAAGTTGTTCAAATTCGAAACGTCCGCAGTGAAGAATCCGCCGCTAAGGAGTTGGAACGCTCTGTCCTGCGTTTCAAAGAAGAACAAGAGAGAGAGAAGTTTTCGGAGATGGAAGACGCAGCAAGACTCGAGGTTGAACGGTCAGTCGAAGAAGAACGAAAACGTGCTGGCCGCTCTCGCCCAGTGCCATTGGAAGAACCAAAAGCTGAAGCAGTTCCATGGACGCAAGAGGCAGTCCGCTTGAAACAAACACCACGAGAAAAGAAGGAAATTCCTAAAGAAACATTGGAAGAAGTTGACCTTAAACCAACAAAAATAGGTTCCCGGAAAATACCTAAAGAGACACTTGAATCAGTGCAGCTGAAACCGACACCAAAAGATACCCGTGAGTCTGAGAAACCAGTTCCCATCTCACTGAAATCTATTCCCAGACCTGAACGGCCAAAGGTGACTGATGACTCACTTGCTAGTTACGTTGAAACTGACGATAGCAACCTTCTCAACCTTCGAAGACAAGAAGAAGTGAGCAAGAAAACTGAAAAGTCACAGGAAGTTGCGGTCATGTGGGAGAGGGGGAAGAAAAAACAGACAGTAGAGAAAGTAAGTGAAGAAGAGGACACCAACTTTCTTGCCATTAATAAATCAGAAACAATAATAGAGAAGAAAGAGGAATCAGCAGTAATGTGGCGCAGGGGTGAGAAACAGGCGATAGAAAAGGTGGTTGAGACTGAAGATACTTCTCTCCTAGCACTGCACCAAAGGGAGACAACTCAGGAAAAGAAGCTCGAAGACGCTGTAATGTGGGAAAGGGGTAAGAAAAAACAAATAACTCAAGAAACTGAAGACACTTCTATCCTCAAAGTAAGTCACAAAAACGACGAAAAAGATGAAACGAGGCAGCCATATGAAGAGGTGGAAGATGTATCTCATCTAGACGTTCAAAAGATGGAAGAAAAGAAGGTAGCCAGAAAACCTGTTCGACAAGATGAGAAGCCAAATGAAGCAGTACCTTGGACACAACAAGCCATTCAGTTGAAAAAGACAACACGTGAAAGGAAAGAAATTCCAAAGGAAACTTTAGAAACGGTTGACTTAAAACCTTCTAAGCCAATAAAACGCGATATCACTAAAGAAGAGCTCGAACACGTGGACCTTGCACCGATAGAAAGGAAACCTGCTGAACATAAGAGACCTGAAACAACTGATTTGAAACCGCTAAAAATAAATGAAGCAACCGCAGAAGTAGTCGAAGAAAAAACATTTGTTCGACGTGACAAGGTTACATCAACGGACACGGCTCTGCCCTACTCAGAGGTTGAGGATTCATCACTTTTAAAAGTAGATAAAGATCAAGATACTTTACTAAACCAAAAGATAGCTGAGGAAACTCCAGTAATGTGGCGTAGAGGAAAAAAGCAACCGAAAGAAGAAATACCAACGGATGTCCAAAAAATAAGAGACGTGGAGGACACGTCACTTTTGAAATTGGAAAAAGGTGAAGAAAGCACTCCAAAGCCAGTTGAAGCCGCAGAAGCTCCTGTCATGTGGGAACGAGGCAAGAAAAAGCCGAAAGCGCAGCAAATAAGTGAAGTCGAAGATTCTTCTAAGCTGCTGTTAGACAAAACCAAAGATGTTTCTGAGAAGAAAGAGAGTCCTGTGGAAACGCCTGTTATGTGGCAAAGAGGGAAAAAGCCTATCAAAGCTCCAGAGGATGTTCAGAAAATTGGTGAGGTGGAGGATTCAGCATTCCTTGATGTTTCTAGATCCGTCCAAGAAGACATTCTACCGTCGGAAACACCAGTTATGTGGAAGCGGGGGAGGAAAACAGGCAAAGTTGAAGAAGACGTTCAGAAAATTAAGGAGGTTGAAGATGCAGCCATTCTTGATGTTTCTGAATCTGTTGTAGAGGAGACACAGCCGACAGAAGCTTCAGTGATGTGGAAACGGGGAAAAAAGACACCAAAACCAGAAGTTGGACCCGTAGAGGAACCAAAGGACATGCCGTGGACACAAGGAATTCAGCTTAAGCGAACACCTAAACAAAGAAAGGAGGTGCCCAAAGAAAGTCTGGAAGAAGTTCTTTTAAAGCCGGTAAAAAGGCCTTCCCTGAAACCCGAAGACCAGGGTTTAGTTGAATTAGTCTCAGTCGAGCAGCCTCAAGTGCTTCCGGAAGAAAAACCTGTGGAAGACATTGAAGCACCCAGCAACGAACTGGAGAAAAATTTAGAAAAGACCAAACATAAAAAAGAACCTTTTGAAACGGCAGACTTGCCATGGACACAAGAAGCCGTAAAGCTAAAGCGAACCCCAAAGCAGAGGGTAGACAAACCTAAAGAATCCATTGAAAATGTAGAACTGAAACCATTTAAGAAAATTGCTTCTGAAGTTCCCGAGCTAATCGATGAAAGTGCTAAAATAGAACCCCTCCCCAAGAAGACGATTGCGGAAAACGTTCAGCAGCCTGAAGTCAAAATCGCAGAAAACTTTCCATGGAAAAGAACGCCTAAGCAAAAGCCAAGCGATCAACATCCAGACGAAATTGAAATAAAACGAGCTCCCCGAAGACCAAAACCGGACGAAGAGGAAAAGCCCGAAATTTCACTCAAGCCAATTAAACAACGGCCAAAAGAGCCAGAAGAAAAGCCAGATATTAAGCTGAAACCTTGGAAACGTAGCCCGAAAGAGACGCCAGCCAACGACGAAAAAGATCTAATGCCCAAACCGAAGCCATTTGATGAAGCACCGCATGTTGAGCAAGTCAGGTTGAAGCCCGTGCCCAAGCAAAAGCCCTCAGAGGAAGAAACGGAAACGTTTGAGGGACCTTCCGTTGAACAACCTGTGCCAAAGGAAGACATCCAGCCTCGCGAAGAAGAAATGCCAGTTCCCTGGAAACGTGGAAAATTGCAGAGGGACGAGGGTGCACCTCTAGAACAAGTTCAGCTAAAGCGCACCCCTAGACCAAAGCCAAAATATGAGGAAGAAAAAGAAGTTGTACAGCTTAAACCAGTCCGTCGCGATCGCCCTGAGCAGCAGGAAAAAGATGACGTTCAATTAAAACCTGTCAGAAAAACTGTCGCTATAGAGCCCGAGGAAGATGTCAGCTTAAAACCCATTGACGAAAGCCATTTACTTCCAGCTTCAACCACAAGGGAGCTGGAACCTTCAATGTCAGTGGAAGCACCAAAAGCCGTTCTCGAAACACCGGCCGTCAAGGTGAAGCCGGTAAAGCGGGTCACTATAAAGGAACCAGCTGAAGAAATTCGCGAAATTGAGTTTAAGCCAGACGACATCCCCGACAGTCATTCAGTTGTTGAAGAAATAGCAGATGTCGCCCAGCCCGTGCCATGGAAGAGAGGAAAGAAGCCTGAGAGGAAGTTAGATGAAACTGAAGCGGTGACGCTGAAGCCTGTTCCCCGCAGACCAAAAGATGAAGAAATTCAGCCTGAAATCCCTGAAGCAGTTTTGGCTCCGGTTGAGCCAGCTCCTATTGGCGAAGAGCGGCCTAAGTCGTGGCAAAGAGGCAGGAAACCAAAACGCGACATACCCTTAGAAGACGTCACACAGCCAGAGGAGGTTGTCTTGAAGCCTGTAAAACGAGAGCGTAAAACGGAAACCAATGAGATCGAGGAAATAAAACTAAAAGCTACCAAAAGCGTGCAACCAGAAGACACAGCAAAAGAAGATGCTGCTGTAACGCATGTTGACGATGTCCCATCTGTTGTATTTAAGCCGGAAGTTCAATTGAAGACGAAGAAGTATAAGGAAAAGCCACAGGTTTCAAAAGAACACATTTCTGAACAGCCTTTGCTAAACGAAGAGCAGACAGATGAAGCTCCTGCAAATGTGACTGAGCCAGAAAAAGTGGAGCTGATAAAGGTTAAAGCTTCAAAGCCAACCAAGCCCGACCAAGACGAGCAACCAAAAGAGGAATCAAAGCCGTTATGGCGGCGCAAACGAATTCGTATCCCAAAGCCCGTGCCAGGCCGTCCCGATGACGAAGAAGACGAAGAAAAGCCAGACCTTGTCCCGACACAAGTCGCTGAAGTAAAGGTGGAGCAAGAACAACAGGAGAGTCGATCGCAAACAGTCGTTACCCTGTCCAAGCGTGAAACGGTTCAAGCCAAAACAAGAACCCAACCCAAAGAAGAGGGACCCGAGCTCGAAGAGCAGCCAATTTGGCAAAAACAGATGACCGTTGAGACGCAGTCACGAAAAGTGACTCGCCGAGCTGGCCAATTCATTCAAGAAGACACCCCTCTACGTGACTTGGAAATCGTAACAGCACGGCGAGGGGTTGAAAAGCTGCCCGAAGAGCCAGTTCTAGAAGAAGAAACTCGTGAGGACAAAACAACTGTGCGTCGTTCAATTGTTCAGCGCTCCACAGCGGAAATCCTTGGTCCTCAAAAAACAAAACCACCTAAATTCACAAAACGCCTTGAACCTGTGGCTACAGAGCCAGAAAACCCAGTCAAATTTGTGTGCCAGGTCGAAGGCGTGCCGTTTCCAGAGCTGACTTGGCTGTACAATGGAGTGGAGCTCCGCGCGTCCGAATACGTGGCGATGACAGTGGTAGAACGTACTGTTACTCTGGAAATTTCCAAGACATTGCCGCAACATGTTGGAGTGTATTCTTGCAAGGCATCCAATCCTGCCGGAGTAGCCATGTCGACTGCAAACCTAGTTATTTTAGGTAAAATATTTTTTTTGTTGTGTCTGTTTGTGCGTTTCTAGCGTTTTTATCGTGGTCCTACCGCTCAACGCCCTCTTAAGGCTACTGCACTAACCTAATTTTTTTTTGCACTTTTTTTTGCATTTTTTTGCACGACCTTTGTCGACTTTGCTGTTTCAATCTACTTTCCTGTTTTATACTCTTCTTGTGCCCTCTAGCATTTTAGTGCATCCAAAAGTTGTGTTTGACTTTTTCACCTTAACGTTTTGTGTCGTTCCACATTTCTGCTTTTCTTACCCCTTTGTGATTCTTTTTTAGGTAAACTAAAGGTGCAGAGTTTTGGCATAATGTTATCCTAGCATTGCCACTGACAAATCAGAGACAATAATCTGTCTGCATACTAGAAAAATACACAGCAATTCTTGCTTACCTATTGCGGACGCTGTTTACGACCAATTTTGCTTGTTTACTCACTGTTTATCCTTAATTTTCGCAGAAAAAGAAGAGACAGGCGTCGCTCCGCAGTTCACTCAACCGCTTAAGCCACAAATGGTAAAGCCGAACGAAACGGCGACTCTTCGTTGTCTCGTGCGAGGAGAGCCCACCCCTTTAGTGCGCTGGTACCAAGGAGACCAGGAAGTGAAGCCAGACTCAACGCGGCGCCTTAGTTTCGACCAGAAGACTGGCACGGCCACAATGACCCTGCTTGAGCCGACACCCGAGGATGAGACGATATACAGGGTGGTAGCCACCAACAAGTTTGGCCGCGCTGAGTGTCGCGCTAACCTCATTCTCGGAGAACAGGTAGTGTATCTACCGTATCCAATCGTTTGGTCCTCACACATTGAGGGGCATCCTATTCTGGAGAGAGGCCATTCTTTATTCTTTTTCCTGTTTCGATGTTCCAGGTGGCTGTTACCAAGCCTGAGGTGATGCACGCTCCTCGGATCACGGAACCTCTGAAGGCCATCCTAGCGGTTAAGGGGACACCTGTGGTCCTTACGGCTGACTTTCAAGGCAGCCCGCAGCCCGAAGTTCGCTGGTATCGCAATGGCAAGGAGATTGTGCCAGGAATGGACAAGGACAAGGAAATTGTAACAGAGCCGGGCCGTACTGAGTTGCACATACCGTCAATCACAAAGCAGCACAGCGGAAAGTATGAAGTCCGCGCTATGAATCCAGCTGGAGAGGCTCGCACATCAGGCTCTGTCGCTATCCGAGGTAAGTGTTCGTTTTACCGTTAGTGCGCGTGATGCGCAGAGGTCATTTTATAACTGCTTAATTTGCAGAGAGGGACGACAACGACATGAAGGACGTGCGTGCGCCCCGCTTTATTGAACCGTTGGAACCTCAAATTGTGGCCGAGGGAGAGTGTGTCATTCTGGAAGCGCGAGTGGACTCGTACCCTACCTGTTCTTTCCAGTGGTTCCTGCACTCCGTACCGGTCAAGGTAATACATAATTTTTTAGACAACAACGATAAAATACGACTATTTACTTCAAATTTCTGCAGGAAACTTCAAAAACTTAAGTCTCTTGCTCTAATTACGTTCTTAGCGCCTGCTACAAGCGTTCCAGATGTATGTTTCCATCTTGCTTACGTGTCCTACGTGTTTTTTTCTTTCCCCTAGTCTTCGCCAGAACTCCGGATAGTAACTGAAGACAATCGGTCAGTTTTGGTGGTCCGCGAAGTTCTCCCCGAGCACTCCGGTGACTACACGTGTCGTGCGGAGAATGCTGTTGGCTCTGTCACGTCCACCGCCACCTTAAGCGTTCTGCCAGAAACAGATTGGGAGGGTACAACGGAGCTGGAGATGGTGTCTCCGCAGTTTGTCCAGCCCACGACAAGTTTGAAAGTGATGGACGGAGAAAAAGTTACGTTCACCTGTCAAGTCGTCGGCAAACCGACTCCACGGATTACTTGGCGCCACAACGGACAACCAATCAAGGAGGCCAAGGATGTCGTCATCTACCAAGACCAGGGGGGTTTGTGCAAACTTGCAATATCTGAAGTGTTCCCGGAGGACGCGGGGCTGTATTCATGTGAAGCTTTCAATACTGTGGGTGAAGCTATTTGCACTGCTTCACTTGTTGTGGAAGGTAATGGAAAATAATGAGCAGTTTTATTCCTTTCCTATTTTTTGTGTTTCTTATAATTCGTTTTCTTTCCAGCTTACGAATATGTACCTGACTCGGAAATAGCCTCTGTTGCGGTTGACTTGAATTTAGCTACGGCGGAGGAAGACTTACTTGATAAGGTTTGTGGTTATTTCATGGTACCGATACTCTTTGAGTGTAATGTTTCCGAAGTAATCACTTCTTTTAACGCCGCAGGAAAGTCTGTCATCACTCGAGGATCAAGAGCTGCAGGCGCCTCACTTTGTCACCCCTCTTGTACAAGCGACACCAAGCCGGGAAGGAGAGCTGGTTCGGTGGGTATTGTTCTTATTATGGTTTGGTTCTACGTTGAAACCCATTTAGGGCTAGGGAGAAATAAAATGGCTCTGGTTATACTCCACATTATAATTTCTTTAACTGGAAAATTTGTATTGCAGTCTGGAAGTAAAAGCTGTTGGCAATCCTAAACCAACTGTGCGTTGGTACAAACAAGGCATCGAAATTCAGCCCAACAAGGACTTCCAGGTTGAGAACTTTGAAGATGGCACGTCCGTCTTGACTATTATGGAGATTTTCCCTGATGATGTTGGAGAAATTTCTTGTGAGGTTCAAAATGAGCTGGGAGTTGACCAAACTACCACTGAATTGCAGGTGCACAGTAAGTATCGAACCCTGTGTGTGCAGAGCTAAATATTTATCTTATGGCCAGAGTTGATTCTTAAAAATGGTGTAATTGCTTTTGCTTTGCCCACCTACAGCCTTCAAATGGTCCAGTCATGTTTCCTAAGTGAGCCCAAGCTTCCCCCCTCTAGTATTTTCATCTTCCAGACACAAAATTCACTCTTTTTCACTAAATCTCAGCACTGTTTATTTATTACACCGTTTCACCACAGCATTTTAAAATTAACTTTGATTCCATTTTTTTGCATGTTTTTCTAGGACTAAATTCCATCTTTTTAGGAAGAGAATGTTTCAGTGTTTTTAGGCTCCCGGTTTCCTTTTGGTAAAAGTAATTCTTAGTAAAATTGTGGGATCAGCTACTTTGTGCACCGCTTTAAACACAAAAGATAATGCTGACGATTTTTGAAATTTTTGTTTCAGTGTTCAACTTTGAAGGAGTGTTGCGCATTAAGGATTTTTTCTTTTCTGTTTCTTACTTAGTTTTGGGATTTTGCAGGTATTCTGGGGACCAAGGAATACCGGAAGCCAGAGTGGGTAACCCAAATGGAAGAGTTGAAGGATGCCCTTAAAGGTAGGGAATCATGCAGCCCCACATTTCCTGGCGCCATGTGTTTTCCAAGCATGTACTCTGATCCTAGTGATACTGGCATGTCCGTGGACAGTCTTGATGCGGCTGAATCACGTCAGCCTACGGAGGACGCCCAACTTAACCGGAGGGAGTGCCGCCACTTCGCCTCCGGTAGCTGGGCGTCATTGGGGGACCTTTCCATGGGCTCTGACTCTGTGTTTTTATCGACTGCTAGTTCATGCTCTGATGAGTCACATTATATTGCCTCGCATGTGCCTTTTGTCCTTAATCCTGCTGCTAATCAAGCAACAAAGTACAGCTCTAGTGTGTGTTCTTCTAGAAAAAAGCAAAGATCTACGGATGAGCGTGAAAGCGTTTTTGAAGAGCGAGGTAAGCAAAATTTAGATTGCTGTGGACAGTCCAGCAAAATAAACCCTAATTATGGCCAAACATCAGATTTCGATAGTTTCTCGCAGGCAGTTTTATCTAATGTTAAATCCGGGAAAAGTATTGATGTAGAATATTTTGGTGCATCCGTAAACCTGGATTGCCAGAGAGAAACAAAATTGATTTTACCAGATGGAAAAGAAAACATCGTAAACGATGACGTAGGTTTCATGTGCTATCATGCCGAGCAGAAAATAATTCCTAAGTGGGAAAACATTGAGTTCTGTGATATAGGAAACAATTTTGCAGACTACCCACCTCAAGCCGCTGACTGTGTTGACGTTGAAGATTACACCCACAGTTTCCTATCTACTATTTTAGAAAATAGTGAACCGTCTAGTTCAGAAACATGTAGTGAAAGCCCGAGCGATTCCAGCTCTTCCCCTACTTACCCTGCAAGTGGGCGGAATATGTCATCTTCTTGTGAATTTCTCTTTCCTAGACATTTAACAGTTGATGACAATACTAAATGTCAAACATTTCCTCGTTCACGAGTGTCAGAATCCGAGCGATTCAGAAACTATGTTTATACATCTCGACATAGAAACCTGTATCCTTTAGAACCTCGTGAACTTGACCCGGCAAACTTCCAACAACTGCATACAGCAGACAGCTCAGACGAGCTGCAAGAGTTCCTTTTGCTCGAGAGTCAATGCATGATGAATGAAAGCACAGCCGGCTTAGCGTCTGCTTTTGATACAAACAACATTGGCTTTCAAACGACTGAGCAATAATTGTTTTTGATATATAAAATTGCGTTCTAGCAATTACTTTTCTGACTTATATTTATGACGGCAGTGCATGTATTGCATTTTAATTTAATTAAAATATCATATCCAAAATTTTGTAAAATTTGTGACGTTTGAAAACTATTAGACTAGTCAGTGCGGAAGCTGCTCCACAACATATGAGGTAAATAACATAAACTTGGCATGTGTTTGTGTGGCTTAATGCTGGTTTTTGGTCTAAATATACAAGGACGCTGAGACACGCAAGTACTTCCCAGACCTGTGTTTGAAGTAGCTAGCGTTTTGTTTTTATCATATAAGATAAGGACATTAAACACCGGAATTTACTATTCTTCATTCATTTCAAAAAAGATTTGTTTCGACAAATAACAACATTAAATCCTGCTATGCAATGTAAGTTCTGTCTGCATGTGTCCCTTTGCCAATTTAAAGCGTCCTCGGGGAAAGAATTTTAGGGAGCTTCCTTTATAATCCAAGACAATGTCGCTCTGTTTCAAATTTTTACTTGCTTTCTGACCACACCAAATAATTTTTTTTAAATTGAAAAAAAAAATTATATTTATTTTTAATTACTTTAACAGCTGTTCAAGCGGTACCTAGCATAGAAGTGGAACTTCGTGACACTTATGTGGAGGAGCTGGATACTGTTGTTTTTGAGTGTGTCTATTCTGGAACACCCAAACCAGGTAAACCCACTTTCTTTAGATAAAAATTAAATTTGCATGGTTTGAATCTTTTACAAAGACTTGCATTTATATCTTGTTTCAGACATCATTTGGTATCATGACGATCAGATCGTGCGAAATACTGAAAAGGTAAAAATTACAATTGAAGAGAGTAAAACTACATGTACAGTCAAATATACCAACCCCGAAGATGCCGGAATATATGTATGTAAGGCAACAAGCGATATTGGAATGGCGATAACAAAGGCGAAGTTGAGTGTTACTGGTAAGTTTGACGGCTCATCAGGACATAACTACACTGAGAATCCTAACGCTATGAACATAGCGTCAACTGATGCAATGCTTTTGAATTGCACATGACGTGCTATGCCTTCCCATTCCCATGCATTAGCATAGAACATTTTCGGGAAGCATTACACCACACCTAATGCGAAAAATTGCTGTGGTATTGCACGTGTGGTGCGATATCTCACAGTGCAGTGCACCATACGTGCTATATTCATAGCGTTTGGAATCTCAGTGAAAGGTGTATTGTCAGGCAAAATGACTACTTTCTTCACACAAGAGATCGTTTTTGTAATAACAAAGCTTCCTTTTGGTGTTTTGTTTTACAGAACTCGACGAAGATAGAAAGGCTGACAAAATGATACAAATGGCACAAGAGGAAGAAGAAAAAGTTAAGATGGAACAGGTAAAACTTGAAAAGAAGCGCGAAAAAAAGAAACGAAGGCCGCGTTGGGGCTTAACAGATGAAAGGTACGTAGGGTAACTTCTTTCGTATTGCTTGCTGGCATGTCAGTTAACTGAGCTGCTCTAGTAAATTTAAATCTCTTTGTCAGGGATCATGTTTCTGTTGATGAAGTACAAGTATTGGAGTCAACGGATCACTTCGTCGAAAATGTTGATTCGGTAAGTGTACTAAGCATCAAAATCTTTCTCTAGGGTAACATAAGTCCTGTGACAAAGTATGACAAAAATGGGCCCCCACTTTTAGCTTAAAATTCCGTGAGCTCAAAAGATTGTAAAGCATAGTCGTATTTATCAAATCTTTCTAGTGTTTAACAATACAATTTAAAAAAACTTAGTTCTTCGTTCACACCTTACAACAAAGAAGGGATTCATTTTTGCTCTCTGTAATGGCAACGTATCTTATCAATTCTTGTGATAGTTGACACAGATCTGCGCAGTCCACCTCTGTTACTCCAATTTTTGATCCTTTATTGTTACTTTTGCGTTAAACTAAATTAGAGTTGAAACTTACTTGTACCCTTCATTTCAGGCCACTGCTCATCGAAGACAGTCGATTCAGGACTCTGTAGCTATTTCCGCAGTTGCTTCCTGCAAGAAAGTAGATGAACCAAAGTCGTCAGAGAAACCCAAAGACAGAGCTCAACCTGTGTTGTCTGAAAGGGAAGGCGTTTCTGTTAGCGAAGCAATTCCAGATCATGCCGCAAGTGATCTGATTGCAGCAAAAAAACCCAAACTTCGCAAGGCAAAACTGTCAGAGTCAGAACGATTAGAAGAAGTTAAAGTTACCGTGGTAAAGGTTCAAGAAATTATAAAGACGCAGAAGACGAAAATTGCCAAGGAAGTTGAGGATATAATGGAGCTTATGAACGCCCGTGAATTTGGTCCAGGTGAACTGCCCCTTCGCGAACTCGCTCAAATTGGGTAGGTGCATGTAAATTTTTTCCTTCACACAACTTTTTAAAGTTATTGTGTTTGAGGATTCATACTCTTTGCTTTCAGGTTCCTTGTCCGGCATGGCGTGTCTGTTCGTGAAATTGAGTCCGTATATCACGAAACTGACCAATTCCCCGCCCTACGAACGCCGGCTGCGCAGTCAGCCCTCGTGTCACTAGTTGAACGAGAGGGACACAGCACTTTGATATCACAAGTACTTACGGAGGAAACCACGGCAGACGAAACCACTGTTGCAAAAACTGTCGGTTTTAGAGCCTTTATGCGGATGATAGAGCTATGCCACGTGACCGTCGAAGAAGTGCTGACCCATTTTAGCCCTCAAGATTTCCAGATGCCTGTATGGGCAACAACAGAAGCGTCAGAGGCATGTTTACAGTCCTTAAGCGCCATCTATAAAGCTATATATCTAACTTTAAAAATTCATTCGCACTTGTTGCAGGTGGAGATCAAGCAGCTCAGTACGGTTAGGGTTACGCAACGGACTAAAGTTCTTACTGGTGAGGGCATGCCGCGGCACTAGTTTTAGTGGTGAAAGAATATGAAATTGTTTAAGTACTTTATTTTACTTCCCATTGCTGTTAGATCTTAAAATGAAGCAATTGTTTACCTTGTTTACCAATTGTTAATGCTTGATGTGAAAATGGTGTGGATTTTATGTTAAAGAGAAAGTAACATTTTCGGACTGAACGTCGATTAATTTATGAAGGACCCTTTTTTCTGTCAAAGCGGTGTAATGATTATTTGATTTTTGTCTTCCCAGATCAAAAAGAAATTGTCAAGAAGCGGACATCGCGTCGCGAGGACGAGATAGAAGGTATGTGTCAGTACATATCTGAGTAACTTTTCCTCTCAAACCCCTTTTGGACGCTTCTGGGAATATTACTTTCTTTTGCTGAATTCTTTGTTGCAACGCTCGAATAAGAGTTAATTTCATTAATGCTTACTTGAGTTGCCTTTACTTACGTGCTTAAAGCTTTTCCCGACAAAAATCATTGTTTCAAATTATTTAGCATTCTTGTATATATTTTACAAGCGTAAAGCCGTATTTTTGTAGGACGACTTGAACTCTCTTTTGCTGTTTTAAACAACGAAGAAAGTGATTTTAAAATCATTCTTGTAGAACGTATTTGAATAATCAAATTGTGAAAATGGCGAAATAAAACCATGGAGAACACTTTGAAATTGAGGTGTATTTCAGAACGCATCATCAAATGCAAAATGTGAGCTGAAGCTGTCGTGACTGCAAGGAAATGCACCTTAGTGAACGGTTAGAATAAATTTGACAAAGCAAGTAAATTGTAAATACAGTAGAGTTTTGAAGGGCAGCAAAAAAGTCAGTTTTTAGGATGTTGCATGCCAAGAATATTTTACTTCCGTTTCTTAAGAAATTAATTTTTACAATTTCTTAATAGAACATTTCTCTGTTTTCCACCGCTAAAATTCTGGTTGAGCCTATGTGAATAATAATTTTATCGCAACAAGGAACAGCATAACCTTAATTTTACGGTCAGTACTTCAGTCTCTTTTGCTCCATTGACCACTTTCCAGTTGTGGCTCAGTAGAAAGTAACATGAATACACGCTTCTGGGACGTGGATCTGTTAGGGGAATCCAATTTGTACACCTTTCGATTAAATTTATGTATAATAACAAAGAATTTCGTTAAACTTCTCTTATATTAGCTAAACGTTTCTATTTGTGAGTGCGGGTTTTAAAATGAAATGTCTACTTTCAGCTCTCTTTTACTTAGTATACAAGCAGCTACCCGCTTGCAAAAATTTCAAGAGCTTAGCCGTAGAGTTGGCATTGTCCTTCATGTTGCCAAAATCTTCACTTATCAGCGATCCTTATGACGGTCATTGCCACCATTCGTGTGCAAAACCTCCTCCGCTTTTGGAATCTATCTTTAAAAAACGTGCAATTTACTAACAGTACCGATTTTCGCTGCTTTCGTATTGCGAGTCACCCCATTGTGCGTTGTTTTAATTTAAGTTTTAAGAAATCTTGGTTGCTTAGTAAAGCTTTTCTAGATACGGGTGTTTGCTGCATTGCCGCTGTTTTGTGTTTTTAACCTTTGCTTCTTGGCGCTACAATGAAGCAAATTTAAATCTGACTTTGCTGTGGTGAGTATCATCTATTAATTTGAAAACCAAATTGTAGCGACAGTGATTTTATATTTCTGTTTATATTGATTGATTGTCACGAAGTTAACTTCCACTACTGGACATGTCCCATAACTTTCACCATTAATAAATTTTTAGTTTCCTTACCTGCTATTGAACATCAGATAAATCATTAAATTAACACTCATTGATCTGTCGTCTAAAACTAGTTTCTACTTACAACAAAACTCATTTTAACAAACTCAGATATGTAGTAGAAAAACGCCCAATTCCACCTTTCTGATACTTTTGCTTTCTCAACTGAAACTTCGGACTCGAAGGTTTCATTATCAGTTTGCGTTTCCTCTATTCATGCTTCTTCAGTGTAATAATGTTATTCACTTTCAATGGAAATTTCATATTACAAGTTTTAGTAACTACTTTCTGACGGATGTAGGATGCCACTTAACGCTAAATCATCACATTCAACCTCATATTTTCTATTCAATAACAATTTAATAATGGCTGCGCACTTTCAACAAACGTAAATGGACTGTGCTGTTCAAGTGACCTTGTTAATTAAAACGTTACATCTTGATTCTTTTTAACAATACAAATGTTTGTAGTATTCCAAAAACACCCGCCGCTTTGTTAATACCAGTAAACAATCTTTCATATACTCCGTAACGCACTTTTATGAAACATGCTTTGAAGAGACATAACCCGTAGATGCATTGAAAGAACTCTTGGATGGAGTTGTGACTGCACGCGCTTACATGAACGTTTTATCGGGGGGTAGCAACACGGCACCTTGGAGCACTCCATGCGGTAGCGAGGCTCCCCCCCCCCCCCCCCCCCCCCCCCCCAGGCGGTGCCAGCCTGTCGTAAGCAAGAAAAACCACTATTATTGTACGTTTTTTGGTGGCAAGTCAGTCTCGTTTGTAGTCAGTTCCCTCGTCACTTTGGTTTTTTCTCTCGATCAAGCACAAAAAATATTTTCTTTGTGCAAAAATCGCAGATTAATTTTGCTCATGCAAGCTGCTGCAACTGGCCGCAGCACCGCGCCGCGTTGACGTTTTGCTATAGCAAAACTGCTCTGCGATTTTGGCACCAAGAAAATATCTGTTGTGCTATAAAGAAAGAAACAAACTTTACGAGGGAACTGACTAAAAACGAGACTGACTTGCCCCCAAAAAAACAAGCGAAAACTGTATTTTAAGAGAAGTCAGCTCGGCTCAAAACAGGTCGGCACCAGCTGGGGCGTTGGTATGGGGGCCGGGCCTCGCTACCGCACGGAGCGCTCAAAAGTGCCGTATTGCTACTTCTGGTTTTATGTACCATAAGAGTATAATAAGGTCGTTACATTTATAACTTATATCGGAGCTTCATCACTTTTATTCATTTCCCATGGCTGTAACTTGTAGTTGACGATGCAAAAACAACTAACTCACTCATTTCATATTACTACTTGGTGGTGTCTTGCACTTGCTTTTTATCAGTTATAAATAAGAACATTTTCTTTATTACTTTCAACTATTCAACAGACAATTCGTGTGCCCATCTCTGTTTGCTTATAAGATGAACAAAATCTCGTTTAATCCAAAGTTGGTCTTTTAAATCTTTTCTGAAAGTACGTTTTTTTGTAATGAAGTCAATCTATTTCTAAGACTTAAAAAACGTTTAACCTGACGGTGGCCACGTTCTTGACATGCCTTTATACGCCGTGTGTGACCCCTTTTGCATCATGAGTTGACGTTGCTGAGATCCAAAGAACTTAGTACAACAATTCAAAGCTGTTTTGTTATTACAACAATATATGAATTGCGAAAACGTTAAGGTTGGCTTTTATCTCAACGGCTCCAAATTTTTGCAAGATAAACGTTTTGAAAAAGAAAATTGATAGTTTTCTTAACGCGTTTAGCCAAAAAGTTTTTTTGCAATGCAGTTTAGGGATTGATTAATCGACAATAGGCTAACGCTCAAATAATCTCTAAAACTGCCTTTAAACTTGATGCCGCACTCAAGTTTTGGTCAACTCGCTCGCAGGTCTCAGAGAGTATCTTTTTGAATCATATGATGTAAGGGGGGTTCTATATTGCGTCAAGGGATGTAATGGGCGATGCTACCTGCCCGATTCAACAGATGATGGGTACATGCATTATTTCTTCAGCGTTGTGTACTTGCACTGACATTACATTCGCATTACATTCCACAGAAACCCTTGAAGAGACCGAAGTAAAGAAACGCAGCGAACTCGTCACACAAGGACACACGTCACCGGTTAGAGACGAGGGTCCTACAATATCAGAGATCCAAGAAGATGTCCCTGATGAATCCGGTGAAACAGACACGGCAATTGTGACTCTAGCAGATGATATAAAGTCACCTGCCACGTTTGAAATGCCTGATAGTGGCGTCGTTACCAAAACTCAAAAAGAAGTAAAGGCCTCAAGAATGAAAAAGAGCGTATCAAAATCTACTCGCAGAGCTACTGAGGAACAAGAAGAAGAGGTACAAATAGAAGTTGAAGTAGTAGGAGGGGGCAAGAAAGTAATCAAGAAAACTCTCCGTGCTCAGCTGCCGGATGAAACAGATGAATACATTGAAGAAGATTTTATCGGCGATATGAAAGGTGTCGAAAAAGCCGAAATAATAGGACTGCCTGTTTTTTCTCCATCCAGTGTCATTCAAACAACACCGAGTGAGATGCCTACTCAATTGTTGACTGGCAAGGACGTACCGAAGGACAACGCTAAAGTCACTATACTAACTCACACATCGTTGAAAGAAGAAGAAATCCAACCACATGAACAAGAGATAAACAAGGTTAGTTCTTCAACAAAATCGGCCTCCGCAGTTTCAACACAGGATTTAATTGAACCAGTTTCAGTTATACAACCCCACGTCGAAACAATCTCAGTTGAATTTGGTGGTTTGTTCAAGCCCCAGTCGTTTGAAGCAAACCAATCTCTTGTACAAAATGAAGGGATTGTAGTGAGTGAAACCCGTGTAGACCAATCTGCTATCGATACAGAAAAAATTCTTATGCAACGGTTACAGGCAAATGTTTCAATTATTACAAAAGAAGCAACCTGCATAACAGAAACAGAAATTTCTGACAAGGAAAATAAATTTGTCTCGGACAAAGAACCCTTAAGGCTACACGCTGAAAAGTCGATTGACGCACATGAAACCTATTCGGTACTGGAGGTGGAAGAAGGTTTACGAGAAGAAAACTTAGACATTTCTTCGAAGCCTCAGGGCGTTAAACCAAAACTTAACATATCACCTAAAGAGTCAGTCCAAGTGAGCGAAGTATTTTCAGAAACAAAACCCAGCAAGTATGTTCCCGAATTGATCGTTGCGACGGAAACGGCCACTGAGTCGGTTCTCACAAGACTATCACTGACAACAAGTGAAATGCAAGCACCTGAGGCTGAAGGCCAGTTTGTTCCTGGCCGGATCCCTCCATCGCAACAAGCTCTTCAAGGAATAAGACCGGTAGAAGCGGCGATAACGTCTTCGCAATCAGTTCAAGAAAAAGAAGGTGACCTGTCAGCATTACGACAACCAGAAGAATCCCAGGCATCGGAGGATTTTACTACTCAAGAAGGTGTTGTTATCAGCTTAACGCAGGCACAAGACAGTGAGAAGCCGTTTGACACAGAGAGTCCAGAAACAAAGATAGGCGAAGTAGGCGTTCTGCAGCAACTGTCCATCATGTCTACGCTGACAACATCAATAGAAAAAGAAGGTTTGTTATCTCCCCAAGATTCTCCCAGTGCTCGGACTGCTGTCACGTCAATTAATTGTTTAGAAGCGTCAGGAACTACAAGTCCAGTTAAGCTTGAATTTGAGAGTGAATTCATTCCAAAGAAAACTCCTAGTGGAGCCATAGCTGACAGGACGATACGAGAAGAAGAATCTGTTGGAGTAACTGAGATTCAAACAAGTGACGCTCCGTCTGATTTCACAGGCGAGCTCAGGTACAAGACAGACGAAGCTGTCCGTTGCATCGAATTTTCTGAAGCCACTGAGGTGACTGAAACTCTTTTGCAAGATAAAGAAGCTCCTATGAAAATAAAAGACGAACCATCTCCGTGTACAGTTGGTACCGGATATAGAACTCAGTTTAGTGTTTCGGTCCTTGAGACACAAAGCGGTGAAAAAGAGGAAATGTTAAATGTGTATGAACTACCAGACTCTCATAAGGGTAAGTTAGCGCCAACGCATCCCGCTGTTGCCCTCCAAATTGAAGAAGTGTGTCCTGATGGTAACTTAAGTGACATAAAGAAAGACCTTCCAACGGTTGAAAAGGCAATGACCGATCAAGAAACCTTAGTTGAGACTGTTGTTCAAGAAGCCGTGGTTGCAGAGGGTCTCGCCATTCATAAAACTGGGGCTCCAGTTGATTCAAAGCTGGCCGATATAGTTGTATTAGAATATGAGGCAGCTTCAAGAAATGAAGTGTATCTCCAAGATAAAGAAGAAGTGTACAAAAGTGCATCTGCTCCCAAAGAGTATTTTGCTCAAACTGAAATAAGTGGACAAAGTTTACCCATAACTTCTGAAGTTTTAGCCCAGGATTCTGCAGATTATCTTGAAAGAAAACCATTAAAAGCGGAGAAGGCCAAAACAGACCAGCCTACGGTGGAAGGTTTAATTATAGTTCAGTCAGAACTTATAGAAAAAGAAGGGGACTTGTCCCAAAATATTTTGCCGGAGTCCAAAACTGCTAACATCCAAATGGCTGACCAAGTTACGGGTATTTCAGTTGTAGACGTGGTTCCACATGAAATGGAAGCTGACCTTCAGTTGCATGCAGCACCAAAACCCATTAACGCTGAGCCTTCTTATCCTTCTAGAGAAGTTGCGGTTCAGAGTGTGGTATTTCCTGGGCATTGCTCTGAAGAAATGCCTGAGGAAATGCGAATTACAGGAAAAGCAAAACCAATGAGTCAACCATTTAGTGAACTTGTGATTACAGAAACAGCCGTAGGGGAAGCATCAAACGAACTTCCTAAGGACATTCAACCAAGTTCCCACTCTGCACAAATTCTTCTCAGTACGAACGAAAGCATAACATTAACTGAGGTTGTATTAGACTCAAAGGAGTCAGACCTGGCCGCCGATATAACGCCCATGCATCGAACGGCGTCCTTTGATTTGTCCGCCCATGAAGTGGCTCAAAAAGAGGAGACCATTCTTGACCAGAAACTAGGAGAGTGGCAAAGGTTGTCTCCAGTAAAAGAAACTGCGTCTCCTGGGCAAGATGGTCTGCAGATTGCAGTTCTCACTCAAACATCGACGGGTGAAAAGGAGGGAGAGTATTCAGCAGCAGCTGTGCCATTTAAACATACAGCTGAGGTACTTTATGAAGACGCTGCTCAAGTTGTGTCTATAAAAGAAACGTGTCCCGAAGATCGGGAAGACGTTCTGAAGCCAGCAGAAACTCCAAAGGCTTATGTTGCTACTCCAGACGTATTTTCGCGAGCTGTTGCTGAAACAAATGAAGTTATTCCTAATATCCACGCGGGGGTAGTCAAGAGTGAAGTCCCCGCGTTTGTGCAAGCTAAGCAGGAGCAACTTTCTTTACAAACAGTAACAGTATATGAGACAGAAACAAATGAAACAGAAGGCGCCTACCATGTAGAAAGCAAGCCAGAAACAAAGGTCGCGTCATCGGCATACGAAGAGGAACGGGGAATTTCAGTTACTGAAATAACTACTCAAGAAAAGGAAAGCCCGTTTTCTACACTTGAAACACCATTGCTACGAGCATCTGTGCCTGAAATGCATGGCCACGAAATTGCACAAAGTTCAGAAGTTGTTCCTGTTGCTTCTGTGGAAAATTTACTAGTTTCTTCTCCAGTTTCTGTTCATGCAAACGTAGACCAATTAGTCCTTCGAAGTGTTGAGGCAATGGAGACTGCTGTAGCAGAAAAGGAAAGCCGTCTTGTTGACAGTACTCTTCCTGACGCAAAATTAGCTGACGTTTCGTATTCTGAAGATTCATCTGTGGTTGTAACGGAGACATTTTCTCATGACAGGGAAACTGATTTGGATCAAATTGCGGCTCCTGATCAAAAGTTTGCCCAAACAAATGTAAGCGGCCGCGAAGTAGCGACGAATTTGCAGGTTGTTGCGGAAACAAGTGTTTCTGAGATTCCAATAGCAGAAAATCGGTTTGAGCACGCTTTTCCAGATCAGATTCCACATCAATCGATAGTGCAATCCGTGACAGCAGCTGAAGAGCAGGAGGCGCATTTTGAAAGTCACCGATCTTTCGACACAAAAACGGCTTCGGCAGTTTTCCAAGAGCAAACAAGCGTCAGCGTAATAGAAATTATTGTTGACAACAAAGAATGCACTCTTTTACCAGGAGAATCACCCATGGGAAAGCAAGCTGATTTGAATGTGGTTACGCAAGAAATTGCTGTTAAAAGTGAGATAGATAGTCACTTATGTTTGGGAAACGTCAAAGACGATGTTCCTCAACAAGCTCAGGCTTTTTCACAGCATCTTCCGTTTGAAAGTATACAGCAAACAGAGCCCGTTATTCAGGAAACAGAAGTTGACTCCGACTTTAAAAATTTGCAACCTAAAAAATTAGCGTCGATTCTCCTAGATGAAATGGCCAGTATTCAGGTCGCGTCAGTTGATGTCGGTGAAAAAGAATCGGCATTTGAATTATCACTTCAACCAAAAGAGCAGGTAGCTGTCCCAGATATATCTGGCAAGGAAGCAGCGTCTCAGTACCTTATTACTGCGGAATCATCTGCGGGTCCTTTTAAGACGGACAAGCCATCCACGAGTACAGCAACTTCTGAACAAGTTCCTTTGGAACACTTGTCCACCACCATAACATCAACATCTGAAAAGGAATCGAACTTTGTCGATACCATAATAGATCACCGTCACGCTGAAATGGATTTTGAAGCAGGCAAAACTGTTGAAGTTTCAGAAGTCACACTTGCTGAAAAGGAAACCAAGTATGTCTCTCCAGAAATTCCGAAAAGCAGAAATGCACAATCGGTACTGACCGAGACTAAAGAAGTGGCTGAAAATATGCAAATTTTGCCTGAATTGGGTCTTGCAGAATTTTCTTGTGAAGGATTGAAAAAGGATCATGCATCTTCTGGACAGGATACACTACAGGGTGTTCTCATTTCTCAAGAGCAAGTACATGAGAATGAAGTTGAATTTTCTGGCAAATTTAGTCCTGTGGTAAAACATGCTGCAGTATTCGTTGAGGAGGGAAAGGCAGTGAATGTAGTGTCCCTTGTAGAAACTATCGATAAAGAGTTATCCTTAAATTCATTAGAAACTCCTGCAGAAAAGAAAGCGGCTCTTGACGTGTCTGTCCATGAAATCGCACAAACTTCTCAGGTCATGACTGGCATGTGTTTAGGAGACCTAACGCCCGAAGATGTTCCAAAAGGAATAGCAACGTTGGACCAGCTGGCGCTCCAGAGTATTCAAACGATAGAAACAGTACTGACTGAAAAGGAGTCTGAATTTACGGACTTTTTAAGAACAGTTGTTTCTGCGGCAGAACCCATACTTGAAGAACAAAGAGGATTGCAAATTTCTGAAGTTACAGTTGATGACAAAGAGTCAACCTATGAATTACCTGAAGTACCGTTGCATAGAAAGGCACACCCAGACGTGTCCGCGAAAGAAGCTGCTGAAATAACAACGGTACTGACCCAACAAAGCGTTGACAATTTAACACCATCAATTCCAAGTTTAGCCAGTGCCAAGCCTTCGCAATCTACTTTCGAAGGTCTTCAGAGAACGGAGCCTGTTATTGCGGAACAAGAACTGACATTTGAAAAGAATGTCGTTAGGCCTGAGACAAGTGCAAGCATTACCTTAGAAGAATGCGGGGGCTTAACGGTGTCAGTTGTGGACAGCCATGAAAAGGAGGGTGCTATGCCTGAGTCACAAATGCCAAGTACCAAACGAGCAGTTGCAGATATAGGCTTAAAAGAAGTAGCGGAGTCTTTTGAAGTACGACCTGGTTACGCACCAGGAGAAATTGAAACAAAACCAACAAAAAAAGGGACGGCCACTGTTCAACAGAGTTTGTTGGAATCAATTTTGCAGCAAGAAACATTTGTGCAGGAAACAGAAAACACACTAGACAAAGATAGTTCGCCTGCTGCGAAAAATGCCATTATTCATCTAGACGAGCAACCTGCCGTTAGAGTGAGTCAAGTTTATAGTGAAGATAAAATTGAATCTTTTGAATCCCCCAATGTGCCAAAAGGACAAAAGGCCATATCAGACGTTGTCAGTCAGGAAGGTATTGTGACAACTGTTGTGGATAGTCAGATGCATTCTGTGCAAAAAGACGAACCTTTTGTCTTGCAATATGAAAAGGCTCATCATGGTCAAGAACCAAAGGAAGCAATAACAATCACTGAGGGAATAATCCAAGAAAAAGAAGGGAAAATGCAAGAAAAAATAACGCCATCCGCAAAAACGGCTGATTTGCAAATAGATGGACAAACATCAGCTACAATCTCTGAAACAGTCGTGCAAGAGAAAGAGGAAGACAGAAAAGCAGAAGCGCGACCAATCAGAGCAGTTGCTCACATGGATATCTTGGGTCAAGAGATTGCTGACAAACTTGAAGTTTTGACAGAATACGCCATTGACAACTTGGAAACTCATAAACGCTCTGAAGCAACTGCCGTTAACGCACAGTCAACTGTAGAAGCCGTACTTCAATCACAAGCTTTACTTCACGAAAAAGAAACGGATTTGCCAGAAGAATTTGAGATGACCTCCAAAAACGCAAACGTGATTATCCAGGACACCCAGTCAGCAGCTATTGCATCCCAAGTCATTCCAGACGACAAAGAAGGTATGTGTATTTCAGACGAAACACCACAATTGCAAAAGGCAAAAATAGACTTGTTAAGTCGAGAAACTGCAGAAAACACGCTTGTTTTCTCTATACAAACCGCATCAAATATGCCTCAAAGTTTTGCTCCTTCTCAAAAACATGCATTACATCAACAGTCGACTTTTGAGTCAGTAACACAAATTGAAACCCCAATCCACGAGTGCGAAGAGATCCTAAAACAAAAACAAAAGCCAGACGAGATGAAAGCAAGTTTCCAATTCGAGACAGGAAAAAGCATAACAGTTACAGAGGTCGTGACCGAAGACAAAGAAGGATTTGTAGCAGGTACTGAACCAAAACAGGAAATAGCTCGCCCAGATGTGTGTGAACAAGAGACAGCACAACAATCCATGACAATTCCTGAAATGAACATCACGCCGCTGTCAACAAATTATCCAGAACTTTCGAGGGCAAAAACAACATTACCTGTAGCTGCTCATGGAATAATTGTAACAGAACACAGCAATGCTGGTGAAGTTGAGAATTATCTGCCATCTCTAGTTAAACCTTCATCCAAAAACATCCAAATTACCCTTGAGGAGCACGAGTCCAATATAATCGTCACTGAGGTGCAAGATGAGCGCCGCGAAGGTATGTATAAGAACCAAAAATTAAAGCGAACTATAGCCAGACACACAAAGCAATGATCAGTAAACAACAAATATGCAATCGTAAAGCACTTTCATTGTCAAATAAGGATATAATTAAGTTGACTCTGGCAAAATAACACATACTTTTCTCTAAATTACAGAACTGCTAGAAGACACCCAACCAACAAAACAACACCATGCAACAGAAAAAGATATATCAACAGAACTTGAAACACCGGACAACATAAAAGCCACTGGTAAGTAAAAAGCTTGAAAACGCAGCATAACCAAACAAGTCATAAAAATGGAAAATTAAGAATCAAAGAGACATAACATGAAATAACACCTAACAAGTATAGCCGTCAAAATTATTAAATACAAGCATTTGTTTTGAAAAAACACAAAACTAACACGACTGAACGCCTAAAATCAATAAGTATTTGACATGTTTCAGAAATACACCACATCCAACATCACAAGGCCGGGAAACTGCACGAAACAGAAACAACCGAAGAGACAGTAACCATGAAAACCAAAAAAGTACAGCAACCAAAAACATTGAAAACAGTAGAAATAACAGATCTACCACAAACAACGATCCAAAAAATTCCAAAAACGGTAACACAAGATGACAACGATGAAACACAGGTCTCCGAGCACGTCACCGAGGTACTGGAGGCTGGAAAGAAAAAGACAATCAAGAAGAAGATTGTAAAGAAGATCAAGGGTGACGAGGAGAAGGTTACGGAGACGACCACCGTGGAGGAAGACGGCAAGGACGCCCAGGTTGATGTCAAGGAAACGGTGCGAAAGATACCCAAGAAAAAGCTGCGCAAACCAGAAATACAAGAGATCACTGACGAAGAAGCGCAGCCACTGGCTCTCGAGGGACCGGAGGAGGTCACTGCCACCATGGACGTTCCGGAAGAAACCAAGGTCTCCGAGCACGTCACCGAGGTACTGGAGGCTGGAAAGAAAAAGACAATCAAGAAGAAAATTGTAAAGAAGATCAGGGGTGACGAGGAGAAGGTTACGGAGACGACCACCGTGGAGGAAGACGGCAAGGACGCCCAGGTTGATGTCAAGGAAACGGTGCGAAAGATACCCAAGAAAAAGCTGCGCAAACCAGAAATACAAGAGATCACTGACGAAGAAGCGCAGCCACTGGCTCTCGAGGGACCGGAGGAGGTCACTGCCACCATGGACGTTCAGGAAGAAACCAAGGTCTCCGAGCACGTCACCGAGGTACTGGAGGCTGGAAAGAAAAAGACAATCAATAAGAAGATTGTAAAGAAGATCAAGGGTGACGAGGAGAAGGTTACGGAGACGACCACCGTGGAGGAAGACGGCAAGGACGCCCAGGTTGATGTCAAGGAAACGGTGCGAAAGATACCCAAGAAAAAGCTGCGCAAACCAGAAATACAAGAGATCACTGACGAAGAAGCGCAGCCACTGGCTCTCGAGGGACCGGAGGAGGTCACTGCCACCATGGACGTTCCGGAAGAAACCAAGGTCTCCGAGCACGTCACCGAGGTACTGGAGGCTGGAAAGAAAAAGACAATCAAGAAGAAGATTGTAAAGAAGATCAAGGGTGACGAGGAGAAGGTTACGGAGACGACCACCGTGGAGGAAGACGGCAAGGACGCCCAGGTTGATGTCAAGGAAACGGTGCGAAAGATACCCAAGAAAAAGCTGCGCAAACCAGAAATACAAGAGATCACTGACGAAGAAGCGCAGCCACTGGCTCTCGAGGGACCGGAGGAGGTCACTGCCACCATGGACGTTCAGGAAGAAACCAAGGTCTCCGAGCACGTCACCGAGGTACTGGAGGCTGGAAAGAAAAAGACAATCAAGAAGAAGATTGTAAAGAAGATCAAGGGTGACGAGGAGAAGGTTACGGAGACGACCACCGTGGAGGAAGACGGCAAGGACGCCCAGGTTGATGTCAAGGAAACGGTGCGAAAGATACCCAAGAAAAAGCTGCGCAAACCAGAAATACAAGAGATCACTGACGAAGAAGCGCAGCCACTGGCTCTCGAGGGACCGGAGGAGGTCACTGCCACCATGGACGTTCAGGAAGAACCAAGGTCTCCGAGCACGTCACCGAGGTACTGGAGGCTGGAAAGAAAAGACAATCAAGAAGAAATTGTAAAGAAGATCAGGGTGACGAGGAGAAGGTACGGAGACGACCACCGTGGAGGAAGACGGCAAGGACGCCCAGGTTGATGTCAAGGAAACGGTGCGAAAGATACCCAAGAAAAGCTGCGCAAACCAGAAATACAAGAGATCACTGACGAAGAAGCGCAGCCATGGCTCTCGAGGGACCGGAGGAGGTCACTGCCACCATGGACGTCCGGAAGAAACCAAGGTCTCCGAGCACGTCACCGAGGTACTGGAGGCTGGAAAGAAAAAGACAATCAAGAAGAAGATTGTAAAGAAGATCAAGGGTGACGAGGAGAAGGTTACGGAGACGACCACCGTGGAGGAAGACGGCAAGGACGCCCAGGTTGATGTCAAGGAAACGGTGCGAAAGATACCCAAGAAAAGCTGCGCAAACCAGAAATACAAGAGATCACTGACGAAGAAGCGCAGCCACTGGCTCTCGAGGGACCGGAGGAGGTCACTGCCACCATGGACGTTCCGGAAGAAACCAAGGTCTCCGAGCACGTCACCGAGGTACTGGAGGCTGGAAAGAAAAAGACAATCAAGAAGAAGATTGTAAAGAAGATCAGGGTGACGAGGAGAAGGTTACGGAGACGACCACCGTGGAGGAAGACGGCAAGGACGCCCAGGTTGATGTCAAGGAAACGGTGCGAAAGATACCCAAGAAAAAGCTGCGCAAACCAGAAATACAAGAGATCACTGACGAAGAAGCGCAGCCACTGGCTCTCGAGGGACCGGAGGAGGTCACTGCCACCATGGACGTTCGGAAGAAACCAAGGTCTCCGAGCACGTCACCGAGGTACTGGAGGCTGGAAAGAAAAAGACAATCAAGAAGAAGATTGTAAAGAAGATCAAGGGTGACGAGGAGAAGGTTACGGAGACGACCACCGTGGAGGAAGACGGCAAGGACGCCCAGGTTGATGTCAAGGAAACGGTGCGAAAGATACCCAAGAAAAAGCTGCGCAAACCAGAAATACAAGAGATCACTGACGAAGAAGCGCAGCCACTGGCTCTCGAGGGACCGGAGGAGGTCACTGCCACCATGGACGTTCCGGAAGAAACCAAGGTCTCCGAGCACGTCACCGAGGTACTGGAGGCTGGAAAGAAAAAGACAATCAAGAAGAAGATTGTAAAGAAGATCAAGGGTGACGAGGAGAAGGTTACGGAGACGACCACCGTGGAGGAAGACGGCAAGGACGCCCAGGTTGATGTCAAGGAAACGGTGCGAAAGATACCCAAGAAAAAGCTGCGCAAACCAGAAATACAAGAGATCACTGACGAAGAAGCGCAGCCACTGGCTCTCGAGGGACCGGAGGAGGTCACCTGGAGGAAACCAAGGCCCAGAGTCAACGAGGTCGAAAGTCCAAGAAAAAGCACAAAAGAAATAAAGAAACAGGAGGAGAGGTCCGAGGGACCGGGGAGGAGCCCAGGACGTCCGGAGAAACAAGGCCGGCAGTACCAGGAAGGCTGGAAAAAAAAACAAAGAAAAGATGAAGAAGACAAGGGTCGAGGGAGGAGGAGACGCCACCTGGAGGCGGAAGACCAGGTTGAGCAAGGAAACGGGGAAAGACCCAAGAAAAAGCCAAAAGAAATAAAGAGATCAGGAAGAGGAGAGGTCCGAGGGACCGGAGGAGGAGCCCCAGGACGTCAGGAGAAACCAAGGCCGGCAGTACCAGGAAGGCTGGAAAAAAAAGAAATCAAGAGAATTGAAAGAATCAGGGTGCCGAGGAGAAGGAGGACCCACCAGGAGCCGGAAGAAACCAGGTTCAGAACCGGGAAAGGAGCAGAAAAAAAAGCAAACAAGAAAAGATAGAAGAAAAGGGCAGGAAAGGTTCGAGGAACCGGGAGGAAGCCCCAGGACGCCCAGGAGAAACCAAGGAACGGCAAGTACCAGAAAGGCTGGAAAAAAAAAAACAAGAGAAATGAAAGAAGACCAGGTCGAGGGACGGAGGAGACGCCACCTGGAGAACGGAAGAAACCAAGGTTGAGCAGGACCGGGAGAGCGAAGAAAAAGCACAAAAAAATTTAAGAGATCAAGGAACGAGCAGGTTCGGAGGACCCGGGAGGAAGCGCAAGGACGCCCGGTGACAAGGACTCGAAAGTACCCAAGAAAAAGCTGGAAACAGAAATCAAGAGAATGAAAGAAGACAGGTCGAGGGACGGAGGAGCACGCCACCTGGAGTCGGAAGAAACCAAGGTTGAGCAGACCGGGAGAGCGAAAGAAAAAGCTCAAAAGAAATTAAAGAGATCAAGGGGAGAGGAGAAGGTTCGAGGAACCGGAGGAAGACGGCAAGGACGCCCGGTGATTCAAGGAACGGTCGAAATCCCAGGACTAGGCTGGAAAGAAAAAGACAATCAAAGAAGATGAAAGAGTCAAGGGTGACGAGGAGAAGGAGGAGACGCCACCGTGGAGGAAGACGGCAAGGACGCCCAGGATGTCAAGGAAGGTGCGAAAGATACCCAAGAAAAAGCTGCGCAAAAGAAATACAAGAGATCACTGACGAGAAGAGCTGGCGAGACCGGGAGGACTGCCCCAAGGACGTCCGGAAGCCAAGGTCTCCGAGCACGTACCGAGGTACTGGAGGCGGAAAGAAAAAGACAAAAGAAGAAGATGAAAGAAGTCAAGGGTGACGAGGGAAGGAGGAGACGCCACCGTGGAGGAGACGGAAGGACCCAGGTTGAGCAAGGAACGGTGCGAAAGATACAAGAAAAAGCTGCGCAAAAGAAATAAAGAGATCACTGACGAAGAGCGAGCACTGGCTCCGAGGGACCGGGGAGGAGCCCAGGACGTCAGGAAGAAACAAGGCCGGCAGTACCAGGAAGGCTGGAAAAAAAAACAAAGAAAAGATGAAGAAGACAAGGGTCGAGGGAAGGTTACGGAGACGCCACCGTGGAGAGACGGAAGACGCCCAGGTTGAGCAAGGAAACGGGCGGATACCCAAGAAAAAGCTCAAAAGAAATAAAGAGATCACTGACGAAGAGCGAGCACTGGCTCCGAGGGACCGGAGGAGGACGCCACATGGACGTTCAGGAAGAAACAAGGTCTCCGAGCACGTACCGAGGACTGAGCTGGAAAAAAAAGACAAAAGAAGAA